CCCAGACTTCAGCATGACCACGCAGCGCCCGCCTTCGCCTTCGCCTCCGCCTCGGCCTCTGCCAGTCCCTCGTGCGACGGGTGAAATCTCACCGTTCTCACGACTCGACAAGCTAGAAAAGCTCCTTGCCCCGCGCTGGCAGCGCCCGCCTTGCGGCTGTCGCAAGCGTGTCATGGTGTACACGTACGCCTGGTGCAAGAGCGAGCCGAAACACGTCTTTCAGAGAGTTGCCTATGACAAGTGCGAGAACCGCCGTGATCGGCGCGGCTGGCGGAGGTTCTTCTCCCGCCGCCGTCGTCGTCACGGACGTCACGGTCGCGGTAGTGTCGATAGGAGGTTTGAAGGGTGTACGGGGCAGTACCGGACTGTGCTGCGTGCGGGATCGGTGCGGCTCTGGCCGTGTCCGAAGTGTGACCCGGAAGGGTTTAAGAAACGGCCGTTGTTGTTGGCCAGGGGGACGAATTGGTGGCTGGGGCCGAATAGGTTGTTGAGGGTCGGGGGGATTGAGAGGTTTGATACCTTTTGGGAGGATGAGCCGGGTGGTCCGCCGCCGAGGTATAGAAGGAATACGCGTGACTGAGACAGCTTAGGTGGAGGGGGGCTTGTTTAGGGGAGCGGGGGAAGGGTGTGGGAGTAGGAGGGGTTGAGAGGTAAGGAGGATGGTGATGGGAGGGAGTGGATAGTGGGTCGGTTAGGGTGTGGAGGGTAAAGGATAAGGTGTTTGTTTATGTCATTCAGGGGCTTATGGTAACTAGGTACATGGTGGCTGGGTTACATTACAGAGTTCGGTCGTTTTATGTACTAGTAGAGACATGGAATTATCCGTAGCACTGCAGATAGATGAGGTAGAAATTAGACTGAAACTGTTTTATCTATAGGAACAACACCTGAGGTAACTTACCGTGGACAATAGATCCTGCTCCGGGCAGTCTCGTTTTGCCCGACTTGATGTCTGCCAACATGGATCTATGGCAGGTCAGGTTTGTACAAGTCTTGCTTCGGCAACTGCCATGCTCCGCACGGCGTCCAAGATCCGGGAGTAGACCTCATCACTGAGTCCCAGGTCATGGCGGTTAGCACAAGCTTCAATGAGCTTGTCCATCCAGGTCCTCCATTTGGAGGGAACGGGTGCATCATCTTTCTGGCTGCTCAACTCGACCAGAATCTCATATGCAGCGCACAGGAGCCACTCAGTGGCCACCCAGAAGTAGCACTCAATGATGTCAGCTTCAAGGTTTGTGTTTGCGCCAACATTGAGAGCCCGATGCAGAGCGTCCTTGGACCATGGAATCCACCTACCTCTCACGTTCTCCGTGCCGCCTGCGGTGCCGGTGACACGGGCCAAAAAGGAGTTGAGGTTCTTCCACTTCTCGATATCCTGCTGGATATTAGCAGGCTCTTCGACCTTACCCCAACGGACCGGGTTAGAACGGAGAGCGTCAACAAAATAGTGCTCACTGGCTTCAAAGATCCCACCGAACTCGCCCGGTTCCTCGCGGAGAATGTGCATGCACTTCACCGTGGCATCTTGCCAGGGATGGTTGGCCGGAAGAACAAGAGAGAGCTGGCGAATGATCTTTTGGACTTCGCTGACTGCCTGGCCATGGCATTCCACAGGCTGGGTGGCCAGCTCCTGCTCGAATGCGAGTCGGCAATATCCAGCCATTGTTTTAGCCTTGCCATCGGTAGTATTCAGGGGGCTCTCAAGGGCACTCCTGATGCCCTTGAGTGCAGTTTGAGTGGGAGGATAGTCCCGCCGCTGCCCAAAATTAGCATTGATGGAATCAAGAATAGCTTCCATGTTGTAGGTGTTGATCTTCGTTGAAATGGTGGGGTGGGTTAGGGCTTGGTGGTGAAGTCAGCGCTTGCTGAGTTGAAACGAATTGTAAACTTGAGGAGCTGAATAATTGTCTGACTTGTTGTGTTGATACCCAATGCTTGTCTGAGTGACCGAGTAGAATATCTTGATGGGAAGACTTGAAGCGAAACTGGCGGACAGGAGAGGTGTTTTATCATTGCCTGGCAGGGGTGCGTGGACAAAGAGAAGGGCGCTCCTTGGGAACAGAGGCGTTGTAAGGCACCGAAAAGCCCAGACCTTTTGATGAATGAGCAGCACCGTAAAGCCCACTGACAATGCTTTTGAGACCTACCATTCCTTCCTGAAGAGTCTCATTCGAAGACGGGTTGGGCTAACCCGGTGTCATGATGCGTCTGAAGCGTTGGCAAAGATACAACATGAAGACGATCTCGGTGATGGAACGCGGCGCGGAACTGCTCTGACGTGCTCACAATGTCCTAAGCATTCCGCAAACGCTTGAGGAGGACGGTATACCGTCTAGAAAGATATAAAATCAAGACTGATGCGCCCTCCAAGCCGGTGTTGATGCCAGCTACGTTCAGTCCCAGCTATCGTCGTGTGTCATCAGCTTGTTCAGCCCGTATATCACTGTCTTTGTTCTTTAACGCCCTATAATACCTTTGTTAGCTAACATAGCTATTGGCTCGAGGATGTCAGGAAGGGCGACCTCGGAAACAGCGGGCTCCGAGACAACGGATTCATCAGGGGAACATTCGGAATGCGACTCGGGTCAATTACGCCGCACCCCAACCGTTTCTTCCTTTGTAAATGCACTTTCCTGGGGTACTAGAATATGCTAGTACAATTACTCACAACCAACAGTACGACTTGAAGGGAACACCCTGGGATGACAGAAAGCCCAACAGCCAGACGTGGATCTACGCGAGGGAAGTACGGGCGCAGGCTGCCGATGGTAAGCAGGTGCATTTCCTTGATGTTTGGGAAGCTGCGAATCTTAGAGATGGTTACTCTGCTTGTTCATTGACACTCAACCGAGAGATATCATGACTGACACTGTCCATGTTAGTGCTGGCCGCACCCCGCAAGGCGCATGAGAATCACCCTTGCTATCCAAGCGTCTTTAGAAACGACGAAGGACTCGAGCTTAAGGCAGAGCCGCCCTTGCTTCATACTCCGGTTAGACCTGGGCATACAACTGGTTGGCTCCATGAAGGCCCCCGTGACCGGAATCGGCCCGGGGCAGCTCGCCTGGTATACAGCAAAAATCCAACCGACACAAACTTCGACGTGGTATACCATGACAAGAGCCAGCCACAATCTAACAGAGGATACCGGTTGTTTGCCATGGCCGAATACGTTCCCGCAGCTACGTCTCCCCCATCACCGGCACGATCTGAGCCCTGACGGGACCCATACATGATACGGTATACCGCAACAGATACCCCGGAAACCCCGGAGCCATCCCTAAACCGAGAGCAGCAGGTCTGCCGGAGGTACAGCCACTCGTTATTTCGTTAGACAATTAGACAAGTATCATTATTGTTTGTTTGTCCCCCAAGTATCCTCCCTTACCATATGCACTATTACCCCTGAGTCCCAGCGAGCGAGCAGCTGAATATGTCGGCCAAGAAGGTAAGAATTCCAACCAGACCATAGTATTAGAAGCAGCCGCTATAAATGAATGCTGAAATGCCCTGTATAAGCCAACCATAACCGACCTTCAACAACTCGACTCATATCAGAGCCAAAAAAGGAAGTAGATCCCATGAAGGAAAAGTAGCCCTGAAAACTCAAAACGCCTAACCCCTAGTACCTATCCCCATGATCCCTCAGTGCAACCGGCCTGTTCCTTGACATTGCATGAGGTGACAATAGAACATCAGCATCCCCATCCCGCATATCATCATATCACAACTAACCACCCCCTGACCCGCCCAATGTTGAGTTCAAACTCCGATCAAGAACTATACATAATCCTCAACCCAGCCCCGGCACCCTGCGAGAAACTCGCCTCGCCCGAATCCCCAGCCACCACCACCTCCAAATTCTCCACCGTACCCGCCTTGGGACACGGAATCTTCCCCGTCAGATACGAACTCCCCGTCATCTTCCAACTGGCAGTCCCCGCCTTGGGCACATTCAACCGTCCAAGATACACATTCCTGTTATTCCCCGTCGCCACCCCGTCACACTTGCCCGCGGCCCACTGGGTGAAGACATCCACCTGTGCGCCGGTGCTCGGGACAATGTTGGTCGACCCCGTGGTGGTCAGTTCCAGCCAGCATTGGGCGCCTGCCGGGATGGACGGGTAGGTGAAGCTGTACATGACGGAGCGGCCGCCGCCGGAGGAGGTTTTGTAGATGGAGACCTCGCTGGCGGAGGGGTGGAGGCAGACGTTGGGAGAGCTGAAGGACATGTCGTGGTTGATTATTGTTGTGGGGAGGATTTCGGATGGCGAAGTGCGGGCGTCTAACTGGGCGGGTGCGGGTGCTGGGGCCGCGAGAGTAAAGGGGGCCGTGGCGGCGGCCAGGAGGAGGGGGAGGAGGGCGTTCATGTTGGTGAGCATTCTGATTTTGGCGGTTGATTTTGGTGATGAGGGTTGAGATGTAAGTGCAGTATTTGAGTTGTTGATCTAAGGTATGGTACCTTAGATTGTGAAGAAGCTTGGTAGTGAAGATGCTATGAAGATGCTGATGCTGATGATGGTGAGAAGAGATCCATTGGATGCTGAGATGGTTGGACATCTGAGGTGTTATATACCCCTTTCCCATTCACTCACTCAGTGATGGACCATAGTAACTCACATCTATTCTAGGTCTGAGTATGTATGTACCGCAGCGTGTACCCTGACATAGCCATGACCCGATGGCGCGCATACCGCCGTGTGGCGCTCCTCCGCTTCCGTCGACCAGCTGCCAGCCCAGCACCGCCGAAGCAAAGCCATCAGCCCAACCTTGGCTCAGCCTGAAGCCCCGACAAAGGCCTAGAACGCTAGGTCCATCCTCTCTCGGTGAGCAACCGCGAAATTGCGTGGTGTAGGATCCATCGATGATACCTCGTATACCAACATTGAAGCGTAGGGTTGGATGCTGCAACGCGATCCATGGTCGCGACACCAATATTGCCCCCAATCAGCCCAGTTCACCTGTCACGATTCGCAGCGTGCCCAGCTGCAGTTTGTATCCCTTTTGATAGGGAACAATATAGGCTCGGCAGCATTCCGGAAGTTGTCAAATCGCATCATGAACGCTGCGCTGTTGCATCGTATAGACTACGAGGTAGCAGTATTCGACAATTGGAAACAAATAGACTCAAGCTGCAATTCCCTCAGAATACCATAGAGTGGGGTAGAGGTCTGGCAGCACTCCGGGTACGACTACCTCTCACCTCTGGACTTCTTGTGGAGGCGGGGTCGAAAGCCACCTGCTATTGTCGGGTCTGGCGTTCGGGGCATGGCGGGCGCGCGGTAAAGAGGGAGGCATTGCTTACCGCAGTAGGGCTGAGGGTTCTGGATTCGGAGTTTGGGACAAAGAGACCTGATTGGACCCGGCCAAACACGGAATCCCGAGTCCCGGTGTCGCACACTCGGACGCTCTCATCATTCTTTTGCACTCGGAACCCTTGTGTGGACGCAGCACGGGACGTGCGCCACCACGTGGTCCCGGTAAGTCTATTAATGCGCACTACTACCGATGGCGGGAATCGCGTCTAGCCCTGCGAAAATGTGACGTCTAACTACGCCCCCGAACCTGCTGGCAGATGGCCCCCGGAAATGCTTGATACATGCTGTACCTGAACCAAGTTGATTCCCCACGTCCTCTATCACCTGTTCCTACCCCCTGACCCGTGCAACAATGACCGAGTTGACGACCTGGCCGTACGGGTGCACCACGACGCATGTCTCCAGCCGCTTCAGGAGATTCTCTGTTGCCAGGTCCACCTCTGGGTATAGGCAGGTCCTGAGGCCCCAGCTGCTCCGGACGACGAGCAGCGCCCCTTTCCTCATGCGGTCGGCCACCTGGAGGATGATGCCCTCCTTCTGCGTCTGCGACATGCCGACCAGCGCGGCCATGTACACCACATCGAATTCGCTCAAGTCCTTGGCAGGCGATGCCGCCTCGGCGCAGATGAATTCCATGCCTCTCCCCTGCTCGCCCAGCGCCAGACACAGACTGAGCGAGGCCGCGATGGCCGTCTCGTCGTAGTCGACGTTGAGTATGACGGGATCGGCGTCTCTTGAGGGCTGCTGAGACTCTCGACGTTGTGGTGACATGATCTCGATGAGCGCGTCGTTCTTCAGCGAGTCCAGAAGACAAAGAGAGGTCAGCGGCAGCGGCCCGGATCCAATGAATGCCACTCGTCTCGGGGCTGTCTTTGTGGCGGAGAGAATGGCGCAGAGCTCTAACCGAGTCAGCTCCTCGTAGTTGTCGTAGTAGGGAAAGGTCTTGAGGCGCTCGCGCACTTGGTCAGCTCCCTGGCCGGCTACGATGTGCTCGGCCCAGTGTAATTCGAGGCATGACTCGGCCTTGGCGCAGATCTGCCTCAGTGAGGGCAGCACGGCTTGAATTTCGCGGTGCCTCAGAACCTAAGCAGTTGCCGTCGCCGTTAGTACCTTTCCTCTAATGGAGTTTGAGCTCTGGGCTGTAAGCTTACCTTCTCAACAATCTCCCGATCATAAATCTCGGAGCAAATGGAGACAAGGTTCCCTAGCAACTGATTGATGGCTTTCCCCGGCTTGAAATGCGGGAGCTTGAGCAGCTCTGTGTGGGTCTCGGTGATGCTTTTGACAAGCCATTGGACCTTTTCTGAGCGGGCATCGGCAAGCTGGCTCTGGAGAACCTCGGCCTTCTCGACAATTGTGAGGGAATCGTGCGAAGCGCAGGGACAAGGCTCCATCTTGTTGGTAGAGCTTCTTAGCCGCAGGAACGAGGAGAGCAGAGACATGTTGCCAGGGCAATCGCTGCCTCGGATCTCGGGCAGCGGGGAGGTAACGCAAGGAGTCGAGTATTTAAGCAGAAATCTCGAGGCTCTGAGCAGCGTGGGACAGGTGTCGCGCTGTTGTGTACTGTGGGCGTCTGAACTTTCGAGTCAGGTCCCTTCCTCAACCCAAAGGGCGGAAGTGGCTGGAGAACAAACACTCGCTACTGGCAGGGCTAGAAACGGGATGACGAGGCGAGCTGAGACAGATGGATGTCCGGACGAGGCAGTGAGGCGCCGTGTGGCCTATATCTGCATTTCGTTGCAAATGTACTCTGTAACGTTAGTACTCAAGTACGTGAATTGCGAGTGGTGCAACTCAGGCTTGACCGCCACCTGTCGCCTGCTCGTTTGCTTGATTAAGTTGTTTCGGCTCTACATGGTGTTCCATTGTCGCGCGACTTTTTTCTCGCTTCCAATTTCTGCTAACGATAGGCGGTTAGAGACGATTCATCTGATTCTGTGACTTCCAACGCGGGAGGCCACGGGGATCTGCCGCCCCTCCTTGGTCCGGCAGGACCGCAGTGCCGGTTGGTCCTGCCTTGGTGTTTTGGCCATCAAGGTGCCTGACCCGCAGGCTTCCCCTTTTCCGGCTTGGTCTGGTCTGCGAAATCTCCGACGTCGCGAGGGCGGCGGTCAGGGCTCAAGCAGTCTAACTGGAAAGAGAAGCAGGGACACGCAGTTGTGGGTCCTTGACCCTTGTTTATCTGATTTCAGATCTGTCTCTCAAGGTTCTCATTCTCTCAATTTCTCGGGAGCAATCAACCCAATCAGCCCAACCGTTGGCTGATTGCTCGTTCCATCTAATGCCGGAGATGGACGCCCCGATGACGCAGAGATTATGGCCCTGTCGTTGCACAATTCCTGGGCCGTCCCAAGCGGTGAATGAGGTTGCGTGGTCTTGGGTAGGCATACAAAGCAAGACCTCGTTGCCTCGCTGCCTCTCTTCCCGAGTCCCAACCGTCTGAACTTCGTTTGTGTTTTTCTTTGCGCTTCACGCTCACTGGGTCACTGTTGCTTGCCAGTTTTCATTTCCTCTTTCTTAATTCCCTTGTGGATACTTACATATAATACCTGCGTTGGGGTTTCTTCCCAAGTCTCAGGATTCGAGGGCCTGGCGACTGCTTTGAGGTTTGTTCTTAACTTCAACAAAAGATTTCCCTTGCGCTGCCCACTTGGAACCCGACTTGTAAAGCAATCCCACTGCTCGACCCGAGTCCAATCCCCTGATTCGACAGCGATTACCTCTCGATTACCGTCATTCGTCTGTCATGGCTGTGGGGGTACTCCCGGGCCAGGCGAACGGTTGGCCTCCAAAGGTGGCTCCCGATGCATTCTCTGATCGGATCCCACTCCCATGCAACGGCGGATCGCCGGAACGGAATGGTAAGCAATTACACATTGCCCACTTAGACCACAGTTAACCAATACGACCTAGTGTTGGGGGAATCCTACCGCCCTTTCTTTTGGGATATTGTCTCGATCTGTGACCTCTATTCGGTGGCCCACATCATTCTGCTTCCACCCTCGCTGCGTAGGTCGTACGGTTCTTTTCCAGTGCGTAATGGCATGCACGGAGCGGGAGGGGCGAACGGGGCGAACGGGATGAATGGGGTGAATGGGGTGAACGGGGTGAACGGCATCAATGGACACCGGCCGGCCGCAGAAGCACCAAGTCGTTTCGCCCAGGCCCTCAGTCATGTCGGTCTCGGTAACCCCAGCTGGACCGCCGATGGTGTTTCCGTGTTCACAGCAATCCTGCCTACGTCAGACGGCTACGTCAGCCGCTCTGGCTTCCTCCATCTCCGCCTCCAGGATTGCCCTATCGCCATCTCCAAGATCCAAGAGAATGCGGTGCCTCTGAGGAAGTACACGGCACCCAGACTGTCTCCTCCAACCGTCAACTCGGAAGATGGCCTTGCTAGTGTCATTGAGCAGGCCGCCGGGATCATTCAGTGGGCCGATTTGGACGCGTCCGTATCCATTCTCCACCTCCAGCATCACTTGATGCGAATTACCCACGAGCTCCGAGACCGACTTAACAACGCACCATGGCTCACTCCGCAGCCTATTGCCCGCAAGCGCGTTGCGCTGATCAGAGGGCGGCCAAACCTCACTGCGGGCGGACCCATCTATCGCGCAGCAAGAGCCTTGGGGTTGGACCTTGTGATAGTGGATGAAGAAGGCCACTGGCTGCAAGCTGATACCGAAGAGAATAGGATGCACCGGGAGGCTTTTCTCACAACAGACATGACCGAAGATGCCGGGATCGTCGATCGCATTGTCAGGTCTCTTGCGAGTTACCCCTTACCAATCCACGGAGTGTTCACCGTTTCCGACAACTTCTTCGTCACTGTCGCGCGGGTCGCCCATGCGTTGGGCCTACCAGCCAGTCCTGTCTCGGCGTTTGAAACCTCGGTCGACAAGTACCGCTCTCGTCTCTTGCAAGACGTGCCCGGTCAAACAGCCAGAGTGAGCAGCCTCGACGAGCTGCAGACTCTCCTGGCTTGCCGAACAAAGGACCTCCAGGAAGCTTTCACGCCAGCATTCCCCATGATAGTCAAGCCCACAAAGGGCTGGAGCTCTGAATGTGTCTCCAAGGTCAACAGCATTGGAGACCTCGCCACGGCAGTGCAGAAGGCCACGTCGCGCCACGGCAGCGCCGCTGTCATTGAGCCCTTCTTCGACGGTCCCGAAATCGACGTCAATTTTGTCCTTCTGGATGGCGCGATCCTCTTTTGCGAAATCGCCGACGAACCGCCCTGCCAAGCCGACTCCCGCGACGCTACCGTCGACGACACCTTCTCCCCCGAGGCACTCACCCTCCCGTCGGCGCTCCCCGCGGAGGAGCAAGAGATTGCCAGGACTACGCTGCGGGATATCCTCGTCAAACTAGGCTTCCGCACAGGCATTTTTCACGTCGAGGCTCGGATGGTCAACTCGGCGTGCGAGTACCGCGATGTTGGGAACGGGATCATCGATCTGGTGCGGAAGGAGACCCCGCCGCCCGAAAGGCCCGCCTGTCGGCTGCTGGAGATCAACGCCCGCCCACCCGGATACCGCGTGACGGTGCCGTCGAGGCATACGTATGGCGTGGACTTCTTCGCGGCGCACATGCTTGCCGCGGTGGGCGATGCCGAGCGGCTGCGGCTGGCCGCCCGCCCGTTTGACCATGCCTATCAGGACAGGACGCAGGGGGCACAGTACTGGTCGCGACTCGTCTATGTTGCCGCGCCCAAGGCGGGCACGGTTCGCTGGCCGCTGAAACTGTCGCCCTGCGAGGAGCTCAAGCGCCGCCGTCCGGACCTGGCTGAGAGGATTGTGCTGGGAGTGGATTATTGCCAGCCGGGAGACAGGATCTCGCTGTTTACCGACGGGGCGAGGACGTATGTCGCGCATCTGCTCGTGAGGAGTACCGTGAGCAGGAGGGATGCGATTGAGGTTGGCAATGAGGTGCTGAGGAGTTTTAAGATTGAGGTTGAGGAGGAGGTGCAGGGCGTTCAAGGCAAGTTTGAAGTCTAGCGCGGAGTTCTCGGTCTGGGATAACGGTGTTGCTTCGGTTCTTGCTACGGGTTTCGGATTTGGCGTGTGAAAACTTGCGGTTTCGTTTCGGTTTCGGCATCTTTGTAATGTTTCCTCCGTCTACAACTTAAGATACAGGTAGACGGTCCGGGCTAGAGGATAGATTTGTGTTCTGTTACATGGAGTGGTATGTGAAGAAAGGAGAGAACCAAGAATATCGAATAGGGCTTATGCTGCCACATGGATACCTCACTCGAAGACACGCATTAGTCACAGCTACACTAGGATATAGGGGGCAGTGGAGTGTAGGGGTTGGGTATTGTCATTTGCTTGCCCACCTCATTGGTATTTCAGATACATAGTCCACTGGCAGAGACCTCTAGCCAGGTCCGTTTAGATGGGGGCAGGGACTCAGGGAGTTTGAAATCGTCAAAAACCATTACTCCATAAGGCACCTAAGCATACACAGTATGTTCCAAGCCAAACTGATGTAATGATATTTAGGTGTCTGATTGTCGCGTTATCATTAGGAGTTACTATGTATGTACATACATAACCTTACTACTGATAAGTAGTACAGGTGTAGTTTCTCGGCAGAATGATCTCGGCATGAACCTCGACCCCGGAGTTACCGACACAGTCAACCCATGGAACCCAGCGAGTCCACATGGGTACCTATATAAACAGCAGCGCCCTTCTAAGCAGCTTTGTCATACTCTAACAGGCCATATCTCACAAGCACCTACCACTCCATGCCCTGTATGTAACTTGCAAGGGCGCTGAGTAAGCTTACACCGGGTTCTGAGCTGCAATGCGACTTTAAAGAACAGCTCCTTTCCTCTCATGGCAGCTTGGCGCCGTGACATTATCGATTCTGTCTGCAACCCGGCAACCCATACCTAGCATGAGGTGGAAAAAAAGAGCAGAGATTATCGCAAATACATCTGCAGCTGGAGGCGCTAATGCAGAGCTGCCGTTCCAGCTCCAATCAAGATGGCTTGTTCAGATGTTCGAATTGGGGGTGGCAATCGCCTCTCCCGCGTTTGTGCTGCGACTCTGCGAGTAATCCGAATATCTGGAACTTTTACTTTGTCTGCTGGCTGCGATTGTGCGAATCCGTAGCATGTTCGCACTGCGGATCGTCAGGAGTCGTAGCTTCACGATGATGCCGATGAGTTTTTGATTGACGTGCTGCTGTCAGTCTGACATCCGTGATGATTGATCTGTAAGTGTCGAACAGACCCACGTTCTGCTATATGTCTTCCCGGTACACGATGGCATCGTCTCGTGTAATTTCTTATGCCAGTACCAAGAGTGCGGGGGAACGCTTCTACTCACCCACTTCACAGACCAGACGCACCTATCTATGTAAGTAGGTAGGTAGTATGCATGACATCTGCATGCCATCCGGGGCCCTACACTGTCGAGGATAGACCCGAGCAGCCACACCGCCATGAGTACCTCCAGTCATGGCCATGCCCCCTGGTAACCATTGTGATGGCCCTCCCAGGTGCCAGCTAATATGTGGCGACTGGCGAGACGGCCCTTATTTGGTAAAGAGGGAGCCAGGTTAGGTAAAGTAAGGTAAGCATTGGCGGACCAGGTCGGGACTAAGAAGTAAAGACCGTGATCGTGAGTTAAGACCGTCTCTGAGCTTCCCGTGGTGAGAGATTTCTTTCCCTGACCGTCCTTTCTGCGACAGATTATTCTTCTGCCTGATAGCCCAGCACTTGGCCAAGGTAAACACTCAGCACTTGCTGTCTCAGTCGTTCTTGACACTGTAGATTCCCCGCGCCGACTCGGACAGCAGCATGGCCAAGTCCAAGTTGTCGCTCCACCAAGGGCGCCTGCTCCAATGGGCACTGCTCGTAATGCTGCTGCCTACGCCGACGCTGTGCGGCTCCATGGCGGCATGGTGGACCGACATTGGCCCGTCCTTCGCCATGCAGAACGCCTCGACGGGGCTCATCACGTACAGTCTCTGCCACAGCAACAACACGCCGCTCTACCCCGTCGACCCTCCCCTGACCTTTGACACGACGTACGCGCCCAAGAACGGCACCTCGCTGGCGGCGACGGGCTGGTTCGACAAGACAACCACCTGGGCGTCCCTGTTCTACCAGAACAACAACGATGATATCGTCAACGCCATCTACACGTGCGATTTCAAGACCGGGCGGTACATGCACCAGGACAGCCTGGTCATCTCGGACCGCGCGGGGACACCGGCCCCGCACGCGCAGACGGGCCTCTCGGTGACACTGCTCGGCGAGCAGGAGGGGTACCGCGTGTTTTTCCAGGACCGTTCCAGGGCTCTGCAGTCGTTGAAATTCACCCAGGTCGAGAGCTGGTCCTATGGCGGGCCCGTGTCGACCAACACGCACCGCTCCGGCATGGCGATCAGCTCCATGTTCTCTGGCGTGCGGAACGTGACCGTCGTAACCCCCCGCGATGAGGCCAACATGGAGGTGACACGTTTGAACATAGACGGTGCCTGGCACATTTGTAAGTCTCGCCATCCAGTACCTTCCCACCTCTCCATCCTCTCCCATAGCACAAGAACTAAACCTAGTGCCTTGCCCAGCAACATTCCCCACCCCCCTCAGCGGCCGTAACATCACCAACCTGTCCAACGCCACCTCCTTCCCCTACGACAACAGCACCACACCATCATTCACCCTCGACGCCTGGTCCGGCAACCCCAAAGCGCTCGGCATCGCCATCGACACCCTCCTGACCCGCCACGTCTTTTACATGGGCACCGACGGGTACCCGCGCGAGGTGGCCTCCTTTGTGGTTGCCAACGGGGGCTCCGAGGGCCCGGCCGAGAGCGCGTGGCGGGCGCAGCCCAAGCAGGCGACCGAGTTCTGGCCGCGCGCCGCTGACGGGGGCGACGCTGACTTTGCTATTGCCAGCGACATTGGCGAGAGCGTTATCCGCTTGTACTATTTTGTTGATGAGGTGAATGAAGGTGGGCGGCGGCTTGTCGAGGCGCGTTACCGTAACGGGAACTGGGACCCTGCCGCTCCGTTGCAGACGGCCAATGTCACGGCGGCTGCTACTGCGGGTGACGGGACCGGGAATGGGGAAGCGGGGCAGTCAGTCGAGGGGGGTAGTGGGGGGTTGTCGACTGGCGCGCAGGCTGGTATTGGGGTTGGTGTGGCCGTCGGGGTGTTGCTACTCGGGGCCGCGCTGGGGTGGTGGGTGTTGCGCTGGAGGAAGGGGAAGGCGGGCAAGAAGGTGGATGAGGAGGGCGCGGCGGGGGGCAGCAGTGGCGGTGATGCTCCCGGTTCGGAGGGTTCCGCGGCGGATGGCACCAGGGTGGACAGCGGTATGAGCCAGGCCTTGTGGGAGACGGATGTCAAGGATACTGTCATCAGTTCCGAGCCGAGGGAGCTCGACAGCCCGGACCCGAAAACCGAGCTGCCCGAGTCCGGGGATCGGAACGAGTTGCCTACGAATAAAAACGTGCCGGAACTGCCCTAGGGCTTGGTTGAAATGGAGTGAAAAAGGAGTGGCGGTTGGAGTGTGGCGGATGTGGCGCATAGCTCTTCAGTTGTTCATCTCGGGTACGGTTCTTCAGGACCTAGGGATAGTAAGGACGGTCTTTGCGGGGTGTACGAACCTGTTTCTCTAGCATTTTCCATTGCAGATATCCTTTTGCATCACCAATGAAGTACCAGTCGAAGAAGTTGAACTTTGCTGTCGCTTGAGGTCTCGGATCTTTAGCACCGTTGGCCTTGTTCAACTTGGACAAAAAACAGACAATGAACTTGAATTCCCGCTTAGACGCTGCAAATCAATTGTATCCGAAAGAATACTCCAAAACCTAAGTGTGGCGTGCTGCCGCCGCGCCCCCCTCCTCAAGCACAAGAGCGAACCCGGCAGGATACGAGATCCAAGGGTGTCTCATGACTCGATCCATGTCTGGCCGGTCCTCAGGTAGCCACTTGAACATGAGCTTCAAAAGACCTGTCAACATCACTGGTTCACCCCACTCCTCCGAGGCAATGGGCTCATCAGTCGGGACGGACGGAGCAATTGTTAGTCTCCAGCTGAAGTAATCAAAGCCAACATCCCGCTGCCGCTCGAGATGACCCAAGACGTGGTCTACCTCGAGGAAATCTCTCGTTCCCCACTGCTCCATTCTCCTGTCTTGCGTGGTCTTGATGAACCGCTTCATTCTGCTGACTGGCAGCGACGGGTCTGCCAGATCCGGAGGCAGCCCTGGCCTAAGAGGGCCTTGCATCCGTGTTCCTGTCCTGAGGTAGATCGCCTCAGCCGAGCGCTCCATCCACGCGGATCTGTACTCAAGTGGCATTGGCCCTAGGTAGTCTTCTAGACAAAGAATGACCTCTTGGGGTCCTAGGTGACTCTGGAAAGGAGGTTTACCAGACGCTGCGTGGAAGATTGTCGCGGCAAGGGACCAGACATCGCTGCTGTAGCTGAGGGGACCAATGCCTAGTAGATTCTCAGGGGCTGCGTACGGCGTGGGGATGCGTGTAGAGCTCCGCTGGAGCATGAATGGTTCGTAGCATGAACCCCACCCAATAATAGCGATGGATGGATCGGACTCAGAGATGAGGAGCTTGGCCACAGCATCTGGGAAAGCAAGGTTGACGGGCTTGACGAGGTATTGAGGCAGGTGAGGGCCCAAAGTGGTGTCGAACGTTCCCTCGTAATGTGACGGGGGCTTTTGTTCTTCGTCTGGCACGTTAACGCGACAGCCGAAGCCGTGATCGTCAAATTCAACCTCTCCCCATGGTGTGTAAAAGAAGGTCTCTGAGTCGTCGGGCGGAGAGCTCTTTGTTTTAACGAGGTGCGGGTGTCCAAGCAGTGCAACCATTTCCTCCTCCGAGACTCGGTGGATCTCGTCGGATGCCTTGAAGAAAATGTGCGAGGGACAGAACTCGCCGTGACATATGTTCCTGCTGTGCAGCAGGTGCATTGCCAACGCCATCTGTCGACAGACGCTCTTCAGAACGAATGGTTGGTCGAAGAAGTAGTCGGTCGCGTGGGCTATGCTGGGGCCAAGAAGGGGCAGGACGATGCAGATGTGGGCGCCGTTGGGTCCCGTTGCCCAGAAGTGCTCGAGGAGAAAGCAGAAATATTCGAGCTCTGGCTTGGGCGCTGGAACTCTGAAGTGGTTTGGAAGCATCAGGTCGGCGCAGCTTATGGCCGACTCGAAAGAAGCCAAGACTTTGATGGCTACCCATTTCTCGAGTTGAAGGTCGCGGCAAAGCCATACGGTCGCCCGCCGTCCATGGCCGAGCTTGTCGACAACCTTGAACCGGCCGCGCAGAGTGTCGCCGATGTGGATGGGGTGGAAGCCGCCTTTGCAATACCGACGTATATCTTCGACCGGTCCCCGAGAGTGGCCGAAATACTTCGGGGGAAGTTGAGCCATATGAGGAGACAGGAGTTTATTGTTGCTGGGTTAAGATATGCAACGGAGAGCATTGCAGCTTTGTGGTAGCAAGGATATAAACAGATCAGGCAGTCGTTGTTTTGATGCTTGAGCAAAGTCATGAGAGAGTAACGAAATTGGCGTTGAACCTGGAACTTGTGAAAGAGGCGGGAAGGAGGTATCGGTCTTCTCTGTGGGCAGGTGAGGTCTTGATAGCAGGTCAAGCCTGCCCGACTCAAATTCCTGGGATACCCTCTCTGGCTCCTTCCATTGTCTCTTGATTAACAGGTAGCACTGGAACCTTTGTGAATTGGCACTGGAATGATAACTCTAAACAACCGCGATGATATTGCCTCCTTCTATTACCTTAACTCTATTATGCTTGATATCCCCCAAGTGCTTGAACCTTGCAACGTATGTAACCAACCGCCTCACGCATTGTCCAATCTACTAACACACGATCGCATTGAGTATTAACCCGCGCGCCTCGCCTTGCACCCTTATACAGAAAGAAAAAGAAAGCGAAATCACTGGTACGTCAGATACTCCTCCGGCACCGGCGGCCACGCATCAATCCCGTCCTGAATCACCACGGCCATCCCACCCAGCAAATGACTCTGAATGTGACAATGCAGCAACCACACACCAGGCAGCGCAACGTGATACCGAACAGCCATCCACGTGGGCCCGTTTACGGCCGCGGGCGTGACGTAGCCGTCGCGTCGCGGGGGATCGACCAGGTTGAGAGCAAACTGGCCGGGCGCCGCGCGCATGGCCTCGTCAACGCTGGCCCAGGGGAAATCGCCCTCGCCATAGCCCAGTAGGTACATTTTGTTGCCGTGCTTGTGGACCGGGTGCGCGGGCTGCGGGCCCTCTGCGACAAAGATCAGGTCGACGTACGTGTTGTTGGTGGTTGTGATGGTCGTATTGTCGGACCGGTACGGCTGTGGGTCGAAGAGCAGGACGGGCGATGGCGGGGCGTGGTAGTCGGTCTGGGTGCTGTCCATGGAGGACGTGTTGAGCGCCCACTGGTAGCTCTGGCCCGTCACGCGCATCACTAGTTTGTAAGTCTGCGCGACGCTGTAGGTTCCGGGCGAGGGAAGGGTGTCGGCAGGGTTGAAGGGCTTCTGCGCCTTCTGGGAGAACCATATCGTGTCCGTCGTGGACGGTCTGCCGCCATCGGTGATGTAGGGGTCTGTCTTCTTGTCCGTGTGTCCACTGTGGCCGTCCTGTCCGCCTTGTCCACTTTGGCCGCTTTGGCTGCCTTGCCCACCTTGCCCGCCTTGTCCGCCTTGGCCGCTTTGGCCGCCCTGATGATCACCGTTAGGGAATCTGGGCTGCACGTTGGCCGGGACTATGGGGTCCTCGACGCGGTATGACAGGGTAGCGGAGCCGGCGATGACTTGGACCGCGACGGTTGATGCGAGGCGGATGGGGTAGTCGCCAGCTGGAACATTGGTAAGATCAAGAAGCACGGAGTACCTATCACCACTGTTCACTTCAATGGCGTGCACTAGCTGCGGCACAATATACTCGCCGTCGACGGCATAGACGTACATGGGCAGCTCGTCGATGGAAAACGCGGCCGTCAGCAGGCCAAAAGTGCCAATGACGTCGATGGCGACCCACTTCAACCTCTCGGACGGCCCTCGGACGACGTTGATAACCTCACGGGTGCCTGTGGTCGGGGTACATGTGTCGAAGATGTCCGGGGGAATCGCCGATATATTGGTCGGTGCTTCGGCCTCGACGACGTTGGCGATGACCTGGGCCGGAAGGCAGCTTCAATGTGTTAGTCCTCCCTTTGCTACTCACCCGATGCACCTGATAGCAGAGTCTCTCACTCACCCCTTGGCCGTATAGCTTGTGCCATTGCCCCTATCCAAATACGTCCTCCGGTCGCCATCCAAAAAGGAGGCAACCTTCTCCGGCGGCCAGCACTCGACGCTGCCCTTGCCATTAAAGAGAATCGAGTCATAGCAGGTAAGCTCTACCCCCGCAGCCTTGGTGATATCGTCAATCTCGTACGACGTCCGGTGCCTGAAATCAGAAACCAAAAGCCGGTGAGAATGCCTGGCAGCTTCTTCCATTGCCAGCAGTGCCACCTCGTCTGTGGCGATGAGGCTGAAGGGCAAGGGCTGATTCTGCCTGGGGCGGATGAGGATGGCGCCGTACATGCCATCATCGATCTGGCCTAGCTGGTGGGCATGGTACCAATAGCTTCCGTACTGAGTGGCGGTCCAGCGGTAGTTGAACGACCTTCCCGGCTGGATATGCCGCTGCGACAGGCCGGGGACACCATCAGACCAGGGCGTGAGGTACATTTCAATGCCTGCATCACGGTCAGCTCGGGTGTTCCACGGCATCGGAGGTAATATGGGCCAGACCGTGGAAGTGCATAGTGGTGTTGTACGGCAACTTGTTGTGCACCACAACTTCCACCTCGTCATCCTGGTCGATCTCCAGCGTCGGGCCAGGGAACTGGCCGTTCACCAGGACCATCTCTCGTGAGAATCCATCCGGGGCATATTGCTCCCAGGTCAGGGTCAGCTCGAAGGTTTTGCGCCCTGGGGCCTGGCGCGCCGCCGGGTTAGGGGGGAGGATGGGAGAGGCGAAGGAGCAAGATACGAGCGCAACGAGCAGAACACCCAGCCATAGCTGGGCGGTTCCTACGAGGTAATGCATGTCCGTGACCTGAGATCTTCAGGAACAGGCTACCTGCAGGAATGCACCGTGACGGACATAATACGGGACCGCGAGGATGGCAGAAGAGCTTCTCCCAGTGCTTTCGAGACAGCATCTTGACGGTATATAACTTGATCTCTGCGGCCATTAATAGTTTCCTTTTTTGTGTTCACCGACACCTGCACCAGTCGGTTGTTGGCGTTGATCGTCATGACTAGTCGCACGGGATTTGCAGACGTCGCAGGCGCGGATCCCAATCACTCTGTGCCATGACATGGAGCTAGCTAAGCCCTTGCTGTATCGCACAAGCCCGATTGATCCTGTCGACGATTGTTCCGGTGCCCGGGTGGGGGCGGCACCAAGCCCGCATATGTGCGCCAAGCTTTGAGAGCGCCGGACAAAACTACCTGTCGCTTGACCGGAAAACTTGAGCATTTCCAACAAGAGCGACTAAAGAATTCCTTGGCCGGAACGCGGGAACGGCCACGGGCGGGAATGAGCAATACATGGATCCACGACGTGATGGCTTCAGCTTTGCTGCAGCGTTGACATCCAGAGCACGATAAGACCTTCGGTGTTGCTCATGGTTGATTGGAGCCAGGGGTGAGAAAACAAGAGACACAGTAGGGGGTTCCGCCTGAAATAGGACAAGACCAGCAAGACTTCCAGAGCTGGATGCTGTTTCTGGCAGATCACAGCAGATCTAGAGCGCAGGGCGGATGCCGCGGGTGGCGCCAAGGAATCTCGAGATACCCGAGATGTGAGACCTCTGCCGGGGTTGAGGGCTTCAGGCCACCCAATCCTATTGCAACAGAGGGGAAGGTGCGAAATTGCCATACGCAGCCGATGGGAAAGTATAGGAGTTGTGTGCCCTAGAGCTGTGCCCTTCTTGAGCATGGCCACATCCTATTAGTATAATTGCCATCAGGCAAATTGGATGTCTCAACGAGATTTTGTTCACACGCAAGACTGTTTATAGGGGTTACGTACGCATCGCCATTCCTACGCAAGGTTCTTCCCGAAAATATCTCGAGAGTCCGGACCAATGGAGTATCAGCCAGGCAACTAAGGAGATTCGGCATCAAGATACCTACTTTCAATCCACCGGAGATGGTTTATTGAGTAGTTGGGTTGAACAGGGCTCGACGTGAGAGGCGCAACAACGTGGAAGAAAGTCAAGGAACCCACGAAGTGACGAAAGCGAAAAGCTGGTAAGCGGCAAGCCAGATCTGTCGCGGATGATGCCTTTTGGGCATGAATGATCAATGATACGGGCCTTGATTGGCCCCTTCCCTAGTGAACGATACCTATCGTGCAAGGGCAGATCTTGTCCCGGCCATGGCGCCGCGCCACTGACGCAGAGAAAACACATCCAGCGCTCTTCCACGACGTGTAGTTCTTTTTCCTAGGGAAGTCACCCCCGAGGCCGGATCTAGACTGATTGACTTGACAGTTTCGCAATCGCTTTGCCATAGCACGTCATCAGGCACATGACTCGAAAATGCTTGGTTTGTACTTTGTAGTTCAGAAGGCCGTAAGAAGCAGAATCGGTGTGATAAGTATCTTTTGCTTTTTGGCACTAAGTTAGAATTGAAAATTTTTATACGAAGTTGTTGTAATTCAAGAGATCCTGCAGGGTTAGGGTTGAGAGTGCTATCTCCACCAAAACTTTGACGTTACAGAACTTCAGATCAACAAATCTTGTGCGCATGTGCTTCGACCACATCAACATGGCGGCTCAGCCACAACCACCAACACCATCGGTTGACCCCACCGATCCCAAGATCCTAAGGTGGGACGACATCGGTTTGACCTTGATCCTCGATTTCATTAGCGAATCCGAAGAAGCGACCATGATCGCCGCATTCCATGCCGCAGAGTCAAACCACTCAGACCCCCCACTGAACACCAGGAAACGCATCAGTCAGCACTTTGGCCACCACTTTGACTACACCACGTTTGGCGCCTCGGAAACACACTTTACCCCAGTGCCGCCCTACATCAAAGCCATATTACCGCGCCTCCCCATTCAGAGCTACCTCCCGGACCAGTTCACCGTCCAATACTACCCGCCAGGCACAGGCATCCCCCCGCATGTTGACACACATTCCATGTTTGGCGAGGCACTATACAGCCTCTCCTTTGGCAGTGCGGTGCCCATGGTCTTCCGGATGTCGGGCCCCAACGACGCGCGGAAGATGCGCTTGCCCAAGAGGTCGGTAGCCGCAGGGAGCGGCACTCCCGAGTCACCATCGAGGCGTCCTCCTGAAGTCGCTGGTCGAGATGATCAAAGCGGAAAGCAGACGACCGATGACAATCACGAGGAGCACATGCATCCCTCGTGGGAACTGATCCTCCCGCCCCGCTCCCTGCTTCTCATGACGGGAGCTTCTCGGTACGGCTACACGCATGGCATCAGGCCCCGCAAGACCGATGTCATCGACGGCCAGACCGTACGGCGGCAAGGGAGGTATTCTATCACTATGCGCACCGTCAGACGTGGGAGCGAGATTGGCTGTCAGTGTGAGTTCCCGGGGGTCTGTGATGCCAGGATAAGGGAGGAGATGGCGTTGGCACATGGTCCTCCAGCCCAGCGCCCGTAGTGTAAACTTTCAGTCTTCTTAACAACCGCGTGCAAGATGAAACACTTTCTTGGCGATATTGATCTGGTTCGTATGCCCATTTTCTTTGGCGTTTCGAGCTGCTCTGTCGTGGAGCAATACCGCGGTTAACGCAAGTTGTGGCTTAGGCCTTAAGGTTGGCTCGGCTGGCTAGAATAAGGTTGAAACGGTGGGTGGTTTGAAGTTGATGGAAGGAACTGCCTACTAGTAGTCTGTGCAGCAGAAGTTGTTAAATTCCTTGGGAAGGTATCGTATGGTATCTCCAACCCCCCAAGTCCAACCTCCAGGTTCACTTACACATCACGTCAGCTAAGGTATTCCTACACTCCTAAGTTCAGGACCTCCACACCAAGATGCAGGACATCAAGACAAGATTCCTTGTCATCTCGGATACCCATGCGGAAAAGGGACTCGCCATCCCAGATTTACCTGTCGACGTGGCCATCCACTGTGGTGACCTGACAAACGAGTCAAAACTTGACGAGTTCCGCACGACCTTGGATCTCTTACGAACCATCAACGCGCCTCTTAAACTTGTCATCGCAGGAAACCACGACTTTACGCTGGACACACCAATGTTCATGAAGAAGAGAGCGCAGGCAGAAGCCGTCTTTTCGATTGAGCCGGGGCTTATAAAGAAGGAATATGGCGACTTTGGCGACGCCCGACAGCTATTTGGGGATGCTAGAGTAGACGGCATCGTGTTTCTTGACCAAGGTGTCCACCACTTTAATCTCGACAACGGCGCCAGCCTTACAGTCCACGCCAGCGCCTTTACCCCATCTGTAGACGCCGACTGGGGGTTTCAGTACAAACGGGGAGAACACTACGACTTTGCTATCAACAACGGGGTCGACGTCGTCATCACCCATGGCCCTCCCAAGGGTGTATTGGACTTGACAGCCTCCAAGCAGCGCGGTGGTTGCGAGCATCTCTTTGCTGCCGTCGCGAGAGCCCGGCCACGCCTGCATTGCTTTGGTCATATTCACGAGGGTTGGGGCGCCAAGTTGGTGGCATGGCGTGACACGCCCAGCGAATCCCCTCACATTTTGTCAACATCAACAACGGCGAATCGGCTGTGGTGGACACTCTGGCAACACTCCTCCCAGGAAAGTGGGATACGGCCCAGGATATCGTGGAGAAAGAGGCCCGACTTCGGGCACTCAGGGCGGATGGGTACCGTGCCACGGACCATTCCTCATGAAGCGAGCACCCTATCGTGCCAGGACAGACGACGCTCTTCGTCAATGCGGCCATCCAATCGACAGAGGAGGGACAAGCCCAGTTGCCGTGGGTCATTGACATTGAGCTCCCCGCCGCCATCGATTCAAGCTGTGTGTAGGATGCCTGCTGTCACTGAATCTCTCAGCCGTCCACTGCCACCAGTTTGTGCGGTTGGCAACCTACCAGTAAAGTCTTTTCTGCTCCCCACCGACATCGACCAGCACCACAAAATTGGCTCAAGAGCGTCACGCCGATGTTAACGGCAGATTCCGCGTCATTTGATCAGCCTCCCGCTTGGCAACAGTGGGCTAGGAACGCCAAAAGCTGCTGGCTGCCGGGGGCGGCGTATCACTCCAATCTTATCAATCAATCTCTATGCTCTCGGCCATCACCTTACTCGGAAAAGCCAGAACTGCAGCTTGCTTTCGCGCCAGCAATCTTGGCAACACGCCATTACTTCAAGTCGTCCTATGGGCTGATGAGCATCAGAGTGCACCATCCGTTCGTCACTAACCGCGGACGCATGTTTTCGGCGCGGTGAGCGAGATTCCGCCCGCTTCTTGTCGTCACGAGGGTGACGAGAACCGCCATGGGACAGGGCTCCGTCGTAATGATAGGCTTGAACCCCTCCCCGTCGAGCATACCTTACTTGAGCCCCCATACCGAGCGGTTTTGCTCCTGTTGACCTGCCTTTGCCCGCGTCATCTGTCGGTTGGAGTCCACACCTCGATTTCAGAGAGTCTCACGATCATCCCTTTGAGTCCCGCCTCTTGCACTGAGATTACTACCTGATAGTTCCCTATGGGGTATTTCACCACTATTCCTGAGGCATGGCGCCTCTTTACGCCAGTTGAGAGACGCAACATCGCCATATACATCGTCGGAATCGTGCTCTACAAGTTTGGACTCGAAGCTTTCAACGGCTCAGTTGTCGCACTTGCCACGAACCGCTATGATTATGACGCGTCCATCTCCAATACGGCCCCCAAGACTTTTGAGCGGATCGGTCTCTTGACGGGCCTGAACCAAGCATTCCAAGTGGTTGGCTCCATCATTATTGCCCCCTTGATCAAGCGGTATCCGACACAGAAGGTCCTTGCTGGGGCAATCCTTGTGTTCGGTATCTTTTCGGCCATCCTTTTGATCGTAGACGGGGCAACCGGAGGACAATTTCTTCCAGAAGCGTACCGAGGGGTTGGAAAACACCCCAAGAACCAGTATTGGTACTACGGCGATTTCAACACTGACGGGATGATTCCGATATACTCCATCTGTGGTATTGCTTACGGCATGATTGAGCTAATCCGACGCGTTATTCCCCGGGATATTGTTGGCGGCAATGTCAAGAAGCTCCGGGTCATGGACTCACTGGTAGGCTAGGTCAACCAACTCTTTTGCGATTCAGCGGGTTCATGCTAACATGCCCACCAATCCTACCTAGGTTCACGTCTTCAACGAACTCTCTGGTACGGCTGCTGCATTTTGCACAGCCCTCGGTCTCATTCCCAACCTGGGCAACAACAAAGCCTTTCTTATCACCCCGCCCTGTTTTGCGCTTGGGGCTCTCGCCTTCTATGCCGTCAAGATCACCACTGTCACCAAAACAGAGGAGCCTAAGGGCGGGTGGGGCTTAAGATCTTTCGCAAAAGCCTTGTACACCAGCTTCCTCGTCTTCTTCGAGTCCATCTACGTGGGTGGCAAGATCCTTCTTTCCTCAAGGAAGTTTGCCTGGCTTATCCCGGCCTACACGATTGCTCTCTACGGGCATCGCTACCTTGAATCCGGCATTGTCCCGCCCGTCGCCCGTCGTTACTTGGGTGAATCGTCGTGGTCCCAGATCATCATCGGAGGGTCCAATCTGGGTGAGCTGATCGGCGCGCTTCTCGTGCTCTTCAGCTACAACCTCATCCCCACCCCTATCCCCTGGATTCGCCTCGACGCCCTCACGCTGCTCGTGGTCTGGTACATGCCCTTCTGGCGGCCTCCCGCGGGCGACGTGTCCCAGGCCTGGATCGCAGCGGCTACGGTGCTTCCCGTCTCCATGTGCTGGTCTGCGGGTGACGTCTCCCTTATTGCGTACATCCAAGCACTGCTCACGCGGACCGAATCCGAAGAGGAGAGGGTTTCGACTCTAGGAGCTGTCATGGCGTTCTTGTACTCCATCAACATCATTTTCGTTGCGGTCGCTTCGCCTCTTCTCGGGCGGTACATTGATCAAGTGTACACCCAGACCGGTGGGACCAGCGGCGGCAATATCTACGAAGCCATCAAGAACGTTGGCGGTGTTCAGTTCACGGTGATTGCCGTTATTGTCCTGGCTTCGACGTTCGTTCCCAGGGGCTCGTGGGCACTGAATCCTCAGATGCTGTACAATGAGAAGTATGATAAGGACGTGTCCGACGAGGAGGCATTGCCAAAGATACCCGTCGGGGAGAAGGCTTCCCAGGATGAGAAGTGCATGGATGAAGTCATCACCGCGGCTCCAAACCCAACAATCTGAAGTTATTCACCACGGCCGGGCTCTGGTTTCGCTCTCCCCTTCATGATATGATTACGGTCTGTTCAAGCTGCTTCCTTTCTACCTATTCAGTTTATCAGGTCCGGCAGGGTGGATGCTGCGGGAATCGCTTCATCTCTTGTCGCTATTCGTACGCTGATTTCATGCCTGGTAACTCGATATTCAAGTTGGATTCATTCTGATTGGCATCCGTGCCTGTTGTATGAGGATTTGCTCCCGCCTTCTCAGCATCTGAACTTCTGAAGCGCCACCTCAAGGGGCGATTCATCGATTTCACCGACGTCGCCTAGTTGTTGGTTTAGGAAACGGCATGAGGAATCCACTTTACACACATTATCTCTATTTACCACCGCTGTGTAATTACTGGGTTGGTCACACTGAACTTGTCGACCCTCGGCTGCGATTGCCCTAATTCGCAACGTCAGAACCCACTATAAGTGGTAGTCTGACGTCGATGATGTCACGAGATGGTGTCCTTGAGAATTCTGGCCTCACAAATGTCAATCCTCGTCATGCTCTTTGATAATCAGCACAAAGTAGGTCTAGGAGCCCCTTAATTCACATATCAATTTGATTCGCGAGTGCTTGCAGTTACATAGACACGACAACATACTTAAGAATGCCCAGGGACGAGCAATACACCAAGAACAAATCTGATCAATATGTCGATGGACTCGCAGAGGAAGGTCTGGAGGAGGGCAATCCATTCCAGCAAAATGCCGCAGATGATCAGCTGATACTCGACCCGAACGAGGCTGCAGTTGCGGCTGTTATGAGTCGCGACGAGAACGCAGCAACGGCTAGCAAGGGCAGCACTAACGACATGAAACGTGATGATGCCCAATTTCGTCACCTGAACCAGCCCAAAACCACCAATATATTCCTCCGGCAAAACTCGGCAGAATCCTCTATGACAACTGAGCCAGACGACACCGACGTCGAACGAGGTGGCTCACCCGAACGCAGGGGTTCGTCAGCAAAACACCCCCGGTCCATAGTTGACGATGCGACTGGCGATGCCTCCAATGAATCCGACCCTGAGGTCCGCCGGCTTGTCAAACGTGCCCGCGGAGATGATGGTCGGGCTGTAATCATCCAGCCTGATGACGACGTTGAGGAACAAGACCGCAAAATGCAGGCCAATTTCGATGTCCGCAACCCCGGCTACGATCATGATCACGAAATTGACGAGAATGAACCCCGACAGACGGCCGAGGAGGATTTCGACCGTCCGACCGAAGTCGCGCCTATGCCGCTCGTTGACAAAATCTCGGAGCATAGGGATCACGATCCTGTCCCGAGAGACGCTGACGATCAGGACGACGATATAGAGACAAAAAGAGATGATGACTACGATGTGGAAAACTATGCCGAGTTTGAGGACGACGATGACGATATGGAAGGACCCGCCAGGGACACAGTTGGGAATGAAGAGCTACTCATCGATGAGGATGAACTCAATGGATGATTGAACTCGGTCGTGGCATCACAGTCGTCCCCTGGCATAGACACGGGGTTGTGCGCATTTCCATGTGTACATACATGTATTGTAACGGTATAACCCGTGCAGCTTGACAGCTCAACTACCTACATGACATTGTATTGTGCAGCGTTCCCTAACTGGAAGCTTCACCATTGTCCAGTTTGGGAGTACGCCCGGACACGCAGAGAACACCCGAGACAATGCGACTCTCAGAAGCCACACCATCGCCGGGTCGGAAGTCACGTACTCCAGCAGCAAGAGGGTGTCACTGCTCCCAGCTTGTTGAGTCGTCACCTCAAGCATTGGCCGGGTTGAACATGCAGTAGTCGATATTCCTACCCGCGCCGATACCCCCATTGTTACCGGCCCAGGTAGGGAAGCTGTGTGCTGCTCTGTGTCAGTCTAGGCATTTGGCCAAGAAGCGGCAACAAAGCCCAGCACTCACCGGTACCGCTGCCGCCAAAAACGGCGAAGGACAGGATGAACACGAGGACCTGAGTGCCCCCGTCGAGAGCAGCTGAGGTAAGATAGTTCCACTTGACGAACCACTCGGGCTTGTACCGGCGGAGATAGAGTTGTGCGAAGAATCCGGCTGCGAAGTAGCTGAGGATGGACGAGTTGACGCCCACGAAGAGCCAGCCCATGTACCACTGCATCATCTGTTAGGGGGGCATGTTTCTCTATGACACAACAGGCCAAGAGCAGCTAGCTAAAGCCGCAGAATGATACTTACCAGGATGATGCTCAGGTTGATGTACTTGAAGACGCGAATCTTGGTCTTCCTGTACTGAAGCCAAAATGGCACTGGGACAGCAAACCCAAGCAGGTACGCAAAGGGTTACCCACTGGTAGCGCGCACCAACGCTGAACATATCGCTAGCCATGGACCAGGCGAGGGCGAGAGTGTTGTACTGACGAAACATGGAAGCCATTAGGTTATTAAGGTACTTATCTGACTTTGGATGTTTCAGAGGCTCTTGGACGTAGTGGCTTACCTGCTGGACATTCTGTCCCGACCAGACATTCGACCCTTCGATCGAGGTCAGAACCTCGAACTGGGAATCCACGATACTCTGCATCATGATATAGTCGAATATGGCGCCGATGATGGTGCCCAGCATCTGTGCACAAAAGGTCGAACGAGGCGACAGATGGGCGAGCTGTGCCAGCTTAAGGTCGCGCAGAAGCCACTGGCCCTGTTGGACACCGTTGAACCCGAAGACGGTGAAGTACATGTTTGCTAAGAACCCAACGTGTTAATAACAGTCAAGTCAGGGTCTGATGTTATCCTTGCTGGTGTACCTCGAAATTAGGACTTACCGAGGGGCTTTCCCGGGTGGATGTATCCTGCCAACATTTGCAGGATAGGCTGCTGATTGAACTGAAACCCGGTAATTCCCATCTGGGCACCGAAAAACAAGATGAAGATGGCGGCAAAGAGGTTGGCGAGTATGAATCCCCACCATGGCAGAGTCGAGTTGGTCCCGTACAACGTCCCCATTCCAAGAGCGAAAGCCACCACCAGCACGCCAAAGTACCACCACTGTTGCACTTCTCGGTAGCCGTTCTGCACCATCAGTCTAAATAATTGTAAGTTAAGGTTGTAGCTAAGCGGAGGAGGGGCAGACGGACTTGTAATGAGGATCCTTGTCCGGGTCGGCCAGGACTCGTCTCTTGTAATCTTCCTGCGACTCGCGAGCTTCCCAGAATCGCCAAAATGACGGGTCGAGAACTCTCTTGAGGTTGTGAGGAGCGAGGAAGGACCATCCGTCTTTGATGTCCTAGACCGGTCATTAGAGTCAGGGGAATTGAGGCAATCGACTGTTTCATCAATGAGACTCTTCTTACATCGTAGTTCCACAGCAGCATATGAACCAAAGCAGCCGTGATACCCATATTTGTCGTTATCAGGTAGGCGATGTACGTGGCGGTCATGTGCGGAACGCCAGCTGCCTCGACAGCAGTGCTGTTGATCGTATGTTCAGGGGTCAAGATTTGGGTTAGGTTATAGGTCACAAAGTTTGTTGAGTTGGAGCTGCCATCGTACAGCAGCTGGGACATGAAGGGGAAGTTCTGCGATTCCCAGACATTGCCGTAGTAGAGGCCCATGAAGAGGACAATGCACAGAAGGTAGCCTATGCAGCTGTTGGTGAGTGTGTACAGGGGTACCCACAGCGGCGAGCCCAGAAAGGCGATATATTGCCAGTCGAAACTGACGGACAGGAATCCGAGACCTTCGTTTCCCTGGGAGCCGCCAAACAGATTAGTGAAAACAAGCGAGTTTTGATGCACCAGACAGAAGATGGAAACCCCCTGCAGGAGTGGGAAGATCCATTCCTAGTATACAGCAGCAGCCCCTGAATCAGCAGTCGAGCCTGGACTCAATCTGGAATGCCCAACACCACGACGGGTTAGATGTCTAGGTAGGGAAGGGGCAAAGCACTTACGGGAATTATCTCGTAACAAAACATGACTAAGAAGATGGTCAAGAACACCTTCACTCGCCTCGAGGTCTCGGTGCGGTCTCGGTGCAGCGTTTCCATCAGCGAGTTGACAGGAAGATTAATGGGCCAGAGCATCTTGGTCGGCTGCACCAAGATACTTCGCAGAAGACCGGCAATTCCATACGCCAACAGCTGTGACGAGATGACGAGGAATATAGCGGCGCCGGTGTTGGGTTCCATGTCGTAGTACAGGCGCTGCGCGGCCAGGATCTCGGTAGCAACGGCGGTGGTGGCGCCCGAGGATGCCATGACGACGATGAAGGCATGCTCCTTTGAGTTGAAAGGAAAGGGATTCAGAAAGCGCCCGACGGGGCCGAGGCGAGGGATGTATGCCAAGATCTCTCCAAGAATGTAGGCGATGACTGTGAGGAAGACTACGCTAACGTAGATGGCTTGTGGCTTGAAGTAGTATCTGGCTGGATCAGTACGGTTATCCCTGCTTGCTACATCAAGCTCAACCTCATGTGTTTCGGGTTCTCTTACATTGTCTGCAGAACGGCCGCAAAGATGGCCAAGCCAGACCCTGTCGCATGTGTCAGCCCGATGCCTCTTTGCTAGATGTGGCCATGCAGAAACAGCATAGTGGATGTATTGGTTGGACCATACCGAGGAAGAGGGCCCGGAATGTCCATGGGCTAAGGGACGGGTTATCGTCGACATGGAGAACGTGAGTTATAAGCCCCTTGGCGTCAGTAATGACCTCTTTCTCCCCAAAGTGGTCCTCCTCCCGCGCGTCGTAGGTTGGTAAATCGATGTTGCTGGCATCCTTCTGGATGGCAGCTTTCTCGTTTGTGATGGCATGCTCCTCATCCTGGACCTTGGGGTTCTGCTTTTCACCCGGAAAGGACATGACGTCCGGGCCGGACTCGGTCCGAGCCGCCTCGCGAGGCTCGGCGGCAGCCATGACGGATGCAGATGGTGTTAGCGGTGCCACCTAATATTTGCAAAGGACTGAGAATAACCACGAGCCAAGAGTGGCGCCGAGAAAGTCAAGAGGTCGGATCCGGAGAAGATGGGAATGGCATGCATACTGATTACAATAGGCTCCTTGGGAACCACTGCCCCGGGGCCATGTAGTCTCGAATTCCATTCAGGACCTGCCTAAACCGGGAATCCCACAATGCTTGGTCCAATGTCTCGTTCGGTGCCTGGGATTGAGAGAACTTCCAAGTACCGTATCTCGCCATCCAAGAAGAGCCTGGTGATTGCTATCCTGATTGCTCGAGATTGGTAATGGACAGCATGGGAACCGAATCCGCCGATACCGGGGTTGCTGCCGTTGACGAAGCACCTTCCTAATATTGCCAGTCCCAGAAGGGGGATATTGCGGGAATTGTGATGGTCCTTTGGAAATATTGCGGATATATTTCTTGCTTGAAGGGGTAAAGGATATGGTGTTGATGGACCCTCGTGATAAGGATATTGCGGCAGTTGAAGTTACGATAACCAGCCACTACCTCAGCATATCTTGACACAACAGCAGAAGCCGCGCTCTCTGCACATTTAGGGTGTCTATCGATGCATACCGCTGTCTCACCCGTTAGTCTTCCAGACCCGGATGGTCTTGTTGCTAGACGCCGATACTAGAATCCTAGAGTCGGGGGAGAAGACGGCTGACCAACGCCGTCCTGGATGGTTCAGTGTCCGTCGCACCTGGGCAGTAGTCGTATCCCAGAGACGGATTGTCCCGTCATAAGAGACAGATGCTAGCAGTTTGGAGTCATGCGAGAAGGCTGCTGCGCAAACCACACTTGGCTCTTCCTTGAGCGCATGACGCTCCTGTCCAGTAGCCACATCCCAAAGCCGAACAGTTCCATCCCAGGATGCTGATGCTAGAATCGTAGAGTTGTATAAGAAGCAGAGTGAGGGAACCCTTCCCAAGTGTCCCCGAAGGGTTTGCTGTAGCTGGCCGGTAGTCGGATCCCAGAGCCAAACAGGCCCGCTGATCGATCCTGCTGCTAGGAGTCTGGAGTCGCCCGAAAATGCTAGCGAGATACCTACGCTTGAGTGGCCCCGTAAAATCCGATGGAGTTGTCCGGCAGTTGTATCCCAGAGCCGAATTGTATGATCGGAACCTGCTGATGCCAGCAGTGTAGAGTCGTGCGAGAAGACGACTGAGTAAACACCGTTTTCATGCCCGTCAAGAGCATGCTGAAGCTCGCCTGTAGCTAAGTTCCAAAGTTGAATCCTGCTATTAGAGGAGGATGAGGCTAGTAGTTTAGAGTCGTGAGAGAAGGCGGCCGACCATATTTTGCCATTGCCATAAAGTGTCTGCAGTACATGGCCAGTGGTTAGAGACCAAAGCCGAATGGTGTAGTCGGCGGATCCCGACGCCAGCAGTCTAGAGTCGTGCGAGATGGCAACTGACGTGACTGAGTGCCCGTGTCCAGTGAGAATCCAGTGAGGCTGGTCAGAAGCACGGTCCCAGAACTGTATACTGGTCGGTACCGGTTGATCTGGTTTCACTGCGTCTAGAGTGGTCACATCAAGGGTGACTTCAAGCGTGTAAAAGGTCCGCTCCGGTTTGATGGCGAACATTGATCGTCCTTCACATTGCTCTAGTACCAATGCCAAGTTGATAAATCCATTTCTTGCATTTTCCCTTCCAGCCACTTCCTGCATAACAAGCAACGGCTCTCCAACCAATGACTCTGGTAGAGTGTCCCTAGAGCAGGTGGTGATATGGTAGCGAGCATCAACCACGCGGCCCTGCTGAGTAAACATGAGTAAGACAAGGAAATCCACGGAGCCTTCTGAGTCGTGGCGTAGCCGGACCAATGTTGGAGACATCCCCCCATATAAGTTAGTCGCGGGTACAATCTTAGATCGTTCCTCGTGCCACGAGAATCGCGGCATCACATCAAGCACTTCTAGCCCGATGTCGGCAAAATCACCATCATCATAAGTCCAGCATTGTTGGCCTGAGCTCTGTGCATTCTCTCCATTATCGTTCCTAAGATAAATGACTTTTCTTGCGACATCAGGCCTAGGGCGTGACAGTAGAACCGAGCGGCGACCCCTAGATCGAGTAAACTCGTTGGAACTTCCCACTGCTACCTTCGCAAGCGGGATTCCCACGGATTGTTGGGAGTCTTCCTCTGGGCCGCAATTGAGCAGTCCGATAGTCTCGGTAGAAGTGGCGATCACTGACAAGGAGACACGAAGACTGCCCCCAGATATCTCAAGCTGGTCGACGTAGGCCGTGCGCTGGTCTTGGGGAACGATGTGACCGGAATGTGCAAAATCGGACGGGCTGTTTGCAAGAATCCCTCCCCCGGGTTGGGCTTGCTCCGAGCCGCTGGTAGGCCCCCCAAGGCCCCATGCCAGGATGGAGTGATCACTTGTGGTCCTCATAATGTGCTCCTGCAGCCGCATGAAGGCACGATCGCGGCCTTCCCCGTAAATCATAGGCATTGCTATGCCGAAAATGCCGAGGAGGCAATAAGCAATATCTTCGGGCCTTCCGGTTTGTCTCTGGGCGGCCCAGGACATGCGTGGCGCAACGCTGGCCGAGCTTATATCGCTACTACCACGTAAGAACCGCTCTGGGATGCCTGTGATCTGTTCCACAACGGTCCGCAATTGCACCTTGGTGCCCAGGCGGTGCCAGTCGGTGCTGAAGAAGACCAAGCGTTTAGGCGCTAGGAGTTCTTGCAGAGTCCACCCCCTCGAGAACCAGCGGCTTGTCCGGAAGCTAGATCCTTCAGCCCGGGGATCCTCGCCGTCGTGAACATCAGACAGATAGGCATAGCAGACGGCTGCGTGCTGATACCATCGAAACATGGAGTTGATGGCCTCGCTGAGTTCCACGAGATTGGTCTTGTCGATACAGCAGGTGTCAATCCAGACATAGCCGAAGCCGTCTCTCTTGGCTTGCTCACAGCAACCCTTCAACTTTACCGATCCGACGCCAGGTTTTGTCGTTGATTCCCTGCTCGACTTCGCCAAATGTAAGGTCTTCAATGTCTCTGCCCCAAGTATGCGACAGGATGGCGTAACGGGGCATCCCATATTCGGGGAACTCCTCGAACCGGGTCGTCGTTACGTTGATTAGGCGCATCGTCTGCGAAGTTTGTGGTGAGCCTACCAGTAGTTCGGGAACACGAACTTGAAGCGAACTGTAACGGAGTACCAGTAGGACTTTACCAATTCTGGGTCGATAAGAGGACTTGGGATCAAGATCCAGAGTATACGGCGTGTAGCGCACAGTGTGTAGCCTGGCAAACGGCAGTTGCACCGTTGCACGAGTCCGAGTCCTGGATTGATTTGGACGCTCTAGGTGGACGCCGTCGCTCGCACCTTCCAACTCGAAGTAAGTGGGTGTCTCCTGTTAAGCTTGGGAATATTGAAGTGAATGTTGGTTCGTGTTGACAGTCAATGGAAACCTGAGTGAGGAGACCCCAACGAAGTTGACCCAGGAAGTGCCCTCCTGAGGAATACTGCGCAACTGCGCATCAAGGGTATCCGCTGTGTGATTCAGCTGGACAAATGCAAGGCCAACATTTGCCTGTCGGATTGGCTGAGGTGCTGCAGGCCTGTCATATCTGGTTAGGTTGGGCTCGTCTGCTCTATGTCGCGTTCGAAGGTATAACTGCACCGAGAGCTTTCACATAGGTAAGGTACTTATTGAACTAAATTAAGCCCGTGAAGAAGGTAAAGTGGCATCCATGTTCACCATCTGCATTCATGTCTCGCACTGCGCTCGATCCAAGAGTTGGCCATGTCGGTACCTCAACCTCACATATCCCGCTTCTGAACCCGCCCGAAGTCACTTATTTGGACGAGTCCTGTATCATCCAGGAGGATGTTCTCCGGTTGTAGATGGCCGTGCAGGAGTACCTACCTAGTCAAGGCTCTGAAGCCGGGCAGGTAGCGAGCAACTGCAGAGTGGTTGGGCCCTAGCTGTGATTTGTTGCAACTTGCAAGCATAAAACCTGCAGAGCTTTTGCGTTCAACCCCCCGCATCCTCCGATGCCTCGTTTTTGCTCTTGATCCGAGGTCGACCGACGACAGCAGGCACTAGGTAATCTCTCAACAACCAGTCTTCCACTTAGTACTATTACCTGCAACGACTAGCACAACCATGTCAGGCGACAGTGAGTGGAAGTCGGCCGATCAGGGCGAAAAATTGAAGTTGCTTCTCGAGGAGAGCCGGAGCGACAGCGAGAAAGCGGCGATGCTTATCGAATTGCTGGAAACGGGCTTCTTCAACGCAAATTCCCAGCTCGAATCCGAAGATGATAGCGGAGATGGAGTGGAGGAGGTCAGGGTCAGTTCATTGGAACACGACTCGGGGTCTCTATTTGGAGCTGGCTAACTCGAAAATTCTCCTGGGACCAAATAGTGAGAATTGAATCTTTCCCGCAGCTGCCCAGCAGCGCCTCCGACCCCGAGCCTGAGATCGACCTCGAGGGCGATGTCGGGGTCATAGCCGGAGCCGTGTCTATATCTGTTGGACCCCGTACGAAGTCTTCGAGTCTGTCTGGCCGCAGCTATTTCGCTGCTTCCAGGAGAAAAGCAGCCGGCAAAGCACGAAACCGCAGCTCACAGTTCAGTCTCAATGACGATCCAACACTTCTTCATAGCCGTCCACAACCCGTGTTCGAATCTGGTGGGAATGAACGAAAGATATGGCTCTCGAACCCACTCTCCTGGGTTAGAAAAAAGACCTTGAATCTGTCTCGGCGCCTGGTCCACCATCTCGAAAAGTTTGAGGAGGACCCGGATGCGAATGTCGACCCCCACCTGGCCTATGGGGAGTTCTACGCAGCGGCCGTTTCCCCACGGGACGAGCCTCCCAAGTCGGCGTCACCCAGGGTTCCGTCCCAGTCTTTCGGCCGAATGACAGCCAATGACCATATCCCTTCAGCAACCGGGGTCGGAAGCAAAGAACCACCAGAGTCGTCGTCTAGAGGCCTGGAGCCGGATCGTGAGATGGGAGGTGGCACCCTCCCGCAGCCCCCAACGACAGCAGAAAGACCAAGCGAATTCGAAGCCCTCTTACGAGCCAAGGTCTTCAAGCCCTTCATCAAACTAACGGCATTCCTACCCGAACCCCACTGGGACACCTCGGGTACCGGTACTAGTATTCATGGCCTGTTCTGGGAAACCAAGACTCCTCACCCGCTACAGTCTACTTCCACTAGGCCAATTCATAGCGGAAAGAGAAAGGGAGGTGAGAGAGACGCTGAAAGAAGTCGAACTCGGAGTCGGCATCAATGTCTCTGGCTTCGGCGTCGAGGTCAGCTCGAAGGGGTTCCTACCGCTCGTCAAACCATATCAGTGGATCAACATGTGGCGAAACGTCCCGCGGGAGATGTATGTCTGTGATGATCCCTCCGAACCCGGGGGAGAGGGGGAAGCAGGCGGCAAGCTGGACATGGAGAAGCTCCACGAGCTCGAGAACGAACTCATGAGCTCGGTGAAGTACCAATGCGGCCAAAGCGAGTACATGACCGTCATAACCTACAGCGACGACGTTAAATCGGGCGCTGTCGCCTTGCTCAAGGCCGAGTTCGGCAGCGGGCGTGCCGTCACGGGGCTGCGCTTGGAGGCGCGCTTCAAGGACATGCCCAGGGAGGTATGCCGCATGTTGGCCAGGGACGGAAACCCGAATCGTATCGAGCTGAGACGAGTTGGGAGGACGCTGAGCTGTCGAGCACGGGGGAAACAGCCCGCACCGCGCCCGGTGGCAGTCGTTTCAGGGAGGAAGAACTTGAAGGAATGGACAAGTATCGGCCGAGGCTGGAGGAAAGCGCTGCACATCACTCTCCATGACGATTTGGACTGTGACTTGTCCCCTAGGGAAGGGCTCGTTGCGACGGTTCCGCAGATGCTGGCGCTGCTCCACCTTAGTTGTCGTGCCGTCGACTTCGTGCCGTCAACCCCGATCTTTAGCTTTGAACCGCCGCTTTCAGGCAAGGTTGATGGTCTTGCTTCCAAGATCCGAAGGGGAATCAAGCTGCTCGGCCCGCCGAGCGGTGCGCCCCACGTGGGAAACTCGGTGACGATTGCGGTTTTATTCTCGCGCGAATCCCGCTGGGTGACGGAACAGCTATTTTGGGCTTAAGGAACTGTCATTTATATGGTTTTGGGGATCGATATCGTGATTGCGTGCACGAGGTTGAAGATCATCTACCTCAATCCTTCGTAGTCGCGACTCGCGAGTGTCCCGACTTGACTCTCGAAGGTAGGTTGAGAAGTTCCAAACTTGATTGGCTTCGCAAATCGGAAACAGAAAATTGACCCACGATGGACTTCGAAATTTCCGCCAGGTCCGCTAACCGCTTTGGAAAGGCGGTCAACTTACGGGGTTAGGGTTATATATACCCAACCACAGTGGCCTTGATGCCCCACCCGACCTTCCAACCTTTGATCAAGTTTCCTCCATCGGCCTACAACAACAATGCTACCTCCGTACAATCTACGAATTCATTACAATTCCTTCATCTTCTCCAACCGACCTTTAATGCTAGGCTCTCAATTGCTGAGATTCATTTTGAAGATATACACTTAGCTCGCCACAACGAAGACGTCGCCATACATATCTAAGGAATCACAATGCTAGCTTCTGCCTTCTGAGCTGCAAGCCACGCAGTCTTGGCGGCCCCTTTTCCTTACATAGGGTACGGATACATAACTTGACCTATGTTAGCAAAGCAGAGTTAGCGCCGGCGGCTGCAGAGTCAGCCCGACGCTTAAAAGCCCACCAGCCGGTATCGGGCAGAACATGAGCCTACAGTGGAACAGTCTAGAGTCTAGACCTGTCTGTCCAACTCCAACTCACTGTTTGTTTGTTCTCTACCGCCATGTCACTATGCGAACGATGCGAGGCCATCGATCTCGGCGAAATCCTCGCCAAATCGATCCCACCGGACTCGAGGAGTATTGCCCCAGGCTGGATCCACTCCGAGACGTTCGCTCGGCTCCGTTCCAGCGCCGGGACCTGCGAGCTCTGCTCCATCCTGCTTGATGATGCCGCTACCAACCCCTTGGTCCGTGACGATGATTGCGTCTACCTTCACATCTTCACGCGTTTTACCTGGCCTCGGGTCGGGCATGGACAGCATCATCCGATTCCCGTTGGGGGGTTTACTATTCAAATCGGCCAGAAGGGCGTCAATGTCCTGCATAGTGTCAGGCGAGTCGACGTGTGGATAGATGAAGGTGAGGGACGGCCACCGATGCCCGTTTCATGTACATAGCAGCTCACTCATGTTCCATACATCCCAGGCTCTCCCATCGTGTTAAAGAAGCTCATCTCGGGCCGGCCCGTTCGCCCAGAATGGGACCCAAGCATCTTGCGGCGCTGGCTTGACACATGTTTACACGGCCACGCGTCCTGCAGGCTCCCAGCGCCTGCAATCGACCTGACCCAGGATGAGGAACCGCCAGAATTGCCCACGCGCGTCATAGACGTGGGCTCTGCCGACCCGGTCCGCCATCCCGTCCTTGTCGAGACGCTGGGTCGCAGGGGCCGATATGTCGCCCTGAGCCACTGTTGGGGCCCAACGCCCTCGTCCATCACGAAAACAGAGCGCAACTCGGAAGGCGACAACAACATGAAAAGACGTATGCAGGGGATACCCTTGAACAAACTGAGCACAAACTTCCGGCACGCCGTTGAGGTCACGCGCGCCCTGGGCTACCAGTACCTCTGGATCGATTCGCTCTGCATCGTCCAAGATGACCCGCAGGACTGGGCCGTCGAGTCGGCCAAGATGGCCGAGGTGTACACGCGCGCGTCGGTAACCATCGCCGCGGCCAACAGTGCGTCGGCAGACGAGGGTTTCCTGAAGCCAAGGACCGGGCGCCGGACCGTAACACTGCCATTCCGGGGGAGCCCTGGAGTCATTACGGGTTACTTCACCGTCGCCGAGCCCTCGCCGGAGGACGCGAAGGAGCTCCGCGATCACTTCCAAGTCGAGGTCGACGGCGGGCCGCTGGCTGCACGAGGTTGGACCCTGCAAGAGCGACTGCTCGCCCGACGGATTGTCTTTTTCGGCAAAGACCAAGTGCATTGGGAGTGCCGCGCCACCCGCTGGAGCGAGAGCACCCGCTTGCAGCCTATCCAGTACATCGAGTCCAGCGCGCCAGGGCTCGTTGCTCTCCGCGGCGGCCTGCCCATGTTTGGTTCAAGCTCCAGCCCTGCGCAACAGAACTTGAACCAGACCAAGTTGCTCAACGATTGGTACAGGGTCCTCGGCGAGTTCACGAGGCGGGGCCTGACCATGAAACAAGACAAGTTGCCTGCGCTGTCGGGCATTGCCAAGGTGATCAGCCAGGGCCTTGGAAGGTCTAGTCCCGGCTTCGACACGACGTACCACGCCGGGCTATGGGCGCAGGACCTCCCACGAGCTTTACTGTGGACGACGTTTGCCCCCGACGCCGGGACGGGGGCTGCGCTACCGGGTCCGTCGTGGTCGTGGATCTCCCGGGACGCGGCCATCTACCCGGCGAGTGAGGAGCCCACTGCCCTAACCGACATCCTCGGAGCCGCATGGGAAGTGGTCCTTGAGAACGGGAGCGACCCCCACGGCAGGGTGAAGCAAGGCACGCTCACACTCACGGGCTACCTGAAACAGGTATCCTCGATCCAGCCCATCCCAGAGCGAAAACCTCGAACCCTCACTCCGCTCTCGTACCCGCTCTCCGACGCGCTCATGTTTGACGGTCAGGGACAGCAGATCGCCTCGGCCGTGCTAGACGAGCCGTCGGACGCGAGCGTGTATGGACAGGCACAGGCTCTGTATGCGGTCCCTGTCCGGCACGTCATGGCCAAGACCAAGCCTGCGCTGTCAATTCTCTCCATTGAAGCCCTGCTGCTGCAGGACAGGGGCGACGGTACCTTCAGGCGGGTTGGGGTTGCTAGTATGGGAGCTAGCAATGCCAACGATGCGCGCTGCAAGGACGCGCCGTTTGCGCGGCCGTTTCAGGTGTTTTTTTATGATGCGCCTGTGGCTGAGATTAGGATTACTTGATGGGTTTGCTCTGCGGCGGCTGTCTCAGTCGGTATAAGATGGGTGTAATCTTGCCCTGAGGTACAATTCCTCATAACATGGAAATCATGCGGACCAGATGGACATGCTCGTTTCCCTCCCACTCTGCAAGAGAGTCTGCTTCCACCGTCCCAAGGACATAATACACCGCTGCCCAGCAAAGCTTCCACTGGTCATCTCCTCCGACTCGTCCGAGCTTGAAGTAACCACTCTTATCCAGAAAGATATCAAACCCCCCTCCACGAAGGTCTGACAACTGGACGCTACACTCTTTCCCTGGCTTGGAAGAGCTTACAACCTTGTCCCGCAAGATGTTCAAGGGTCGCGTCCAGCCGCCGCCATTGGACACGCCAATGCGATGAAGATGCACTGTCTCGATTCTGTGTCCTATCCCGTCAAAGAACCTAAGAAGCTCCTCTTCCGTGAAGGCAATACCGTCAAGAGAAAGTCTCCTGATGCGCGGGAAGCAGGTGGTTGAAAACACTGAGCCAGCAGGGATGAACATCTGATGTCTAACCATAAACGTTAGGCCTTTAAAATTGACCTTGACGTCTTCCAACGCCGGACTAGATAGGACAGCTGAGAGGTAGCCGTTGCGGTATGCTTGGTTCTGGGGCGACATGTGTTTGGAGGAGGGTAAGTCGATACTAGGATCCCATCGGGTCGAGATGTGCGATGAGCGGAGACTCTGAAAGGCGGCGGCGAGGGTTGACCAGTCGGTTGAGGAGGGATCACGGTTACCGTATTGATGCGTCTGCGGACACAGCTTGGCAAAGTTGCTCATTTTGGGAAGGAGGGCGGAGAAGTGCGTGATGTGCACTCCAACTGCGTGAAGGGCCATGGGAAGTTGCCAGAGCAGCTCAACTGTGAAGATGTCAAAAGGCTGCTCAGGGGGGATATCCCCTAGCGTGTTCTCAATGGTGTACCATGTGTGTGCTGAGGTTAGCCACTGCCGGAGGGCTTCGGGGCTGTAGTCTGCAAGGAGGGGCAGGTTTGCTCTGAAGCCAAGAAGCCCAGGGTCCATTTCCGGATTGTCCACCAATGCGAGGGTCGAAAGAGACGGAACCCGACTGACCGACTCAGCGAGTGCGGCGACAAACGATCCGCTTCCCAGCAGCTGCTTTTGTTCCTTGTGTTTGCGTAGATACTCTTGGTAAGACTGCGAGAGGAGATTCTGAAATTCGTCGTGTCTCTCCTTCTCTTCGTCGGTAGCATACGTGTTGAACTAGTAACCCCTGTTTCCTCTTCCAATACCCTCCCAACCACTCCATGCCCTAGAGATTTCGGTGAATCTAGCAAACGCCTTGGACAAGTTGGAGCGTTCGGCCTTATCTACTTCAAGCGAGTCACCCGACTCTGAGCCCTGGTTGAAAGCTTCGAGGAAAGCATCGTCTTCAACTTCGGATAATGACCGTATACGGTTCTGAAGAGCCTCTTTTTGCAACTCTTTGTATCGAGATGGGGTATCGGCTACCTCAGCGGGACGATAGGCAAGAGAAACAAGGAGGCTCCGCACACCGGCGGCGATCTGGGGGTTTCGGGTGAGTTGGTCGACACGGTAGAGCGATTCCGGGCTGATGCTCACGCGCAGCTCAGGGACGAGCAGGTGTGAGGCGTGCCTGCAAAACCTCCTACATACTAAGCGTAGGGCCTGCATCGTCTTTAGGCGTCCAATGTCATGGCGCATCCAATAGGGGCTTCCCGGCCATGGAGCTTCGGGGTCGTCCGGGCAGTCCAAGATGCCAAAGATGGCAAAGAGGATTTCCTCTGGGAGATCCAAGATGTTCAGCCGGCGAGCGCTTTGGTGAAAATCCATTTTTCGAGCGAGCCTCTTGTCTGGCGGAAGAGCTGTCAATATTGAAAAGAAGCGGGAAGAGTATGTGTGCACTGTGCAGAAGCATATTGATGAATACATATAACTATAGGTAAGCTCCAATGTTGGCTAAATTTGGGCCCCAGATGTCTCCGGGCGGCTGGAATCTACCTTGCAGAGATGACTCAGACCCCGCTTGTGTAATGAATGGGGTAAAGTGGTCCCCTGGTCCAGAGGGCTGGGCTTAAGAGCTCTATATGTAGGTTTGTATGTACAGGCGCTCAGTTTAAGTCGCGTTGTTGTTGTGGTTGTTGTTGTCAGGGCCCTGCGTGGCTCAGGGATTTTTGCGGTTCAGGGGTTCGTACAGGGCACAGTACTGCAGCTGCGGTGGGTCCCAACCCCTGAAGGAACAGGATAAATAAGTCTATAGTTGCCCCTTTTTCGAACGTCACTCAAGTCTCAACGAGCCGGCATCTTTTCCTTCTTTCCTTCCCACCACTTCGGGTATGCCAAGTACCTTATCTATTGCCCTAACAAAGGGGGTAGATATAGCCGTAGGAGGGAATTGAAGCATATGGTGACTTAGGTACGTGGTGATTGTTGTTACTTGGCATCCTCTTTTCTGTGTTGTGAGTAATAGGTGGTATTTTCCACCATTTCAGTAACTACCTTACCTTAGGTACCCTACTGTGGTCTTACCAAGCCTGGTGCCCCAGCCTAGCTCCAAGCATAATGGAGAACGCAGAGAGACGACGCAGCTATATATCGACTTCCCAGACACGGCAGGTCAACCGCCGATGGTAGGTACTTAGGAACTCGGGAGTTTTAGAAGATGAGTGCAAGTAAGGGAGGGGAGGAGAGGGTTAGGTACCCAAGGTACCGTTATTGTTAGGAGGAAGAAAGTTACTGCAGTTACTAGGATACTGAGGCGCAGAAGCGCGCGATGACGAGCAGGGAGTATAGGTAGTACTTTCAGTGTTGGGGGAAGCAGGAGTGACTTGAGGGAGTGTGAAACCTGGAGGTCGATATTTGACGTGTCCATGGAGGGGATGGCAACTATTGAGAAGACTGTATAAGTTCTGTACGTAATAAGGGGATTTAAGGCACTTGCTTAACGAGCAACGGTAATCTATATCCATACGTGACTCATGCCTCTGGCAGTACCTAAAACGTAACTTAGGCCTACAAGCTTAGTCCCTAAACATAACATTTGAAGAAACCGATAACTTAGCATATGTTCCCCCGTAATTTTGTTACACAAGAGCACTCATTTCATCAATGGGCTAAACAAAGTTCAGGCAGGCGACTGGGATGCCAGTGTCTCTGTAATTGAAATGCTCAATCTATAGCAGCGATTATCATTTACCATTATACAATACACCACAACTACATCCGTCCTCACACTAGGCTGCCAGATCTTTCAGCAGATGGACTGCACTAGTACGAGGGATCAATCCTAGGATGCTCAAAGTCCATAGTTCCCAAGAGGCCTGGAGAAAGGGGGCAAGGATGGTCTTTCACCTAACCCTTTGCGCTGCTTTACCCAGAAGGGGGGTTGACGAATGGAAGTTTCCCACCCTATTTTAGCCAAGTCAGTCCAGTATTCGAAGCCATTAATGCACCACTTGAACACGTTGAACGGAGCGTCAACCCTTCTTGAATTATTCAGTTTGTTAAGGTAGCGACTTGCAAAGAAAGTAGCTCCTTCCATTCAAGGTGAATATAGACAGTTCCTTACCACCTCATAGGAGAGCACCTTCCTAACTCGAGCAACTAACCACGAATAAGCTGCTTATTTTGAATGAGACGTTCACGCTCTGCTCTAGAGCCATTCGTTCCTGCGAGTGCAAGTTTCCTAAGGAAGTAGGTTATTCTTTGCGAGGTGAGCATGAACGCCGCCTAAACACTGCGTTTACCGGACCCCCCCTACGTAGGTGGCAGCGCGCCTGGCACGACCTACTAGGAGTGAATGGCGGAGCTGTGACTCAATGCTAGTACTGGCGATGGCGGTGGTCGTGGTCCACTGGCCGGCCTTGACGGTTTGAGTTACGAATGCTCTTCAGTCTGCTCTCCTTTCTGCACATGATCCACTTGGGCTGTGTGGACTCGTCGCCGTCCTGGGGTGTAGAAATTCGAGTACGAAGCAGACAACTGAAGCATCATTCTAGTCTCTGTCTTTGTTGTTCCCTCATACCCAGTCCTTCCATATCCGTGGCATTGACGTGAAGTTTCCCGTTCTAAACCCGTGACGTCAACCGAAGACATCCAGCCATCCCTCGGGAATACCATATATGGGGCGCAAAAAGTAAGCCTCCGGCCAACGTACGCTCCGGTCCACCGAATGAGCATCAAGATGCAAGAAACAATCTGCAACAGACGGGGAGAAACAGAGTATAGTGCTCAACGTGGTCAACCCTGTCGAGGATAACGAGAAAGGAGGATGCCTGCGGCAACTTGGCTGGGAACACAATCTCCAAGAACCATTAAGGGGCAGGCCGCGTATTTCTGCGGGTCGGCGGGTCCGGCAGTGGGAACGGCTCTTGGCTGGATTAGGCAAAACGGAGTATCCATCTGCATTGTGGCTCGCCAAGGTGACGACGACATGCCAAGGGGAGGTCGAGCAGCAAACAGCACAAGCCGTCGAGAAGGATGCCAATAATGATGCCGAGGAGGACACCGACTGGCAAGTAGAGACGGGAAGCAAGCAAGGGAAGAGAATGCGCCTTATAAGCCTTGCGAGGCCCAGGATGGACCACAACTCGTGGGACTCATCGATGCAGCGTTCGCTATACCAGTAACCAAGGAGGTCGTACGCCGATTTCCTTAACTCTTTCGTTCGTTATACTGCTCCGACTTAACTTATACACTCGCTTTAATTTCTTAACATATTGACATGAGGGCAACTCAGGCCTTACACGCCGTTACGGCGCTCTTCCTCTTCCCCGGCAGCCTCCTTGCAGCAACCCCTCAGTCTTCTACTTCGCCGTCTGCTTCGACCTCTACCTCAACCTCGTCGAGCATCACAGCGCTTCTCGCTGACGGCAAAGGTGAGCTTCCTTTACAGCTCCAAGTTGATCCAACCCTTGTGCAAGTGCCGGAGGACTGACCCGTTTCACCAGTTGACCTAGGAGTCGCTGCTCAGGCTTACCAGAAGGCCAAGAAACTTGTCGCTACTCTGACCAACGAAGAAAAAATTGCAATCATTACTGGCGGCAGTGTCAACACCACTTGGACTACACTTCGGGACGCTGATGGCGCTGCCGGCATCAACGGACAGTACTACGTCTCGGGCTTTGGGGAGCCGAGCGCGCTTACCATGACGTGGAACAAGCAGCTCTTTGCCAAACAGTGGCAGGCTATTGGAAACGAGTACTACCTGATGGGCTACAACCTCGTCCACGGCCCCGTGTCCAGCCCGCTCGGTCGAGTCCCCTTTGGCGGGCGTGTTCCCGAAGGTTTTTCTCCCGAGCCTTACCTCAACGGGATTGCTATGGGCCAGGCCGTAGCGGGCTTGAACAAGGCCGGTGTCATTGCCTGTGGCCGCCACTTCCTGCTCAACGAGCAGGAGACCAACCGGATGAGCGGCGGCTACTCTGCCAATGCAGACGACAAGACGGTCCGCGAGGTTTACCTCTGGCCGTTTGCCGACGGTGTCAACAATGGCATGATGGCCGTCATGTGCGCCATGAACAAGGTGAACGACACGTTGGCCTGCGAGAACAACAAACTGCTGAGCGGCTATCTCAAGTCGGACTTGGGGTTTCCTGGCATGGTCGTCCCCGACGTGGGCTCGCAGAGCACATCCTTCGGATCCGCCAACGCAGGCTTGGACTATGGTTCGAGCTCCCTGTGGAGCACAACCGTCATGGAAGCCGGCATCAAGAACGGCAGCTTGACGCAGGCCCGTTTGGACGACATGGCTGTGCGCAACCTCATTGGGTACTACTACGCCGGCCTTGACAACGGCAAGCAGCCCGAGGCGGCCGATATGTTTGAGTACCGCAATGTCCGCGGCGATCATGCCTCTATTATCCGCCAGGTCGGCCGTGAATCGATGGTGCTCCTGAAGAACAACAACCACGACGGCCGTGGCTTGCCCATCAACAAGCCGCGCACCATGTCCCTGTTTGGTGCCCATGCGGGCCCAGTCATGGCCGGACCCAACCGTGCTTTGAGCGTCGGAGGCACGCCGGCAGATGTCTACCAGGGACACTTGTCCACCTCGGGTGGTTCGGGTCAGGCCTCCCTGGGCTACCTCGTCACGCCCTTCCAGTCCATCAGCGCACACGCCATTGCCGACGAGAGCATGATATGGTGGATTATGAACGACAGTAAGTGCCTTCCCGCCTCAGACTATAGGTTATCCCCCCGCGACAAAGCCCCTATTACTACCCCTTACTAACATGAACATGAACACAGCTTACAGCGGCTCTTCCAGCGTTGGCGGTGGCGGCGATTTTGGAGGCGGCATGGGCGGCAACGGCACTCTGCCCGGCAACAGCACCGACATTGGGGGCACACCCCCTTCCGGCTCTTCCCCCTTCCGGTTGGCCAAGCGCGAGAATCTAAACAGCGTCGGCAGCGGCACAGCCGTGACCCCGTCCCTCACAGGCTACGCCGAGCACTCAGAAGTGTGCCTCGTCTTCCTCAACGCCGATTCGGGCGAGGGCGCCGACCGTTCGTCGCTGTCCAACACGGACCAGGACACGCTGGTCACCACCATCGCCTCGACATGCAACAACACGGTCGTGGTGCTCAACGTCGCCGGCCCCCGCGTGATTTCCGCCTGGGCTGACCATGAGAACGTCACGGCCATCCTGTACGGCGGGCTGTTGGGCCAGGAATCGGGCAATGCCATCGCCGATGTCCTGTATGGCGTGGTCAACCCCAGTGGGAAGCTGGCCTACACCCTGGCGAAGAACGAGAGCGACTACCCCGGCCAGATCTGCAGCGGCACCGACTGCGATTACACCGAAGGCGTCTTTGTCGACTACCGCTACTTTGACAAGAACAACATGTCAGTTAGCTACCCGTTCGGCCACGGCTTGTCCTACACCACCTTCGCCTACGGCTCTGTGACGGCCCGAAAGACCAACACCAAGGCTTTGGCGTCAAAATACCCGACGGGAAAGCTCGGTCTGGGAGGTCAGACGGATCTGTGGGACGAGGTCATTTCCGTGTCTACCACCATCAAGAATACGGGGCAGCGCGATGGCATGGAGACGGCGCAGCTGTATGTAACCTTCCCCGACGCGGCGGGCCAACCGCCGAGGGTGCTTAGGGGGTTTGAGAAGGTCAGTGTGGCAAAGGGAAGGGAGGAGAAGGTCACCTTCAGTGTGAGGAGGAGAGATGTCAGTTACTGGGATACCACGGCGCAGAAGTGGGCTCTGGCGAGCGGAAAGTATACGTTCACTGTCGGGGCGAGCAGCAGGGACTTGAAGGGAAGTGTGGAGGTCAATATTTGACGTCCACGGTGATATCAAGGGGGTGGCAGTTAAAGCTGTGGAGGTTCCTGTACATATGGTACTACGACCTTGAAAACAGCTGCTTAGGCTCCTCTAGGTACCTGACCTTATGTTCCTAACTACAAGAAGCAATCGACAGTATATGTCCCTTCGTTAGCCTGCCCTTTGTGTCTTTCTTACACAAGAAATGGCCATCACTTATCATCATAGACCACGACTACATCAGTCCGCACCCCAATGTCTCTGCCCTTAAGCTCAACCGGCAACTGCTGATCCGAGCCATGCACAATGGACCTCGAGTGTGATTGCTGAATCTGCAGTTTCTTTGCCGAATCATCGTCGCTGTCGATCCGTGCATGGTGACGGTATGCCGTCTGGGACCGTGCGTATCGGGGGCCAGAGCTGGACCCAGACGACTTGGCAGCGCGCGTGGCTCGCCTCTGGCGACTGCTGAAAAGGGGCTTGAGGGCCGGAACGCTGGCACAGCTGATGGCAATTGTCACTTCAATGATGGACCACAGGTTGACGGGGATGCCGTCGCGGAAGGGATCGGCTGACAGGGTGTAGATGTATATGGTGTGAAGGCGGACGATGGACGCTACGGCGGCGAAGGTGCCGACACCGAAAATCAGGAAGAGGGCGATTTTCTCCCGGCGAGGGCGTTGGATCGAGTGGAGCGTCTTGATGGGGATGATTATGATCCAGATGTCGGTTATGATGTTGAAGCCCGACGTGGCTGGGCGTGAGCGAGGTTAGCCATGGCCAGTAAGGGGGCAGCCTAATACTGCTCAGGAGTACCAGACCGGCGAGTGCTTACAGTAAAAGAAGACTGTCCTGTCAATACATGATCCCTCGATGGCGCCCACAAAATCCCACATTTTCTGGATGGGCAAGCATTGGAGCAGCGTGACAAGTACGCAGGTGACAAAAAACACGGCGTGGAGGACGATGGTGCCCCAGCAAACCACTCGGAAAGTCTTGGACACCGCTTTGAACTACTATGTTAGTAGGATTTCATGCTAGGGGAAGGCCAAGAGTGCTGAGAACTCACCGAAACGGAGGTAGGTAAGCAGAATGGATATCTTGATGCAGAACACATTCGCGTAGTACATGACTTGGATCGCCAGGGTTATCTGGTCGTCGTTAGACATGTTCTCCTGACCACGGTTCAGAGGAGCTTCTAGGCATACCTTCATAAAGTTAACCATGTTGTCCGGCGTAAACGTCGACATCGGGAAGCCTATGTTGTTGGCTCTGAGGAGGAACAAGTTGACAACATAGCCAACGGTAAGCAGCTAAGGTAGAGTGCAAGATTAGCGCTGCTGTGTTTACATGTATGTGTCTCGTCAGTAGCTGGGCTTACCAGAGAGCATATCATCAGGTAGTCATCTGGTCCGGGGTTGTGGATCAAAATGAAGCGGCTGATGCATCGTCCCAATACAAAGAGAGCTGGAATGGAGAGCTTGTTAGAGATATGTGCAACGAAGGATTACCTGAGCTGTCGAGGGAAGAGCAATGAAAAGCCAGCTCACCAGCCATAGCTGTCATCACCACAGAGGTAATAATCAACTCATCTTGGCGCTTCTTGTCCCCCGGGAAGTTCCTAGCAGCTGTTGTCGGATCCATGATACAGGTCAGGGGTAGGGAGCAAGATGGGCAGACTTGCTGAGAACAGAGAAGAAAACATGGCGATCAGGATGGGGATCCGATCCATTTAACGTTGCATGAACGTCAGTTTAGCCCTCGAGATCGGAAACCCCAGAAGATCGCCAGGAAGAACCGAGATGGACATGGATGCAGCCAGCACGCACAGACTGTTCCCGTTTCGCCTCTTCAGTTCGAGTCAGTCGACGGCCCAACACCATGACCGGACAAGGTGGACCATCAATGGAACGCCGTGGCTGCAATGAATGCCGTTCATGGATCCTGCGAGTCGTAGCTTGGGCTATTCGTTTCTTGGGAGCGACCTACCCTGGTACCGTAGTCAACGCTACGAAGAGGTCCGGGGAAAGCGCGGGCTGCTCTAACCAGGATGAATCAAGTTCCTAATACATTAAGCAGTCTCTTACCCCTGACATTGCTCTATTTCCCAACATGAAGTTGGTGAGGCTTACTAGATCGCTGCTTTCCATCTCGCTTGGGTGCCCTGATACCAAAGGAGTAATCGAGGGACAACTGCCAGTGACCTTAGGACAGCTCCCGTCCGCACTGGCCAGACGGCCTAACACTGAACAGATGGTTGCTGCACAAAGCTGAAAAGAGAATATTGGGACATTCTCATAATCTGATTGCGAGCCTTGATGAAGCGGCGCTCAGGCCCCTGTGAACGCGGGATAGACTGCAGGCGAACTGCAAGATCCCGCTGCGGGGTCGATGAGAAGGCACAGGCTGAAGTAAGAACGGCCGGTGGCGTGCAGTAGCTCCTTCCGTCCGCCGCAAGACAGGCCTTACGCTCAGACGACGCGGGACTGGGAGCGCAATAAAGGTGACTGCAATCCCGACCTCGGTGTGCCTGGTTCGCTAAACTTCGCTTGTTGGAAGGGGGGAAAAGGAATTCGCTAATGAAATGTTTGTGATCTTCCTGCACGCTCGGACGACGGAACAACTGGAAGCAAACTGATGTGAGTGTTCGCACTCTTGGTGTATGCTTCGATTTCCCCGCTCCACGGCATTTGCTAGCATAGGTAGAGAATCAGAGAGTTAGAGACTCCCGTCCTTAGTTGTATGTAGGTTATTCCCCCTTGCCATTGGGCAACAACCTGGAGAGGCCTGTTCAACTTTTCCTCTAAATCAAAGTTGGGAAACTATGCTGGTGTACCGGTGACCAAGAGCGGCTAGCTACCTGGTACCTCAAGGATCGCCGCAGCTACCGTGACTGTAAGGACTTCAACAACTATAGATCATTACGGAAGATCTTACTTTGAAACGAGGTACCTACCAGGTAATCTTCATCCCAGATTCAGGGCAGCAGGCTTAACCTGGTTATTATATCAAGACCTTTAGATTGTCCCCCAATCATGAAGTCAAGTTGGAGGCCATACTAGTAGAGTAATCGGTAGCCGTTGATATTCAGGGTCTGGACCCTGTACTACTTAAGGTCACTCTAGGTGCTATTTTGTTGGCTGTCTTAGTAACATGAAGACTGCATTGTACTAACTATGCCAGGTAGAAGTAATAAATGTAGTCCAGATTCTGACCTCAATGTAGTACAAGATAGTAGCTCCTACTCTACCTGTTATTGAGCTAGTACCAGTAGCCTCTGCCAGATAGTACTGAGTTAGCAGTCCAACATTGTTCCAGTTCCATACTCCATATGTAGGAAGCCAGGGAGCTTGGCTGAAGTTCATGGCCGCTTTCTTATAAGCCATTGCACGCAGTTCACATGTACTTTCAGGTACCTAGTGCAAGGGCTGTGGCAAACCCTGACATTGTGTACTTGTTGATAGCAGCAGCCTCCGTCAGCGACAATGGAATTCGTATTCGTCTCACTACTACTAGGAGTATATACCTAATCTCCTCTCTGTTGCCAAGTTAGGAACAGTATGATAAGAACAGTTGCCCCCTATCGCTCAGGCTTGTTGCAACCGAGGCATGACGATTAGTCCTATGGTCTCAACACAGTATCATGCCGAGAAACCTACCTAATGACGGGCGATAATGACTTACGGCGTACAGCGGTACCATTGACCTCATCCTGACAGGGTCAGGACTGTCTTGGGTGTTTCCATAAAATTGCCGCAAAGTGCCAGAGGCGGGCCAGAAAAAGATTATTTAGTGGTAACTAACGGATATTCTTGCATTACCATTTCAAGGGCAGACTGGCAGTAGCTGGAAGCTGGCCCAACTCAAGGCCCAGCCAGCTTACATGCAGCCCAGGCACGTGTGTGTGCAAGTGTTGTACTATATAGGCGGGATGAACACTGCTAGACTGGGCGCTCAGGAAGCACCTCAGCTCATTGTTCAGAGAGGCATATACAAAGCGTGACGTCACCGCTTGAGTCGTTGCTCTGCAAATGGCAACATAATGAACACAACGTTGCCTGCGCTTCCGGCCGGGGGCAGATGATCCGTCACGCCGTCCATGCCAGTCCTTGGGAGACAGATAAGGAATGGATTTCATGTATCCAGAGTGTTACGGAGACTTCCATGGAGAACAGTGGGCGCTCTACCCCTTATTCGTCTTATCATGCTATAGGGCGGAGCTGAGGTCCTAGACTCCCGGGACCACGCTTTCAGGGGTATCAACAAATAAACGTTATGACGGCATAACTAGGGGGTTTGTTAAACTTAAAGTACCACTAGCAACGCGTTCGACCCGCTACATCAGGGTGCCGCGTTACGTATCGCGATCCATAAGCTTGTGGGTTGGCGTGGGGGCTAAGGAGTGGAGCGCATACATTCTTCCACACCAAGCGTTTAAACTTGGGGTCCAATCTTTGGACGTCAGCTTACTCCTAGCCGTCCTTGGCATCCTTTCGTCTTTTTTCCAGCATAACCGAGACTTCACATGTTGTCTATGGCACCCATCCGAGAGATGCTGAGATGCAGAAACTCTTCCTGCCTGCCGCCACGGGGCTGTCAACATGCCAGATGACAAAACGACATCAACGCATCATCCCCGTGATTGCGCTTGCCTTGTTGTTGGCACTGTTCTACCTCGGAGACCGCTGGCGGCCATCGTGGTCGCGCCCGCCGTCGCCGCCGCCTGAATTCTATCCTTTCGAGACCGCGAGCGCATTCTTCCCCGTCGCGCACGACGATGTCGCAAACAAGACCATCGAGGAGCTTTGCGCTTCCTTCCCCCACCACCTGACGCAGCGCATCCAGCCCGTCCTCAAAATGGGCCACGGGGAAAACCGCGACATGATCGATGCACAATTCCAAAGCGTATCGGCCTGCTTCGGCGCGGACGAGCTCCTCGTCTTCTCCGACCTCGACGAGGTCATCCACGGCCGTCACGCCATCGACATCCTCGCGAACCTGCCCCGAGCGTACCGCGACAACGACGCCGAAGGCCACGAGAACCCCGACTATGCCAACTACGAGGCCATGTACGCCCTCTCCCGCGAGGGCAAGTTGACCGTCGACAACGATCCTGCTAGGGGCAAAAACGGCTGGCGCCTCGACAAGTACAAGTTCTTGGCCGAGGTCGAGCGGGCCTGGCTCATGCGCCCAGGTCGTGACTTTTACGTCTTTTACGAGACCGACACATACATCTCTTGGGACAACATGTTTCGCTTCCTCTCGATGCTGGACCCGCAAGCTCTGTTTTACATTGGAAGTCCGTCCCCCGGACGCCACGACGAGCAAAAGAAAGTCGACACGTGGTTCGCTAACGGCGGGCCTGGGTTTGTGCTTTCCCGAGGCGCTATCGAGAAGCTGCTGGGGCGCCGATCGTCGCCGATCCACGGCCAGTTCATCGATCCCCCATTTTCGCTTAGGTGGCTGGACCTGTTGCGGAGCGACCCGTGTGGGGACTCGATTCTCGGCTGGGCCATGTGGACCGCCGGGGTGCCCCTGAGTGGCTTCTTCCCCCTGTTCAATCCCTATCCAGCCCACGTCCTGCCCTACACGGATCGGATGTGGTGTCAGCCGTTCCTGACCATGCACAAGCTCAGGCCCGAGGACATGACGGGTCTCTGGCGGTGGGAGAACGCTAACCGGAAACTCGGACGGCCGCTTCTTTACTCGGACCTGTTCGTGTTCCTCCCGGTTGCAAGCGAAGATGTCCGGTCCAACTGGGACAATACCCTCTGGGACCGTCTTGCTCCGGGCCATGATACCAAAGCGGATAGCCTACAGGCATGCAAGCAGGCGTGTGAGGACAGCTCCGTGTGCATGCAGTATCACTGGCAGGGTGAGCAGACGCAGAAGTGCGTCCTGCAGGCTTTTATGAGTCTTGGGGTAGCAAAGAATCCGGAAACGGTGGAGAGGAAAATTCCGATTGCAGGGGGCGATCAAGGAAAGGACGGCGCTGGTGAGGGGGAAGAGAAGTTTGAGATCGTCAAGGAGGATCTGAGCTACACGAGCGGCTGGCTCAAGGCGAGAATCGACCGCTGGGTTGAGGAACACGTGTGTAAAACCCCCGATTGGGTCTTCCCGAGTATAGAACGCCACTACTAAGCATTACACCAGAATAGTGTATCGTAATGAACAGGACACAGAGTTCTCTATTATCTTAGGCTGTTCACAACAGGACTTACTGGTACCTAGCTTGAATACCAGAAAGGCTCAGAGGCTCCCATGGCCACTGCTCCGAGTCCTTGGTCATGCCCAGGTGATTTTATTAGTATTCATGTGTGCCAATGGTCACATCATGTCCTTGACCATATCAGTGTGCATCAATACCCACGATGATGAGTTTCACCAGCGTCCAGTTGTTTTGGTGTCACGACATGCACACTTTATCTAGTGTGCATAGGTACTACTATGATACTATGGAGTATGGATATGAGCGAAGCAGTCACCAACCCGCAAGTTGGATATCTTGAAAGAATGCTCTTTATCCATCTTCATAGGTGATAAGTGAGATATGCGACGTAATGGAAAGCATACACCATGATATTAGTAAGTACGGATACATGTATGGTCATAACAGTGAGGTACAAGTAGGTTTACCAAATTCTCTCATCAGGGGCAGCCAGCCAGATATTCTTAACCAATCTGAAAGTCCATCGCTATGAAGAATTGAAGCTACCTAGGTATAGTACACGCCGGTAGGCAACAAAAGAAATCTTAATCCCATCTGGGGACGCTCATGCATAACTTGAAAAAGACCAGACACTTGCAGAGAGCTATCCATTGCCCCTGCTGCTAAACACCACCTCCGGGGGAAAGGGAAGGAACTAGGCTCTCAGGGTCTCAATGCGACGCTATTGTGTTCCCTAGTGTCTTTGAGACCTCAATAAGGTTGTTGGTGGGAGTATGATCCGTCGTTCGCGACGCCCCTACTCCTTGTCGGCCGCCGGCGCCTTGTACGAGGAAGCAGGAAGAATGTTAATCATCCTCTCGGTATTGGCGCACGGAGTTGTCCCCGGTGAGCTTGTCGAAGAGTCCGGGGTTTTCTGACCAGAGAAGCCATCCGATGACGGCGTTGATTCCGGTCCGGTTCTATGGAGATTCGAGAGTCCAGAATGATTCGGAGATCCTCGTATCAGGGGGCGCGCCACCATCACCCGAGCTCTCAACCAGACTAACGAAACGCCATCTCCAACTAGGTCATCGATACTATCCAGTCTATCCCCCTGACCATTGATATTTGCAGTCACTATTGCCGGCTGCACAACCATAACCACTGAACGCTCGCGCTGTCTCCTTGGTGATTCTGATGGCTCTTCCTTAGGCTGGGGAGACGAAGCATCCGGGGTTTGTGCGCGACACAGTGTCATGAGTTGACTCGATGATCTGAACTCCCTTCTCTCGAGCTCTTTGTAGCTTAGCAGGCGAAGGGGTGTTACACGGGACCAAAGCTTGCATGAAAACCTCAGGGCATCGTCGATCATGTCGGTCAACATTCGTTCGAGCTTTTCGATGCCGGTTGAGTCCTGGTCGTGTAGTAAGAACCGTGCAGCCCCACCAAGGAAGCGCTCCTTAAGCTTTCTCGCATAGTTCAGCCGTGACTCGACAAACGTCCTGCGCGACTCGTTTCGGCCTGCAGCTGCGACGTCCTTCAAACTAAAACCGCCGTGGGCAAACAGCCTCATCATCTGAGACCGCCAGTGGTGGGCTGCTATTCGCGAGCTTTCTTCCTGAGCTGTATTGTACAATACATATGTCAGCATAGTTCTTGCTCAGCAGAAGGCCAAGGAGAAAGTTTACCATCGGTGAGCATGTGGACAAGACGCTCCATGTCAGGCTTCAACGGTAGCCCGAGCATGGATAAGCCGGCACTAGATGACGGCATCAAGGACGTAATCAGAGGTGGCGGAAACTGCGGACTTCGCGGCGTTGGAGTTGGACCGGGGCGAGCGGGTGCCACGGAGCTAAAGTTGCTCATGTCCATGCGTAAACCAACCGCCGGTATTGACTTGGTTGGAACAATGCCCGGGCTCTCGAGAGGGCCCAGGGATGTTGCGACGAATATCCAGAACGGTGAGGCAAGGATCTCGGAGCAGATAAAGTTGGCTAACATGCCATTAAGGAGCGTATGCACCCCCTCCTGACCGCCGGTAACAAGTTCTGGTGGCAACACTGTTGGACCCGTCATCCGGACAAATGCCTTGACCTCGCCGCAAAGCTCCTGGAGCTGGAGTGGATGTAGTCCGCTTGCAAGTCGGTCAGAGTCCTGGTGCCCAAAGGTCCGCGCCCATGTGTTCCACCCAGCATCCTGATCCTCGAACCAAGCCGAGATCTCTTCGTTGGACAGCATGCTCGGGATTTTCAGCGGGTGAGCACTCGCCAGGTCCAACAGGTGCTCTCCCATCTCTTGAATTCGGGCCTCATACTCGGCTTCTTTCCGACGAAGTCCCTCGCTCCATTGACGCGCCCGACGGTCGTGATGACTTTTCAGAGCAGCAAACTTGCGAATGAGATCCTGATTCTGGGCCAGCAGCTCACGCTCAGTACGCTGTAACGCGGCAACACGTTGTTACAATCCGCGGTTTTCCTGCAGCAGTTCACGCTCGGAAACCAGGGTTGTGTGTTGAGTCATCGAGTAAAGAAACCTGTTGATCCGATCATCCGCAAGTCCCCTTTCAGCACCCTCGATGTTGATTGCTTTGCGGGCTGTAGACTGCGACCTCTCTCGTTGGCTGCCAGCGGGCTGGCTTCTGCTTCGATCGTTCGTCTCGCGTCCATCATGGGTACCGCCTGGCTTGATCCTCGATTGAGAGTTGGAGCGGAGATGGTGAGAATGAGTGAGGGAACGGTGGATGCTCTCCACTAGCTCTGCTGCTGAGGGAACAGTGGTCCGAACCAGATCGCCAAACTCGACCACGGTGGAGCTGGGCGTGTCGGGTCCCTCATCCACGACCTGCAACGTGAGATTGGACAGCGGTGCCAGGGGCGGACTGCTTGATGCGTTCTGGGCTTGGTTCATTTCTGAAGTTGAGCTTTGAACGGCAGTTGGCCTAGGACTGTTGTTGCTGGGAGTTGCAGTTCTGGTGTGCGAGTTGCTGTAAGAGGAAGCAGAATCCCCACGGAGAGTCAGAACTGCATCCTTCCGAAGTTCCATTGGAGACAGGGACACGGCGGATACTGTTGTCACTGTTGTAGTAGGAGCTTGCGGAGGCGAGTTGCCCAGCATTGCGAGCAGGAGATCGGGTTCTTTAGTTCCAACAACTTTGAGGCTAGATCTCCTAGAGTTGAGAAAGAGTTGAAATCGTTCGACTGGGCCACCATCAATATTAAAACGGCAGGTTCAGATCATCACCAGATTTCGGGGCTAAACACCCAAGAAGCTGGGACGAGGTTGGGCTGGGGGCGGACTTGGGGCCAAACCACTCGCTACTTGAGAGGATTCAGGAAACGCTCCTTCCTTGGGCTACCATCAGAAACGCAAAAACGCACTGTGCCTTGTGTAGCTTATCGGGAGACATGTTTCGAGCTAGCGCTAAGCACCTTGTTGTCTAAAGTGCGAGAAGTCGTAGCCGCCAAGCCACGGCGACTCGTGAGCCAGCTGGGCTTGACTTGCCCAAACAAAGCTGCATGCTTGGGGAATGCTGTCACTACTTGTACCGGCATGACCTCAAGGAGGCCACAGAACAATCAAATCAGCATTCCTGGGCTCACAGTTAGCCAAGGCTAGCCAAGGCGTGATGCTCCCTGAGGATTGGCGCTGTGGCGGCTGACGGCGCTACAAGGGGTAAGGTGGCTGGCCACGTATGTCGGGGTTCAACAAACTGAAGCCCAATTCGCTCAAACCAGTGGTGGTCTCTGCGGCCCAGGCCAAGACTTGAGCAACAACCTAAAACAGGTTGAACGGGTCTGATGGTGATTTTGCGAAAACTCCATGTGAGATATCACAACTACTCGATTAGGTATGGATAATGGAACTGACCAGTGACGTCTTCATATGAGCCCAGAAAGGGGCACAGCCTGCACAGTGAGCGGCCATACGGTGTTCTTTGAGCCTTATTTACCTAGGTACCATCAGGAAAGTAGTTAGTGCCTCCGTTAAGACCCCTCCAGGACAGTCAAGGCAGCTCACTTGTCCCCAGACGACGGAGCCAGCCAAGTCGTATGTGTTGCTTTTCCGGGAACGGTGTTATGGCTGGTTGAAGATGAGAAGTCGCAAGACTCGCTCCATGTCCGTATTTCGAATATATATCATGTGTGGATGTCAGTCAGCGCTAAAAACCGAGGCCCAATCCGCTCAAGTGATCAGACAGAAAATGGTGCAAGTTGCCAGTGACATTGTCACGTAAACCGCAATGCCAAGGCCTGGGGTTATGCCAACCGGGTGAGTGCCTATACACCTCAGTGTTAGTCTATCGGACCAAGCACTGGCCCCTACTCAAGTTGTAATCCTCCCTACCGGGGGGTACAGCAGTTGCTTCGCTTAGGGACAGGCTCATCGTGGCGGAGGCCGGTTGAAGTCATGTACTGATGTTATTCTAGCATGAATATATACAAATGAAGTCTTTCGTTCTGATAGCCATTCGAATTGTGCCCTTGAGCTCTCAGTGCCGGTCGAAAACCGAGGGATGGGCATTCTTGACAAGCATCTGGGCATACTCGTCAAACCACTCCCCGGCTCGCGGCGCACCTTCCATACCGCATTGGCCGTCGCTTTCGCCGCCTGGCTTCACCCAGACGAGAGCGTCAACAACCGTGTTATTGGTCTTGGTAGTGGGTGCCGGACCAAAACCGGAGGGCGCAACGTTGCACCATTCACCCCTGAAAAGTGCATGTGGTCAGCGGTTGCGGATTACGAAGAGGCCAATCCAGGAAAGATCAATGTCATGAGAATTATAGGAACTCACCATTCCTTTCGAGCGCCGGGAAGATGGACACGGCCCTGGTCGACGATGAAATGCGCGGGGAGGCCCTCGGTCTCGAGGAAGGGGGCAAGCGACGTGGCATAATGAGACTCGTCCCAGGAGTTGCTCCACTCGGTGTAGTTTTCGCGGACGGTGGCATTGAACGGGTTGTAGTTGGAGACGTTGGTGACAAATCCGCGGATCTTCTTGCCCTCGCCGGCCAGCTTCACAACCTCGGCAAACTCCTTCGCGGCCAAAGGCAGGTTCTGATCCCAACCAAGCCATCCGCCGTGGGCAGCATCCATGTAGAGGTGCACATGGTCGTACTGCAGGCTGGCAATAGCATGCGCAATGCCCTCGCGGTATACAGGCGCGGCTTTCGCGCACAGCTCGATGCCCATGTTGGTGACCAGGTTGGCCAGAGAGTCGGGCTCTAGGACGATGGCGAAGGTGAGGTCCTTTGCGGCAGCGACCTTCTCAGCGTAGGGCTTGATGAACTCGCGCTTGTAGATCCCAAGCCCGTCCTGGTCGCTGTGGAGTTCGCCGGCACTCTCGCCAGCGCTGCAGTCGCGGTCTGGGAGGTTATAGAGCACCAGACCGACGATCTGCTTCTTGCGGGTCCGTCTCTGCTCCGCCCGTGCGGAGGCAATAGCATCGTCGATGTTGACGAGATCTGCTCGCCTGGACACCCAGACGAAGGTGCCGACTTGCTGGACCTTGGATACCTTCTTGGCGTTGGCTACATCGCCCTTGGCAAGGAATGCTCGCTTTGTCTGGTCCAGTTTGGCAGCCCATTTCGGATTGGCAAATGGCGTCTTGCCAACAAAGGGGTTCACATCACCCCCGGGCAAAGGCTTGCTGCTGGGGGCTGCAGACACGATCTCTCCGGCCGAGAGGGCCGCAAGAAGGACGGAAAGACGCATGGCGTATTGGTTGACTGTATTGCAGCGAGCCAAATGAGTCCAAGCGAGGGAAGGAGACCGTGGATCGCCCAAGGGTCAAGGGACGAACTGGAGCTCAGCAGTGCTGTAGACAGGCGACGCAGCGGACTCGAGATCTCCATCTTCATCGGCATGGCTTGACAGGCACTTTATACATGGCACCTGGCGTGACGGAACTGCAATCCCCGTTCTCGAACGAGGCTCCTCGGTGTTCTGTTGTCGTTGTCCAAATCACTATGGAGAAGGTGAGGTTAGCCAAGCAGGAGACTGCCCAATGGCGCCGTGATCGAAGTTGCGGCGACCCACCGGGAATGGCACTGCAAGCAGGCCCATGCAAGCTCTCGTCTTGGCTTGAGATGCGGCTCCGGGTCCGTATCCGAAAACCCGCGTCCCCAACGTCCCAAACGGGTAATAAGGAAACATCCCGCCGTACTACGGGGCGCTCAAAATATCGGGGCGATGGTTGGCGCTGGTTTTCAAGGTGTCGGTGGTGCCGGGCCGTTAATATGATTCGGTCCTGCTAGCGAAATCTGCTGCTGCTGATGATACTCTGTCCCCGCTAGCGATACTCTGTTCCTGCTGGCGTACTCTGTTTGCATCAAGGCACCCTGATCCTAGAGAGATACCTTAGATACAGTACAGTACCAACCTGGCTGGAGGCAGGAACTCGGGATATTTCTTGAATGAGGAGCACAGTTGGAATGGAACATTCAACCTACCTACCCGGTTTCCAGCCTGATCTCAATGACACCATCCATGTCAATTGTCAGAGCGGGCTCAATGTTATAGTACCTCACTGGTTCACTGCCACTCGTCATGTGCGAAAGTTTTTTTTGATATCGGCTGCCCAGTCGACGTCAGTGTCCCAGCAGACTGAGCAGAGAAAGAACCTCAATTGAAGGGATAACTCATGTAAGTGAGCTGACGTGATCTCTCATCTATCCATGTCAAACGCATTTAGGAAATTGGAGTCAAAACATACGAGCCTGGAGAGGTGCTTTGAAAGCTCAAGTCAGCCACGCTCCACCCGGACGATTCCTCGAGAGTCGAAACCGCGCGCTCGACTTGAACAAGGGAAGGCGCAGTGGATGCGACTCTGCGGGGCAGTGGGGCACCCGCCCCAGAACCAGCGCCGAGGAGCGCCCCGCCACCTTGATCACATCAGGAACCGGAATCATGACTAATGCAGACAAATCATTCTACCCGTCGGCCCGGCCGACAGTGACATTTGAACGTGAAGCGAATATCACAAAGATCCAGGTGTCGACTTTCAGACCTCCACGCTCGAACCGAATGCGCCCATCGCTGATTATCCTGTCGCAAGCGGATCCCAGCCGGCCAGACACGCACCGATCTGCAGTCCCCCCTTTGCTCGACCTCCGATAGCGCCGACTCGCCAAGTCACTCCTCTCTCGTCATGCCTGCATTCAACTCTGTACAAGCACAACACGACGTTCGATTACCTTCCTTCTATTCACCACGCCCGAGAGCACACGATACAAGGGACAATGATGGAGATGTCGAGGGAGCCGAGTTCTCTGTTTCTGACAACAACCCCGCTTCCTCGGCCACGAAGGAAGATGGGCCATCAACAACAAGACCACCCCCGCCGTCATCTCTCCTTTCGCCAGCGTTTACGCCTCCCTCCACTCCCGGAACGGTAACGCCCAACAATGCCGGCCTTTCCGTTCTGTCCGTACCGCGCGGCGTCCCTGTCGACAGCTCAATACCTACGGGCGGCTGCGGCACTAAACAGCCGAAGCTTCTCGAAACGCTTCCAGAGGTTGAGTGCATAGTGCGCGCAAGGATACCTACAACGACAGGCGCCGAAATGTTCCTCCACTTGTACACCAATAATGTGGACAACAAGGAACATCTGGCCATCGTGTTTGGCGGTAACATCCGCAGCAAATCCTTAGATGCCGTCAGAGAAGGCGAAACCGAGATGGACCGGCTTGTGAGAGGCGCATACACGGGCCGCTTATACCCCGGGAGAACGACCAGCGGGCTGTCCGCTCCCGGGACACCCGACAACGGCGACGGTTCTCAAGCAGCTTCAGGGGAGCAAGAAGGGCAGTTGGCGCCTCTTGTCAGGATACACAGCGAGTGTTATACGGGAGAAACAGTGTGGTCGGCGCGCTGCGACTGTGGAGAACAGCTAGATGAGGCGGCGAGGCTCATGTCTCTGCCCGGCAACAAAGCTGGCGGCATCATCATCTATCTGAGACAAGAGGGGCGCGGCATTGGGTTGGGGGAGAAGCTTAAAGCGTACAACCTCCAGGATCTGGGCTCCGACACGGTTGAAGCGAATCTCCTTTTGCGTCACCCCGCTGATGCGCGCAGCTACGGCCTGGCCACGGCCATGTTGCTTGACCTGGGCCAGAAGGAAATCCGGCTGTTGACCAACAACCCGGACAAGATCCGCGCAGTCGAGGGTCCGAACAGGGAAATCATCGTCAAAGAGCGCGTCGCCATGATACCACTGTCGTGGAAAGGCAGAGGAGGCTTCAGAGCGCCCGAGGTGGAGGGTTACTTGAAGACAAAGGTATGTCTGACACCGATCTTCATGAATTTGAGTAAACGCTGACCATCGCCTTGATAACAGATCGAAAAGATGGGCCACATGCTAGATCTGGGGAGTTTACCTCGTTGACTATGGATATACCTGAGACTCGTCACTGCTGTACTCAGCCTGTATTTTGTATTGTTAGATACCTCAATTATAGACCGCAGGGCTCTCTTGGATAGTAGCCCCGGATGTTTTGAAACAACCGATAGAACTTTGTCTTAAGACATCGTGATACGTGATTTCGGCTGAAGAACACCAAAAGAAGTATTGTACCTAGGTTCCTGGTGCGGTGCTTCCCAAAAAACAGCGCCTTATCGATAAGACTGCAGCCGCATTTACAGCAGCAGCGCCCCTCCAAAAGTTCCCACGCGTCGCGCGACTTCTCGTGTTCCCTCGCTACCTTAAATCCATCTTGGAACCTTAAATCTCAAGGTCGTTCCTGCATCATTGATGCCTTCACCTACAACATCAGCCCATCCAGGGTTCAACTCTGCATCATGAGAAACGACATCCTCCGCCTCTGGTTGGTGGTGCAGCGCCATGCGATTCCTGAAGTCCGAGTCGTCTTCGCCGTGAAACTCAACAACGAACCGACGATTGCACATCTGCTCGAACAAGTCAACGAGATCATTCCTCTCGAAAGTGGCGACTGGGGTCTTGAGGATTATGCTGTTGAGCTCCGCGACATTGATGGCCGTGGATTTGAATGCCTGCATTTTCAGCAAGTTTCCGCAGTCTTGAAGAATGACGAGGAAGTCTTGTGAGTTAGCCGATACTCGCATCAGCCCAATAAACCTACTAATGCTCGTTGCAAACAGCATTCGTTCACTGGTCACGGATGACCGGCGAAAACGCCGGCTAAGCGGTCGGCACCAGATCTCGCGGGACGGCAAGCACCTGATTGACGGGGTAGCTTTTGGACGCCCGCGACTGAAGGCGCCAAGGGACCGTCCTCCCGTCAATATTCCGCCGCTGAAGCGCCGGAGAATTGCTTACGAAACCGAAGAAAGCGACGACGAGGAGCCTCAGTTTCTCCTTACCGAAGCCGGGGAGCAGGGTCAAGACGACGGACGAGCCCCGAGTCGCACAAGGTTTACGAGTCGCACAAGGTTCAGCAATGCAGATGACGGTGGTTTCGAAGGAGATGAAGAAGATGAGGACGACGAGTTTTTAGACGAGAATAGCGAGAATAGCGACGGGGATGCCGACCTTGACGGGGACGAGATCGACCCCTCTGAGGTTGACGAGGAGCTTCGAGATCTTCTATCCGACAATCAGCAGTATCGGGATGCGCATTCCAAAGAACATACGGACGAGCAAAGCCCAATGCCGAGCAAGGAAACGACTAGCCTCCCGAACCAGATCCGCACTAGCAAGGCTACGGCTCTGAGAGCGGCTTTTCCTACAGCCCCAGTTGACACTTGCGAGACGGCGATCATCGCCTGCAACTATAGCCTGGAAGAGGCATACGAGTGGATGCAGCGGTATTACAAATACAGCCCGGCTACTACCCTTGGGACCGTACTCACGTCCGCCAACGCGCCACCTCCAGGGGAGAAGACGGTAACCGAGCAAGATGATGGTGAAAGTGATAGCGGAGCGGAAACTGATGGTTCCGTCGTGAAACACTACGACCAGCACGGCTTTCCTAGCGGGTCAATTCTGGATGGCACCGCTTCAAAGCAGGTTGCGGAGGCGCTGCGTAAGTCTGGACATCCGGTGAAACCACCAGTCCATACCAAGTTTGACGAAACTCCCGAGTCCAATCCAAACGAAGGGGGTGGCGAGCTGCATAACACGACACACAGTAGCAGTCGGTCCTCTTCTGCTGCGAGGCTGCCCGCCAAAGCAAACGAAGACAAGAGTGACGACGATGGCGACAGCGGTCCAGAGGTCATCTCCTCGAAGAAGCCAACGATCTCTGCCGGAGCCAAGCCCGCCAGCAGCGACCGGTCCTCTGTCGCCAGTGATGCGGAAAGTGATAGCGAGAGCGATGGCAGCAGCGAGAGCGACAGTGAGGACGGCAGCGAGAGCGGCGACAGCATCGACGGCAGCGACAGTAGTGACGGCAGCGATGAGAGCGATGGCAGTGACCTCAGCGACAGCAGTGACGACACCGACGGTAGTGACGGCAGCGGTAGCAGTGACGGCAGTGACGACAGTGGCGACACCGACGGCACTGACAGCAGTGACGGCAGCGATAGTAGTGGCAGTGGAACCTCAGCCAAAGCTGGCGATTCTCCCGGCAAGAAGGGCTCCTCCCAAGGGAATAGAGGGAACTCTAGCCACCCCTCAGCCGGGAAAGCGGCCACATCTGGTGCCAGCTCGCTCAGTGCAAACAAAGCCGCCTCTCTCCGTGAAAGATCCGCCCCGCAGCCCTCGATTGAGCCTGAGAGCCGCCAGCCCGTCCCGACTCCGTCAGAGACGCCAAAGCCAGTGCCACCTAGACAAGGGAAGCTGAGCACGCAGAAAAGAAATGCTCGTAGGAGGGCAGTTTTGAGAGCGCAAAAGGCTGCCCTAAGGGGGGAATCACTCCCACAATCAGCCGATGTGCCCAGTGGTTTGTCTCAGGGCCAGGCTCAGGACCTTCGGGATTCTATCGCCGCGAAGAAAGCGTCACTGCTCCAGAGCCTCGATGCATGCGTAACAGAAGGGTTACTCCCACCGCAGTTCGAAGAACAGGCCAACGGCGAGTCAGATGCGGGCCCGATTCCTCCGAACCTGTCTGTAACAGATGGCCAAGTTCCAGATGCACAGCAGGCGCCGCAAAAAAACCGGGAGGCCTGGCGAGACAGTGTCGTATACCGCGCAGTTGAGTGTTGCCATGATGGTGTGGAGCTCAGCGAGCCCCCCTTCCCCTTCGTTCAGCGATGGGATCCACAGCAGCAGTATTACCATAAAGGCGGACGTCCCAAACGTAAACAACGCCATCAGGCAGGGTTCTCTGATGAGGAGGGCACTCAAGACGCCAAAAGAAGAAAGCAATCTGATACCCGTGATCCGAACGGTCGTCAGGACCATGATCTTGGTTATGACGACACAGTTTTGAACTACGATGAAGAAGAGCAGGAGAGCCTGAGGCATGCGAAACAAGAGGCGCTGCAAACTGCGGATGAGGATGATTTACCCCCGCTCCCAGCTGATATTTCAGCTTTGCCTGCCCTAGAGCCCGGCAAAGTGGAACCCGGCATGGTGCTCACATGGAAGCAGTGGGTGCTTTCAAAGGCCACCAACTGGCAGCCACAAGTATCCAACCTTACGGGCATTGTGGCTGCCGTTCCGGATGATGGCTCATTGACTGTCCGTCTCGCCAAAAGAGATTGGAACCTCGACCACAATGAGAAGGTGTACGACGAGGATGGCAACAGAATCTACGACAAATTTGAATTGCCTGGAATGGATGAAGAGGAGGAAGAAGTTGAAGAAGGATTTCGGACTCTTGAGATCAAGGATATGATTGAGCCACGAATTCTCGCACCTATTTCTCAGATACCTGCCCCTATGCCTAGCGTTGAGCAGCCAGCTGGCTCCCCTGGCAAGGACTCAACCCCTGACGCCGTCAAAAACACCCAGCATACTAGCGACAGTGGATCTAGGACGCTGAGCAACGAGGTGCCAGTGGGACGTGAAGCTGTATCCCAAGAGATTGACACTGAGCTTCCAGCGACCACTAGCCAGGGCATCATCTCGGAGGCAAGCCAGGAAGTGTCGCCGCAACTCCCTGATCCTTAACCTTTGCCCGGTAGCGATATCTCGGTTCCGGAGGATCGACGGCACGAAATCAGCCTCCTCAGCTGGCTTCCGGCAGGATATTGATCCTTCAGTCAGGAAGACGTCGCCTTTTGATCTGAGCAGCCCATCGCGACAACTTGAAGAAATGGCGCAGGAGGCTGCTGCACCGTCATCACCGGCCTTGCCTGCGCGGAACCAAGACACTCAAGAATTGCATTCTCTTGCGGCTTCGACTAATGTTGACTTTCAACCGATATTTCTCGAACCGTTCAACGGCTTTTCCGATGCCACCGAGGACCCGAGTCAAAGGAGCGGGATCTCATACCCGAAATTGGATTTGCCACCTTCAGACACGGGCAGTGCTCACAATGGGCGGCAATTTGATCAAAGCTCCAATTTCGGCGACCGCTTCTCTAACAAGCCTGAAGACAGTGATGCGAGCAAGAACAAAGTCACTGGAACATCTTTCCGCCATGGAAGCGACAATGATCATGGCACGACGCCTCAGAAAGACCCCACTAGACGTAAACGGTCTCCTTCGGAGTCGTCTGATGACTCTTTCCCATCCCTGGCCAAGGTCTGGGTGACCGCCTCAGCCAATAGTTCACAGTCCCCTGTCAACCAAGCAGCCAAGTCTTCCATGAAGGCGAGCAAGCGGCGATTTGCGTTCGATTCTGGAGACGAGGACTCGACGCGACGGTCTGACGAATCTGAGTCGTCCGAAGATGGCGATGACGGCCCTCAGCGCCGCCTCTCAAAATTGGCGCACAAACTGGTGGACAAGCCCATCGAGAAACCATCGCCCAAAGAGAAGGCATCACTGAGACGGGATACGAGGCCGCCCTCTTCCGCTCCCATCAAGACCGAGCGTGCATCTCCTACCCCGGCAACTCGTGTCTCTAAACCCACTCGTCCGAACAAATCTTATTCTACTCGTTCAACCGAGTCGGCCTTTGAAATTCCCGAGGGTTCCCAAGTCGTGTCGCTGCTGACTAGCAGCCCAGAGCCCGAAGTTGAGGAGCACTATGCCGAAGATAGCATCGATGAGACATACGAGGAGCCAGGAATGCCGAGTGGCTCCGGCTGGGTTAGGAAGTCGCGGGTTCGCCGTAGGGGCAGCGGTGTGCCAGCGCCAAATGCTGCACAGGAAAGTCCGCCCAAGAGGTTTGCCTCCTCGCAGAAACCCGCCGTCACTGGCAATGGGGAGAAGCGGACAAGTGCGGTGCTGAGCTCCCTGCTGCGAGCCAAGAAGAGGACTTTGAACATGTGGTAACTTAGTTCCTTATTTGGAACTTACTTAGGGGGGGGGGTCATCTGAGCTCTATCGACAACGGTTTGAGTATGCCTGGGCAGCCTGGCTAGGCATTTTCATTCTGCTTGGAGTGTTCTCAGGATTTCCAGGATGCGTGGCCTTCTCCTGGTCAAAGATCGATCAGGCCAAAAAAGTTCTCGAGCCTGGGATTTCTGTAATTATGTACTGAATAGCAGCTAATCAACCACGTGCCGGTTTGTGTCACATATGTTCAGTTATGCTTAATACCACGCAGGACTGGCCCGCTCCGAGTATTGTACATAAGTCTTCTCACTGTTCCTCTTCAAAGATTTACGTGATTTGTATAATCACATCTAGTACTAACAAGGCCCGGTATCCCACCAACACCATTGTACTTACACACCGCTTCCGGCCTCCTGCCTTCGGCATCTGCATTGGGATTGCAAAGTCCCTTTCCTTCCGAAGAATTGAGGACCTAGTGACAGAGCTTGAAGTTGACCCGTGCAGGTGCTACATCTATCAGAGGGACACCAGAGTCGGAGGAAAGTTGCCTGCTGACGACAGCTATGCTTGTAAACAGTATAGATAGAGGTGGACAGCAAGTGATTCAACATGAAGCTGCTTGCGACGGCCGTCACCTGTCTAAGGATGCTAATGGAATGGAGAGCCCCGATGGTCACTCTGTGACTGACTGCTCAACGTCGTTCATAGTGGTATGCCCAGGGTGGTGATGGTCTTACGCAGTAGAATTCATGTTATGACTCGTTTGCTGGAGGAGTCAGGGACTAACGGTGGCATGGCCTTGCTTGTCTTGGATCATTGATGAGAATTCTCGGGCCTGCCCTCAATTCGATGGATCCTTCTTCCTGGTCGGGTTCAGGTGATGGGAACATCTCCGTTGGCAACGAGCATTCCAGTCTGAATTCCCTACGGCGGAAAGTCACAGAAGGGCGAGAGCACTCAGGAAGTCATGACAATTAATTGCAGTGCCTCCCACTCCTGAAAAGTCGCGCATGCCGCTCCGGCAGCACGACAAATTGCGCGGAGGAGAGAGCCTGTGGTGGGAAACCAGATAGTTGGGACCTGTAGTTGGCATTCATGGACCACGAACTTTCGGCAAACCGACCCTCGGCTCGTGCCTGCGCTGATGCGAGCGAACCCCATCCTGTCCCGTCCTCCATGAGCGAGCCGAAACTTGCTTTTGCCAGTAACCGACGACGCCGTGTATTTGATGCTATGGTTCTGCAATCATCGAAATCCCGACCGTCACGCCTCCGTCATAAATAATTCCAGTTGCATGGTCACGGCGTCAGATGTGCCGCATGCAGCCAGCAGTCCAGGGATAATGCACAAAGCCACAGCCATCGTCCATCCCACCAAGAGACCCCGAGTAGCAGACGACGCCAAAAGAAAAGCCAGCCGTTTATTTCTCCTTCTTGGGCTTCGCACCCTTGACCTTCGCCGTACCCCGCAGGGTCTTCTGCCTGTTCTTGCGCTGCTTGCCTGTGTTGGGGGAAAAGCGGAATGTCAGCGTCTGCCATTCCAGAATTCCGCATCTCCATTGCCGTGCATCGCCATATGCGCCCATTGGGGAAACACGTACGCTGTTGTCTGCTCGCCCTCTCGACCTTGGTGGCAAGTCCAACGCGGACCAATCTGTAGTGGGGCTCGAACTTCTTCATCGCCTCGGGGGAATCGTAGATCAGGGCGAAACCGGTGGTCTTGCCGCCACCGAATTGTGTCCGGAGGCCAAACACGCTGACCTGGTCCTTCTGGGCCTTGTACATGCCGGCGAGCTTGTCGCGGAGCTCATCCTTGGAAATGTTGGCGCGGTTCGGGTGGAGGATATCACTGAACGCGAAATGAGCGCAGAATTAGTGAAACTGTCTTCAACGAGATTTCGACGGCTCTAATCCGTGAGGGCATCCGAAGGGGGAGCAAATCCGGGCTTGCGAAACTGCTGCCTTCGTGGTGATATAGTCGGGCCACCACAGTCGCACAGTTTGACATGGGCAGGATGGGGCGGCAGAACAGGGGACTTGGAAACTCACACGACCATCTGCTTGCGACCGAGCAGAGGGTTGCGGATGAACTTGCGCGTGCGCAGCGTGACCGGAGAGTCGGAGTCGGCCATCTTGGCGGGTTGATGGCGGTCGATGTTGCGATAACTTACTCGATCCTCGATTCCGGGAGGTTTCAGAGTGGGATTTTCCCTTTGGTGTTTTTTGCAGGCGCGGCTCCAGGGTGGAGATCAGAAAATTCCGGTCCCGAATCGCTTAATTGGGCGCGAGCCCTAATGTGAGTTTTGGCCTCAATTCTGAGGCGCAACCCGAGCAATCGATAAGTGCACGGGCCAACCCGCCATAAGGGCCCCCGCACAACGTTGGCTTTGACTTCATTTGTTGAGAAGCCCAACTTGCAGATTGCGTTGAGCGGTTCATCAGAAGCTGCCTGTCAAACACTCAATTTGCATATATGTATAGGGCTCGCGTCATTGTAAAACGGCCCGTTCTGCATAGCTTTTGACGGTACTGCAAAATCCTCGTAACTCACGGCAAATCCTCGTTGCCTGCATGCGTCCAAGAAACTCTCAAAGGTCGTCCTGTTTCTCTCAGTCGCAGCAATCAGTATCGAGATCCCCGGCGAAAGACGCGCTAGCTCCGACAGCGTCGCAACAAGAGGCGGAATAGCACTCGCATCATACGTGATGTCGGCTCCGAGAACCGTGTCTAGATCGGCCAGCCCTTGAGATACTTCTCCATCGCTGCCGCCTAAGTCCTGGCCCCAATTCAGCTCCATGACTGAGACCCTTTCGGTTCCTTCAAGACCATTGAGGATGCAGCTATCTGGCAGCATCCTCACAACTTCGTCCGAGCCATCCGACGCAATGACATGCTCCGACCCGAGGTACTTGGCGCAAAGTACTGCCAGATAACCCGTTCCAGAACCAAGTTCTAGGACGCGCTTGCCCTTGACGAGGGATGGGTTAGAGCAGAGGTATTGTCCTAGATGCAACGCTGCTTCCCATGTCCGCAGCCCTGTGGTGCCTGAGGCCGAAATGAGAAATCGGGATTCCAGAAGGGTAATGTGCGGGTCAGACGCGGCTGGCTCTGTCTCAAGAGGAGACAGGTAGTAGGTCACAGAATACCTCTCTTGCGCAGCTGCCGTCTCAGGCGGTAACGATAGCGAAAGCAGCCTTGACATGGCAGACATCAGGTTGTTCGAGATGCCCTGCACGGTCGGGATGAGCCGTCTGGAACGTTGGGAGAGCCGCAAGCTGCCTAGTACTTACATGCTTGTCCCAGTCCACTATTGAAGACTCGATCCGAGCAACCAACTCTTTCAGGATTCTCAGTTGGTATCTCTGTGGCAAGGTGGTCTCCTTAGCCGCGAACAAGCGCTCATAGAGTGCTTCCTGCACTTCTTCGTCGCGGAGCAGCTCGCCACTCGGGAACTCTGGCGCAGGCTCCAACTGTAGACATTGCCGGCAGAAGCGAGAAACCCTTGGGTCTGCCATTGTCACTAGGGGTGGCACGGGGGTGGTTGGACAAGCAGCGCGTGCTCCATTCACCGAGCTGGAGCGAGGCGAGAAAGCCAGGATGACCTAACTCACACCGCCTTTTTGGTCCGGCAGATCGGAAAGGCGGAGAGTGGCCTCGAAGACATCAATTGCCGGTGACCGTTCTCTCCTCCATCATCTTGCGAGGGTCACTACCGTACCTTATCTTACCAAGAATGCAAGATGGCACCTTTTTACGCACGCTGTCTTGTCCCAGCAGGCTAGTGAGGCCTGCGTACTGCGGTGAGTGCGACATATGGACCACCAGACTTGCAGGTTTGGGGACCTTGCAAATCTGACACCCTGTTGCAGTGTTGGGAGGTGCGCATGGCACAGTGGTTCGTGTCTTCTTGTCACTGCGTCACATGTCCCCGATCCCAGAGTTCCCTACGACTGCCTGATCGTCGCTTCCAAGTCCCAGGACAACAAGTGGATGGAACCTTCCCTCAACGCTAACAAGAGCAAAGCGCGTTACTATAACCCCCCCCCCTCTTCTCTCTCTCTCGCTCTCTTCCCTCTTCCCTCTTCCCTCTTCACCATCCGTCGGCCAATGGGCCACGAAACAACCTAACCCAGGAATTTGCGAGGCAACCGCATTGATATCCCAGCCAACGGCCTCCAAAGCAGAGCACAGAGGAGTCTTCCACCACCCGGGAGACAGCGAAGTTCGAATCCTTACCAATGAGGACACCACAAAGTACAGCTTGTTGCACCACGCATGCGTGCGTTGTCTTGGCGCGAGGAACACGAGGAACGATGCCATGCGGTGTCCAGCTTGAGCAATCCATACATACTACTCGATACATGTAGGTTACTCGTAAGTATTAACATTCATGATGAATACGGACCAGACCAGACTGCACCGCCGAACTGTCGGAGTGGGAAACCCCACGATAATTTTTCCCATCCTGCATAATGCACGCACACATGACTAATTAACACTGGATCTAGACAGACGAAAGGAAAAGAGTATAAGCGGTCAAGCAAAATAAATGGCTACCGGAGCCAGCCTCAGGTGAGCTCCGCTGCTAGTCAAACCGTCCCCGCAGCCGGCTGCCATATGGCCCACTGGTCGCTGCCGAGTCCAGCATCACACCTGGCATCGCCCTTCGGCCCGCCCACTGTTGCTAGCTTCCCACAGAGGTCCCGTTGGTGCTGTGTTACCTCGCGTCTGCATCATCAGGATCAACAGTAGCTCGGACGGCAGCAAGGTACTAACGCACTCAGGGCTACCGGGCCGGAGATGGGGACTGAAAAGTCGGGCCAAATGGCTGGCCCAGATCCCAGGGCAGACACACCTTCTGGAAGCTGGCTGCTGGCGAATGAGATTTGAGAAAGCCCCTGCGAGAGCCGGCTGTTCACGAGCCATGCCTGATTCAGTGATTATGGATTTCCAAGTTGAAAGCAGGCGACTCCCTCGGTAGCACATTCATTGTCGATCTTAGCACTGGCAGTTCCCACCACAGAGCCGAGCGCACGTGGTCAATGGCTTCCTGCCACAGCCGATTGCGGGTCCTCGGCGTGTCCGGTAACGGTGGTGCCGCTGCTGGTGCGGTCGGGCGTGCCGACATGTCTGTGGGAGTGCGAATGACCGGCGTGACGATGCGTATGGGAGTTGCTGGTAGAGGGGTCGCTGAGGTAACCCGCGGCAGCAGCAGCCATGTTCTGCGAGGGGTGATGATCACCACCCGGTCCCGCACCGTATGAACCGCCTTCGTGACCGCGGCGGGACGTTTGGGACTGGGACGACGTGTAACTGGCCAGATCGAAAGCCGCCGGCGGGGCCTGGCTCTGGAGGCTACTGCGGTCTTGGGGTTCGCCGAAAATGGCGTCGGCACTCGAGTACCCGTCCGAGGTTGTACGAGATGATGGCGAGTGGTGGCCCGACAGGCTGCTGGTAGTGGAAGGGGGGTATGGGAGGCCCGTGGGTTCGAACCCGCCAGCATAGCCCGCTGCCGTCGCCACGTCGGCCAGTGTGCTTGCTGTGGGGGTGGATGCCGCCGATGTCGTGGATTTGATGGGTGGGGGGTAGATCAGCGTCGAGGGCCGTCCCGCCGGGTTCGGCAGGAGCCTGTCTGAAGAAGAAGCCGATGTGCTCGGTAACGGCAAGGAAGCCGCAACACCCGAGAACGAGAAGTTGGCAGCGTCAGCGCCGGCCGGGTGGGTAGGCCGTGCCACCAGGCTAGTGCTGCTGTACCCGCTGTATGGACCGTCCGTGTCCATGTACATGCTGCTGAAGGACGGTTGTTTCGCCCGGGCCCCTGAACCCCAGTGGCCGGGTAGGATGCCGACTGGCTCCTGGCCCAGAACCGGCTGCGGTGGGACGCCGAGGGGGAAGTCGAGTTCGTCGCCGTAGGGTGCACCGTACGCTGGCATGCCAGGGTAGTAGGGCTTGCTGGCCGGTGTGTAAGAGTATGTTGACCCACCGCGGTACGAGGCGAAAACGTCGCTGGATCCGAGAGTTGGGACGTCCTGTCCGTAATGGATGCTGCTTCCCACTGGCGTCCGGTTTGCGTAGAGCCTGGCGTCTGACACACTGTAGGTGAAATTCCCGGGGTCGTTGCGCATCGGCGCTTCCCTCGAAAGCACCTGTTGATATTGACGTCAACACAAGAACATCCAGGGGGTCGGGTGACAGGGGCTAATCAGGAACAGTTGAACATACTCGTAGGAACTGGCAGGGCTCCACGCCCGCGTTCTTACAGTTGGAGCATGGCTGACCTTGGCCAGTGTCGCCACTGCATCGGATCTTGCGTTTGCGACAGCGGCCACACTGGAGAAACAGAAATAGTAAGTACCTCAACAGTTTGTATCAGGGGCAACGCGCAGGGGGTTATCTGCAAGCAGTAGAGACTGCCTGCAAAATGTTGCCCAATCGAACACAACAAGCCAAAGCACGCTGGGAAGAATGTCCCAAGCGCCTCGGAAAAGAACACAAACAAAAAGCGTCTGGATGTAAACAATGGGGGTGCTTGGCGGGCGCCTTACTGCCACAGCAATCCGCTTTCTTTGAGGCGTCGAATCCGAGTCCAGCTGGTGATCTGTCATGGTGAGCGTCCGTGAATCGTGCGAGGGCAGTTGGAAGCGTCTGTCTGATGGCGGAAAGTACAATGGGTATGGCCGGCTGTATCGTCGTCCGTCGCTGGTGCTATAACAAGCCTGGGACACCATGGTCTCGCCGCCCAGGCTGTTGTTGGCCTTTCAGGGGTTGTCGGTTGTGCCCTAATCTTGGGAATGACTGTTGAGCGGGAGGGTTTTTCTCGACCTAGCCGCCCAAAGGGGAAACCAGCCGTCCTGCTTCGAATGCCGGACTGGAGCTCGTGTATCGCGTTCCTTGGGCTGTTGTTATCCGGAGCGTGTCTCGAGCGACCGGCGGCCGGGTTTCGTAAACTGACCGTTTCCAGCGGTGGTAATGAATTCGAGCACGACGTATGAAGTACTGACTGACTGGTATTAGGGAGATTCAGCAGGCGAGAAAGGAGACGCCTACGCGAGCTCCGTATACCTAGATGCCGTTGACGCGATCTAGCTCGACACAATACTGATGGTGATTGCGTCGGATTGTCCGGCCCTCCGATTCTGCTGAGGATCTAAAGGACCTATGTGAGATGACAGCCTCGGTGTTGCTCAAGGCCCCTGGCATGGACGCACATGAGCAACCGATACAAACAAACACGACAGCCCTGGCGCCCCTAGGACTAGCGCAAGAGCGACACCTCAACTCGTATCGGACAAATTCGTCGGCTCCAGTCTACACCGGCACACAAGTAAGCATACCTAAGTCAAGCCTCTGACACAGATCACGTCACTGTGATGAACGAACCAAGAGCTAGATGAAAACGGGTATTCAGATGGGATGGCACACCTGTGTAAAGACTGGAGATATCCCGGATCCCGCGGTCCAGTTGTCCACAACTTCACGCCGTGTATGCCAGCTGCCTGGAGCCTCCACCGGCTTTCATAAGTGGTGATCCGGGGCACAGAGGACTCCTCAGGGTTTCGACCTTTCCACCAAACCAATGTTTCGCAATCGCAACTGAGGTCGTTCACCGAAGCTGAGAATTATAAGGGGCAAGGTTGACGTGCGCGAGTATTATGTTTAAACTAGAAGTACAAGGACGATACGGCTGCTTAGACACAATGCCTTGCAATCAGGTGAGAAAAGGTCGAGAAGGACATGGAGAGAGATAAGCTAAGCAAGTGTTGCGGTGTTATACCTGCGCGGTATCACTCTCCTGCTTGCTGCGGCCCGGCCTGGCCATGGAGTCTCTGTTTGCAGCTGTGCGAGTCCAACTGCCCAGTACTACTAGCTGCAGAAAGTGGCATATACTCATATCAGAAGTCTCTACCTACCTACCTTACATGTTGAGGAAGGAGGCAGCAATTGCATGGTGGACCTCTTCATCTGCGATCTGCCACCGGCTCAAGGCCCCCGCTGCCAACATGTAACTTGAACTCGGCCAGGAAGGCAACCTTGAATGAAAGGCATGGGCTTGGTGTTACCAAGAGGACTGACCGGGAGGGAGTACCGCCTCACCTTGCGCTAGCGTCCAGTCCCACATCTCTTGACAGCGGAGATCTACGATACAAGCTTATGGGAAGGGGGGGTTTCTGTCAACCCTGCGTGCTTCCCTAGGCTGGGTACTAAAGAGAGCACGGGTCCAGTCCACCCACCCACCTCCCCCCATCCCAATCCCGGAGACCTGCAGTCCTGCGTACAGTATGGGTACCTTACGTCTCGGTTGGCCAGCCGGATTTGATCAACTTCAGCATTGGGCGGAAGGACACGCGCCCAGCACGGCTTGTGCCAGCTGGGGAGTGGAACTGCGCTTGCAGGCAGGTGGTGTATGGCTGTCACTGGCAACTGGCTTGGTTTGAAGTAAGGTAGGCAGGTAAGGTAAGTAGCAAGCCTCTAGCTCAAGGCTCTCAGACCTTGTCCAGGGCCAGAAGGTACAAGTACGTGGAACGGTCCAAACCCTGCTAGGGCGCGCAATGGCTACCGCCACATCGGATATGCAGAAGAATCTTCGGGAAGAGGATCTTGAGGCAGCCTGGAGCGATACTAGTAGACAGCTTGTTTTTTGTCAACCGACTGGCTAAGGTATTCATGCCGTGGTGATTGGTACCTTGATCGATATCTATCCGGTCCAGGGCACCATAACTTCCACACCGGTCTGTCCCCAGGGCCCTATTCCAGACCGAGTCCTTGGCTCGTTGAGAAAATGCAGTTTTGTCAAACTGACACTAAATCTAACCCTCATTTTTGTCTTGCCTTTTCCTCGGCGCCACTGTCCCAGCAGGATGCGGCACTGGACATGCTATCCTCGACGGCCAGTGCCACGATATTACCCAGCACTGAGCAGTACCAGTAACCTCACTCCTTGTGAGCGATTTCCGTAGCAGCGTTGAACAAACAGTGCTCAGCGTCGCCGTGCTCAACAACTTGAACCTTAGACAATCTTGAACAACCAAATAGGGTTTAAAGAGGTGCCGAACTAGGAAAGGAGCCACATGGAGAGTTTGCGACCTGTCACTTTGTCATGAATCACAACCGACTGGACAAACACAGCACGAGAACGGCGTTACCTACAGATGGATTCACCCTTGGCACCTATGCACTAGTAACTACTTAACGAGTACCCTTTGGGCCAAATGTCTTCCCGTCATGATGCCAAACGGCTGCTTTAAAAATCCTGGTACAGTACAGGTATTGGTTAGGTTCTTGTTTGAGGAACGTGTTGCAAGTACTACTAGTAATGGTGCATCAGAGCCCAAGACATGATATCTCGACGCACTCAAAGCACAATGTAGTAGACTATCTAACTAGCGGGATATTCAACTTCATGTTGGTACGACACCAGATGGCAATACGATTTTGCGCCTACCTGAGAGCAGGGTGTTCCCGTACCGACAGAAAGAAGGGGTGAAAGACCATTGACCTATCGGAGTGAGTGCGTACAAACGAGACGTGTGCAAGCCATCGGAGAGGAATAATGGCATCCTAAAAAAGTACCTACATATGGCGATCTTGCGTTGTCGGGTTAAGTGGCTGCGGGGGTTACGATCACAACTACGATCTTGTGTTCATGTTCCGTTTGTTTAAGCGTAGGAAAAGGACTAAGACAAGCAGAGCTTGCTCGAGCAACGAAGGGCAAGAGACAGTTTCACTGGCAGGAGTATTCCAAGCCTGCAATCCATCTCATACCAGACGCCCATGTCTCCGTTTGGTACCAACTACTACAAGTACTGACCAGTACCTACTCAGTGCAGTGATTGATGTCCAAGATAGGCAGGTACTCTTATTCGAGATTAGCTTCTATTTCCAAATACTAGTCGTCTTTGGCTGGCTGTGAAACCGCTTGACATCCACGCACGAGCGGATTGGACGGGCTCGATGCTGGTGCAGTGCTGCCAAACGGCAATGGGAAGCTTCCAGACTGCTTGTCCAGTCCGGTCTGCCCTTGGGAAAGGAGTAGTGCCGTCATGAACTATAATACCTCCCTTCTTTGGCTCGCCACCGGATCTGCAAATACCAATAGATATCAAACGCGTTCTCCAGTCACCAAGCCCCGTCCGATCCAAGGCCTACTGGTACTGTTACTCTGCTCCTGGCATTTCTCGTTGAAAATCCCATCTACATACTTTATGCTGGTATGTAGTACTAAGTACCGAAGAGCAACGAGCAGCATCCGTCTTCCCACAGCTTCGTCACCCCTTCGGCAAGGCCTACTAATACCTGTCCCTGGCTTCAAGATGGCCACCGGTTTGAAACATGATGCTCAGCGTCCAGATCGACACCAAACGGGGCGAGAGCAAGAGTGGCGCCGGGGAGTTGGATGGGACCTGACATTACACGAACTTGAGAGTCGTGACGCTGTGTTTCAGTCCTCTGCTGGCAGGTTTGCAAAGTACCGTATACAGCCCTGACAAGCCCCCAGGACTGGTCACACGCTCGACATTTCCTTGGCCCGTAAAGGGTTTTGTTTGACATGGGGCTGGACCATGTCCTACATGCAGTCGTAATAGGTAGGTACTCTAGGTAGGCTCCAGCCGCCCTGTTTACACGTACCCACACTGCCATGTGGAAGCCATCTAATCTCGTCTGAGATCGAGAATGCGAGCCATCTTCCCTGCCCTGAGCGTCTTTGGTCATGGCGTGGGCAGGGTATCCGATTCGCGGCAAGACTGGGCCGAAATGGCGGATCGTTGTGATGCCAACAATGTCCCAGCTGCACTCCCTGCTTCCGCAACACGAGAGGGGCCGGCGCCATCTGCAGCCGGCCTGTCCTGCATGGTAATTTGGTCGTTACCCAGGTTTTTGTCCGCATAGGACAAGCTTTATGTGGCGCCCTTTGCAACGAGGCATTTCATGGCGACACGGCAGTAGCCATCCCGCTTCTCCTACTCGGGCCGGTTCTGAACCCCTTGCCGACGGACACTCCTGCCTCCCCGGTAGCTTTGTCGGCGGCTGATGCGGGGAAACGTGGCAGAATGCCGATGAAGCTAACCAAGATACCCGATCCGATCTCCCAGAAGTGAGCGGGCCTAGCCAAGGATTGGAAGCCACTAAGTCTCTCCACCAGCCGTAAGGCAGCTTCTCGTGGCGGAAGGGTGGCCCGGATTTGATGGAGAAACGGCGCTTATATTTAGCCTTTTCCCATCAGCAGAGTATGCTAGGCACGGTATGTATGGTTCTGCCGTCCTGTCCCTTAGCAACGAGGCAAAAGTAAAGGTATACAGACACACGCCGCGGTGTGCTTGGACTCCTCTCTCGGCCTCATCGGATCGGGAAGCTTGGGCATTATGGGTGCAGGGCCGACCTTCGCACTGTAGTTTCCGGCTAACACAAATTCCGATCGCGGAGAAGCAACCACAAACTGGACCCATAGGATGCAAAGAAACATCTACTGCCGGCCCCGACGAACCTGGCCTGCAATTCTGAGTGGGAGGGTAGGCGCGAAGAATTCGGTGGCTAGCTTGCGCCGGATGCCTGCAGCGGTTGTGGAGAGACAAGCTGTCAAGGATCGCTGGAACGAATAAAGGCTGTAGATTGCCGCTGCGGGCTCTTAGAAAGCTCTCTGAAAACGAGGCCAAGACTTTGTAGATCACGGTAAACCAATCAAGTGACGGACGCAAGCTATTGAAGTTGTGTTCAGGGGCAAGGGATGTTTTGATGCGTTGGGCATGCGACCCTCCCACGCCTAACTGGTCATACCGGTGTCTCGTGTCGATCAGGGTCCTGGCCACCTGGACTTTGCCGCGTTTAGACTTGACTCGAATCGGAGAGATCTGACAAGCAGAGCAAGGTGCTAGTGTACCGACTCGCTGCCGTTAGCGGTGTGGCAACGTAGACAGAGAGCATTTGGGAGTCCAAAAGTAATGCCATAGCTTAAACTTTTCGCTGGAGCTGTGCGAGGACGCAGCCAATAACACCGGCACCTTGTTGGTTTTGGCGCTCCTAACCCAGTAACCCTAGTGGAAACACTGCGCAGTCGGATACGGTGAAGGCTAGATCCAGAAGATGGGAGGCGGCGATTGGAGACACAACGATGTCACAACTATGTCACGTCGGCTGATGTCAGCGGGCATCCCTCCTGCTTGTTGGGCAACCGAAATGGCAACCTGAAAGCTGTGAACGCCGGTTGGGATGAAGTGGTGGAACCGTGGAAGATTGGGGGCGGAGGAGCACCGTCGGCATACTCCTTAGCCAACCAAGTCTTGAGGGACACATTGTCTTCGATTGCCTGCTAAGAGCATCGGTGGGTCGGTGATGGACAAAATGCGGCCCGTAGCTGGTGACCAGGTGTAGAAAGCAGGGTACCTTTTGCCACTCCTGGTTTGACTTGAACAGGGACGATGCGCGTCAATATGCTCGCCCAGGTCAACGACACCGTAGCAGGAGTAGAGAAGCGAGCTGGTTGTTGTGTTTAGTGCGCCCTTTCGATAAGCTCAGGGACCTTGCACATTTCGAAGCATCTCGGGAGCAGTGCTCGGGCAGCATCCTGCATCAGGCAGACACTTATTGGCTGCGGCTGTCTCGACCTTGTCCATCCAGCTGGCAAGTTGAGTCTCCGTAGGTGAGTACCAGCCACTATATGGTGACACCGGCAGCGTCGGCGTTGTGGATGATTGGAGCTATACCCCTGTAGCCCAACAAACAACGTGCATCATAAACCGCGGCTCCGCGGTCAAGAGAAGATGCTTGATATAGCAGGCAGTCAGAGAGAGCTGGCGCACAGGATATTGAGGGAAGACTCACCAAGAAAAGCCAAGGAACAGGTAGGCCACGTTGTCGACAGCACATACATACCAAAGTATATCTGCTTCGTGGTGACTGGATGTGTAGCGAAGCTTCGTCTACTTAGACGGCTAGGTCACCGGATCTCTGTTTGGGTCTCCAATTCAGGGCGTTCAGGGGTTGTTCACCTGCTTCTAGAACGTCTGCTCCGGTCTCGATCCCTTTCTCTGTCCGTACCCCTTCCGAAACCACGATCGTGATACCGTGAATCTCTGCCAGTCCTCTCTCGACCGTCTCGGCTTTTACCAAAGTCCCCTGAACGCCCGTGATAGCCATCCTGGTGCCGGTAGTTCCTGGGACTCCGACTGCGACGTTCATCGTCGCGACTCCTTCCGTCACGTCCAGATCGGTACCGGTCCCGACGCCGGTCTGGAGAACGACCATCTCGTCGGGTTGCGGTATCCGGATCCCGATCCCTCGGGCCTTGTCCCCTGGAATCCCTATTGTTCCTGTGTCGGCCATGCAAATCCTCCATACCATGAACCATTTCATAACGCTCATCGTCGTCAGGTTCAACGTCCTCGTTCCGATATTGTCGCCACTTCTCCAGCTCTTTCACTCCGCCCCAGCCACCTTTCCCTCTGGAAGCAGCTTTCTTCCGCTTATTGTTGGTCTCGCTGCGCCACACGTCACTCAGCCTGCTGACGCTCTGACTAAAGTCGACATGAATGCGCCTGTCGTCGATGAGGACTCCATCCATCTTGGAATAGGCTTCCTCGCAGCTCTTTTGATCTTCAAACTCGATAAAGGCGTATTGTAAACTGTCCCCTGTTTTGTGGTCTCGAATCACCTCGCAGCTCAGTATCTTGCCGAAGCGACTGAAGATGAGCTCTAGGTCTTCATCGGTCGTGACAGGATTCAGCTTGCAGACGAAGAGAACGTTTTCCGGTGGTTTGACCTCGGCAAACGGCAAGTCACCCATCATTTCCAGCGTCAGGGCTTGCGCCGCGGCTTCGCGCTCTTTTCGTCTCCGCTCTGCTTCCGCGGCGGCAGCCTCATTAGCTTCCTCGTCTAGTAGCTCCTCATCCTCTCCAATTCGAACAGTCGCAAGCTGCGCCTTGGTTGGAGGCGGTGAGCTGCTGGGTTCCCGCAGGCCTGCTGGGTCTGGGTAGGGGTCGTCGAGCACAACGGTATGCTTGATGCGTATGTCGACGAGAGGGTGCCCGCGCTCGTCCACGATGGCATCGTTGATCTTTTCCAACACGTCGAAACCCTCCACCACCTTGCCAAAGATGGCGGCCTTGCCGTCTAGATAGTCGGTATTGTCCCCGAGAGTGACGATAAACTGCGAGCCGGCAACGCGAACGTCTGGATCTGACGGATGTGGGGCGGTGGCCATGCTGACAGTGCCTCGCTCAAGGTGCTTCAGCTTCGGGTGAAAGAGGGCGGGGAAGGTTTTGTCGGCCTTGTCGCCGGAGAGAAGTCCCCAGATCGAGGTGCCGCCATCGGATTGTGCGGCCAGGGGTCCGAGAGGATCGCCGGTTTGGAAAGAGAAGGACTTTTGTATCGAATGGATCGGCGAGAAGTTGTAGTATTTGACCTTGCAGAGTTTGAGAAAGCTAGAGATGCACTGCGTTAGCAATATTCTCGGGACGGCGCGAGGCTTCAATGTGCAGATAACAGCGCCACTCACTTCTCGCACATTTTGGGCGCGTAATCGACCAGTAGGTCGATCACTATGTCGCCCGCGCTGGTTTCGAGGAGTACTGACATCTCGAACGAGAGAAAGCGAGGCAGCTTGCGACTCGCAGCCAGCAGAGATAATGTCGCTGCGTGTTGAGTCCGCAAGGTACCGGTAACGTTAAGGTTGAAAGTTGGAGAAGGAATGTGCCCCGCACACCACGCAATAGCTAGAGCAGGGTTAGGGTATTGGCTCACGTCACCTAAGTGTTAAAAACCTAAGATGTGAGGCCGTGCCCGTGCGGGCAGGATTTATTTAGTTAAGGGATTCACGAAAGAAGACAATGGGCGAAATAAGCTTGGGTTTCTTGTGAGATAGAAGAGTCGGCCAGCTGAACTGGAAAGCAACTTTTGACTCCAAGTGACGTCCACCCTGAGCTTGAGCTCAATTCCCCCAAACTCCATGCTAAAGATGAAGCCATTCCAAGAGCTGAACAAAATTAAAGTATTTAAAGTAGCATACATACATGGATGTATTGCAGTTGCAGAGAGAAGACAAAGGCGGCCCATCAAGGTGCTTGACATAGGCCTGTGCTGGTAAAACCCCTCCAGGCTGCGATAGATGGAAGTCCAACGCGAGGCCAACTGGTCAAGGTCCAGGCGCGCTACGCCGCCTCCTACCGCTCCGCAACTCCCGTTCCGTATCCATGAGTCGGTGCTGAACCCAGGTGCGGAAGGCTTGATCTCCACGGACCGTCTCGCAGTTCAGCAGCTCCGTCAGGGCGCGCTTCATGCCCTCGTTGACGTCGCAAAGTCTGGCTTCCTCCACCGCCACCTCGTCGGGTGTAGCTTCGCTCATGTACGGAAAGGGGTAGGATGGCTTTTTCGTCGGAAGCGAAAAGCCAGAGGGACGTCGGCCGGACTGCCCGGGTAGGTGGGACATATCCCCTGAATTGTCGACAGGATTGGGCGAACTGGGAGTACACATCGAACTACGGTAGGCCGGGTTCGGTCGAAGCTCGTCAAGATGCTGTCTAAGGAACTCGTGTTGGTCGTGCAGGAGAAGATACTTTTGCAGAGCAAAATCGCGGCTATGGCGGTGAGAATACGGGAGGAGCAGAGCCTTTGGCGGCTCAAGGAGATCACCCTCCCTGGTAGATTTTCCTATACGGCTCATGTTCCTGGTCGAAGACGGTGGCAGTGGTCACTGCCAGCTAATGTTTGTAGGCTTGCATTCGAGAATGCTAACGACCAGATCATTGGAAGCGGACGGTCGGACTGATGATTGCTGCAAACCACGCGAGTCTGAAACGAATGTGACGTGGCTGCCCGGTGTTTGGATTGCGCTTCTACGCTAGAACAATGCTGTTGGGACAGTTGTTGGGGATCTCTGCTGTTTGGTTCAAAGTTGGGCTGTTTGCTCGTGGCTGAAATCGGGAATGTGACTGCACTGCGAAGAGATAGCGGCAAACAAGCTGGAAGGTACGGATAAGCACCAAAATATATCAGATGAGCAACGAGCCGTGCCGGATACTTCACGTTGTGTGCTTATTGGGTCGGCCTCGATCGGAGTTGCGGCTCTTTGAGCCTGAGCTCTCCCGGATCGTCAAGATGTCGTCACTGTGTGACGGCGACTCAGGCCTCTGGGCTTCAAACACAGCGTTGTGGGGGCGGTGGAGAGGGGCGAACGGGAACATGCAATCAGGAGATGTGGGTCAAATTCAACGGATTTGGTTAGATGCAGCTACATCATTACCACGCCATGCCTAAAAGAGAAGGCAGGGGCAGACTATCGATAAAAAAGGGGCAACACTGGGCAGCACCTTACTCCGTCAGCTGTAACCTGAAGGCAAGCCAGTAACAACCTCTGTCAACATCATGAAGACGACGTGCCACTCGGTAGTGCACATTTCTTCTGACTCTCAAAGCACGATTTTTTTCAGACCCAGCTTAGTCTGAAGATCGAGACTCCTGGGTACCTCCCACCTTGGGTCAGCCACCGCTACCTGACAAGTCGCGGTCCAGTGTCTCCTTCCAAAACTTGAAGGCGGGAGCTGATAACCAGCAGCAAGAGCTGTCGGATCCGCTTTAGCCTAACCAGTCCATACCTCCGGTCCAGGGGGCTTGTACTCAAGCAATCGCATCTCCTCTGCTGGCAGACCGGAGAAGACTTCCTGGTTTCTTGGGATGAAGATGCCTGTTACAGCAAAGACAAGCGTGTCAGCTCCAGCGTCGAATAGCTCCCAACTGCGGTTTCACGATATAGTACTGTGCTAGTACAATATCTGAGACCATTTGGGGTTTGTGCCTCACCTGGGTCATTCCGATGGTATGTACCAGGGAACTTGGCAAATCCGGTCGGTACACCGCCACCGGGGCCGACAATGTTGACATGGGCGCAGTTGACAAACCACTGCGAGTAATTTGTGGTTGAGGTAGGCATGAATTGCTCGATGCGCATCAGGTACCTGCCTGGCGGTGTGGTCGCGGGGACGGTAAAGTTGAACTAGGTCACCTGTTAGCATGGAATGGGACCTGCTTCTTTTGTATGGCCTTCCAAACAGTCTAAGGTCGGGTGCGCCGGAGGAGACCTACTTCATGTAGCCCGCCCCCGGTCGTGCCATAAGTCCTCCAATACAGCAGCCATCCGGTGTTGGAGACAGGGCCCCCGTAGGCAATCTTGAACCAGTCGCCATCACCTCGGTAGTCCTCCAAGTCGTCGTTGGGAGACCGCGAGAGGTAAATCTGGACAGGACCTGGGTGGACGAACTCGGCGCCCTCTCTCCATGTCCTCGAGTAATCACGCGAAACGCGGAATCCGACCTCAGAACCAGCCAGCACCGTGGCCGTCTCGGTTTTGTTGGCCGAATCGAACGCATTCCTGCCGCAAGTAATGTTTGGGTTGTCGATGTCCTCCTGTGGGATTGTCTTGAAGTAGTTCCAACCGTCCCACGTTTCAAGCTTATCCAGCGAGACGCCATCAAGGACAGAAACTTCGCTGAGTTTTGTATTTGATTAGTCAGTTGAATGCAAGGTGGTGGACTTGAAGTGGTTGGCTAGGTAAGGTAGGCTTCAGGTTGACAATACCGAATGTATTTCCATTCCGGAGATGCAGTGCCATTGACGAGGAGAATTCCGTGAACCTCTTGAACAAAAAGGGTCATGTTAGTTACACCCCAGCTCTATCCAGTGTACCAGGCAACGTACGATGTCCCAGTGCGCCTGGTGTCAGGATCATTGCGCCGAGAACCGCCACTAGCAATGCCTTCATGGTGGAGGCTCGTATATCCCGGGGGTATCTGCTGCGACTTATTCTTGTGTCTATCGGTCGTACTACTAACCCTTCGACTTTCAAGTTGTCGGGGTTCGAACTGAGTATAAGTAGCAGGTGACGGAGGCTCTCATAACCACGTCTCGACTACCTCACAACTGTCACTGCATGTGGGCATACTCGATGTAACAGTATGCCCGCCATTACAGTACAGTATAGTAGTCAATATAAGTAAGTATGTAGGCAAGCTCAACTGCATTTGTCCCTTTAGACACAGGGAAACTGCTGACTTAGGGTCCAAATTCCCGCCATTAACCTGGCGGGCAGTGGCGGCCGACTCTATACTCCTGCTCTCATTGCTTCAATGCTTCCGGTCCAGATCCGGTGACATTTTTCGACATCTCACAACCCCGCGTCCGATTTAGCGGTATGGTTCTGCAGCTACCTCTGCCTCCGATCTATTCGTCTGCCGATTTACTCATCTGCAGTCAGCAATCTAAGTGAACATCCCGTTTCTTGGCCAAACCGATCGACTCTTTCATACGCTAGACTAATGATGCTTCTTGCAGGGTAGCATGTGTCCTCTCAGGCTGCATCCGCTGGGCGCGGCATGTGGGCTCTGCATCTGAGCTGCCACTGTCTCAGCGGGTGATTTCCAGGCATTCCCTATGGGCACGACATGCAAAGAGAGACTGAGTCCGATACTATCAGAGTCCCTAGGTAGGTCTAAGGTAGGTGAACCTCCCCCTGAGGTCCATCTGGTTGCATTGACGACAAGGAGATGCCATCCAGGACAGAACATACACAAACCCACTGTCCACGGCAGCGAAGATGCATGAATTGACTCGTACAAGACATTATTGAGAGTTCAACGTCTAATTCCCTTGCGTTTTGGCAAATACCTAGATATCAAGGTTACACACTCTTCCTCAGTCCGTCCCTCGGTCTCTCTGTCGTTTGTCCCATCACAACCGCCACCCTCATTATTCTCATAACCGTTACCGCTCCATTCAAAGCCACCTATAGCCACAGTTCTCGCCATAGTCGCCGCTTTGAACTTGAATTGTTGAGGCGTCGCCGATGCCGTAAGAACCAAGGTTCACCGTACATACCATTAAGGCAAGGTACCTTGACCCGGTCTCATCAACCGGTAAAGTAACCCGCTTGGAGTGGAACTTGGGCGGGAATTGCCTGTGCCTGGGAGCATGACTTGGTAGGCGGTACCCTCAGTCCTCCGACTTAACCATATCCAATCTGCTCCAGTACTTGACGACCGAATCTGGCGGGATATACGCTGCGTACTCCGTCATCCAGTAAGCCGCGTAACTGTTGTTCTTTGGTGTCTCTGACAACGTGATCTTGTCTGACGTGAGCATCGAGACCCAACCCGCGTCGGCACTTGGCGCCGTCTTTCCCCGGACCTCCCCAAACCCCAGCAGCTCCAGCACCCACGCCCCCAGCATATCCGCAAGCACTCCGGCAGAGACGATAGAAATGAACCCGTCGAGAGACGGCGGATGCCCGCGGGGGAAAGCAAATTCCTCGTCGGCAATGTCCACGACCCTGTCGAGAGTCTCGCACATGGCATCGCCCATGTGGGCCCTGCCTTGCTCGACGTACTCGATGACGTTGTCAAGACACTCCTCGGCCATCTTGCGGGTCCAGCAACGCCCGCGGAGCTCGTTCGAGATGTGAGTCTGTAGTGCACTGTCGTTCCACTCGGCCTGCCACAGCAGTCGGGTGATCTCCCTGGCGACTTCTTCGACCGTGCGTGCGTCTTCCGTTGCTAAGGACGGCACTGAAGCGACATCGTAGGTCATTGGCTCCGGCTGCGTGTACGATTCTTCAGGTTCGTCCGTATACGGGGCCATCTTTTCGTGGCAGATGAGCTCCGGGGAAGCCGGGAGTTGGTAATCGGCATACTGGGCTAGCTTTTCGTCGAAGATGAGTTGCGTGTACCCTTGAGGTTCCTCCCGGCCCGCAATGATGCATGCGAGGATTGAGCGAATCATCTTCTCCATTGTCTGGTCTGGTCCTTGATAATCGCTACCACTGAGACTATGGGCTTGTTGACTGTGTCTTGGGCTGGCGACTGAGATGGTAGAGAATAGAGGATCCTGGATAGATGCCGGGTACCGCGTGCCTATTGTCTAGCGAAGCCGAGAAACTGGCTGCTGAGGGCTGGGAAAGGGAGACCAAGCACACGGTTGCGCTTGGGGAGACAGCATATATATCCACTTATCTCACGTTACCTTGTATTACTGGCCGTGTTGCTCTCTGGTCGTGCAAGGTAAGCGCCCCCGCTGCTGTTTGGGGAAGAAGGCCGCTAGGTGGCGGGCCAGGGGCTGAGATGCGGTCCGTTTCGGGGCCGGGCCAGGCCGATAGACCCACTCCACGCCGTGTGGGCCCGGATGGCAAGGTGCTGGTTGCGGCGTAGCCCGGAAAGACAAGAAGACCGGCAGCCACCAAAATGAATATTGCGTTGCTAGAGGGAAACCACGTCAGGGCCGGTATATCATCAACGAACGGTTAACGGTACACGAGGCTGCTACAACCTCATCGAAGGCGCGACAAAGCGTGGCCTCGGCTGAGGGCCGGCCGTCCAGGAGGCCTACACACTTCAACCACCCACTGTATGATTGCCGGCATTCCAAACAGATTTCCAAGCCTTTCTGTACCAATGAAGCAGATCTAAATGCCACCACCGTACACACTGGTGGCGAATGTTTGGCAAACTTGAACGCGACTCAAAAGGTTCAGTCCCGAAAGGTACAGCCTCAGCGCTGGCCATGGGACCGGCCGTGCTAACGACCCAGGAGGCAACCGTTAAGTCGCCAAGTAAGTGCATGCTTGCTCTATGGCAAAGATGTGGAGGACAGCGGCCCGTATGAACGGAGGAAGCCCTGGCAGGTGAGATGCCGATGTTCTGATATCTAAACTACCATCGTCGCTCCAACGCCGGTTTTGGTGAAGGGATAGAAATATTTTTGACCTAACTCCAATGGCAACTCCCGCTTATTCAGCAATGAGATTGCCCTTCCAAAAAATATGACAAGGTCGAAATTCATTAACGGTCTGACCTGGCGGGACGATGGCGAAGCTCGTCATAACCTCCCAACTCATGCTCCCAGCAACACCACCCAGGACTTCGTGTCGAGCTTCGAGTGGAAGAGGCTGAAGACTTGGGGGAATATTGGCCTGTTACGCCAGGCCACATCTAGTCATCGGGCGTAACGGGCCGGCTACCCTTGTACAGGACAGTCCGCTGTCCGCCGTCTTCTTCCTCGTCTTCCCTCCCAAACTTCGTCATGCTGAACTCGGGCACGCGCCTCGAGAGGGGCCGGAGGAGACCGTTAGGGTTCTGTTTGGCACGACGAGCCCGCTCCAGCTCGCGTTCCTGGGCTGCTAGCGCCCGCTCCTCATCGTCGTTCAGGAACGTCCCTTCAATGCTAAGGTAGCCATAGTCGCCGGCGAGGCCGACATCAAAGTTCTTGATACGGAACCGGAGCTTGCCGCTCACCTTCCGCCCCCGTTCGTTAACCCAGTAGCCCGTGGTGTGAATTTGTTCCACGACCTGAAGCTCCTCGCCATCGAGGTCGTCTACTTCTTCGTGATTTTGCGATGATTCATTCTCCGCTCCATCGGGAATCGATGATATACTTTGCTTAGGATCCAGCTCGACCCATCTCCATCCCTTGGGTAGCCGCTTTGCCTCGATGCTGGCATTGAACTTGTTCCAGCAGACCACGCCAATATGTCCCTCGCTCTGAAGCTGCAGAATCCCTTCCATCCATTTCCCTCGGGCGGGGACGAACAAGTGCGCATCAAACGTTAGCCAACCAAACCCCACTGCGTACTCGTCAATCGAATGCAGCAGGGCGGGAGTCTGGTCGGTTGGCGGGTGGCGGATGCTGGCCTTGGCTGGCCTGTCCGAGAGGTTGAGGTTTGAGTAGCCGAGGAGAACACCACGTAGCAGAGGAGAGTAATGATTGAGTAAAGGATCCAGGTGCTGGGCTGCAACATTTGTTAAGGGTTTATCGAACCCAACAGGGAAGAACGGGACATAGAGCGATATGCTCTGCATAAAGAAGGGGAAATCGGGGTCGGTATGGAATTCGGGGATTACTTCTCGGCCAGGCTGAGACTCTTGTGATAATACCGCCGCGTCTGTCCTCGAGTCCGCCTTTGGTTTATCCTTGCTCTTTCGTTTCTTCCTCTCCTTCACTCCCTCGTCCGGTGGAATGGTGGCGGTTGCGGTATCGGCCTGAACGGGATCTTCTTGCGCTATGCTAGGTTCGTGCTCTGGAACCTGGTGCTTCTTCGACTTCTTTTCCTTCTTCTCCTTCTTTCTCTTATGCGACTCATGGCCTGTGTTCTCTTCTGCAACCTCCCTAGTTGAATCAAGCTCCATTCCATCGGCCGAAGATTGCCCTGGGTCTACTGCGACTTGATCTTGGCTGCTTGTGTCGGGATTCGTATTATGCCGCTTCTTCTTCTTCTTTGGTGATTCCTCCATAAGAATCAGTGACTGACTTGTTTGCGGGGCCTGATCATCTTCGTGACCGCTTTCGTTCTTGGTCTTCTTCAATTTTCTGGGCGTCTCTTCAACGGCTGCCGCATGGTCCTCTTCCCGGGCACGCTTCTTTTTGTGCTCGGATTTCGCTCTTTTTTGCTTGCCCTCTGATTTTCTACTGCTTGCTGTCACTTCTGGCTGTGAGCCATCGCCGGTTGGTGCAGACATGATGGGCACCAATGCTGAGAAGTTCTGTAACGGTTAGGAGTCCAAAGCAAATTTCCACTCTGGGTGCAACAAAAAAAGTGTCAAGGGGAGCTCGAAATAATGAATTTGGGACCAATGAGACCCGCGAATTGGGGCGACGGCGCCCCACTTCCTGTCGTTATCTTATCAGAAGTTCGGGAACCATCAGAAAGACCGAGAAAGACTAACAAGTCCAGGGAAGTTACCAACGTTAGGCACTGTACAATACAATCACCTTCATGAGGTAAGGCGAGGGTTTGGCCGATGGCTATCCGTATATCAGACTTCTAAGCTGTCATGAATGAGCTCTAAAGTACTGCAAACAACTTGGGTATTCTGCTTGATCTGGGGCAAACCCAGCATTCGCACCTCCCTGGATTTGGGCTACGCACAGGCCCGTGCCTACAGCCATTGGGGACCAGGGGACTCTCCGAACCTACATACAAGCGGCGATGGCATCACAGGAGAGCGCAATGGAATCATACCACCCCATGCAACCGGCTCGGAGCAGCCGGCGATCGGGATACTAGGCTACCTTAGTAACGTCGGACAGGCGGGGTCGATCGGCCTAAATGAGGGGCAAGATGGATACACAACCGGGCTGCGGAGCTCTCTCACGAAGGGCGCGCTCTTTCTACATCATTAACTCGTTCCTGCCTTACTTGGGGTACCAGATATCAGCTACCTTCCCTTACCTTCAACGCCATAAAGATCTCCCTAAGAGCTCACCAAGAAGCAGCAAGAAATCCTCCAAGTTCAGTCCCAACCATGGCGTCGGCGTCCTTTGTGCCATCCAAAATTTTGGTATTCGGAGGTACGGGTACCATCGGCCGATACATCACAACCGCCCTGTTGCGCGCCAAACCCTCGTTCCAACAGATTGTCCTCTTCACGTCGCCCAACAGCGCCAAAGAGAAGTCTCAGCAGCTCGAAAAATGGAAATCCGAAGGCCTCTCAGTGTTCGTGGGCGACCTCACATCCGAGGCTGATGTCACTGCTGCCTACAATGGTGTCGACACCGTGATCTCGGCAGTGGGCCGAGGTGGTTTGCAACACCAGATCAACCTGCTGCGGCTGGCCGAGGCGTCGGGCTCTGTTCAGTGGTTCCTGCCATCCGAGTTTGGCACCGACATCGAACACAACACCGACAAGAGCCCGCACGAGCGCCCGCACCAGCTCAAACTGCAGGTGCGCAAGTACATCCGAGAGAACATCAAGCGGGTCAAGGTCACGTATGTCGTAACGGGGCCTTATTTCGACATGTGGGTGGACGCTCTCCCTGGGGTGGAGAAGGTGGGCGGATTCGTTCCCGAGAAGAAGCAGGCATACGTGATCGAGGATGGCAACGGCAAGGTCGGCTTCTGCACGATGCCAGAGTAAGTCCAACACTCGTTACCTCGGTCCTCTTTTCAAGGAGTAAGTTCTCAGCTGACGCAACCTTCTATCTAGTGTGGGTAAATTCGTTGTCGCGGTCCTGCGATCTCCCGAGGCATCGTTTGGCAGGGCGCTCAAGGTGCAGAGCTTCGTCGTAACACCCAACGATGTCTTGGCCGAGTATGAGAGGCAGACTCAGTCCAAATGGGAAGTCACTAAGACGCCGCTGGATGAAATCAGAGCGTTTGAGGCCAAGGCGTGGGAAGAGGGAAAGCCATGGGCGACGCTGGTCACCTTGCGTCGGATCTGGGCCGAGGGCGGGACATTGTATGCCCAGAACGACAATGAGGTCCTGGGAATGAAATCGGAGAATCTGGACTCGCTCGAAGTCGCTGTTGGGAAAGCGCTTGCAGGGGGCTACAAGAACGACACTTTCTGATGACTGGCGTGCGCTGCGAGGAAGTGCCTGACTCAAATCACTAAAGTCATCCACTTAGCGTATGTAACTATGTATGCAATTAGACGAGAAACCGGTCTTGCTGTTAGACGAAGTATGCATTAAAATAGCACAAACCCAGTGTCCCCTTCCGCGGCTGAGACCAACGAGCGCCCCGACGTCCACCTTCGGCTTCAGCCTGCAGCTGCTGGTTGCTCGTGTTGTTCACCGTACTGGCAACCTGAAATTGTCCATCGGCATCCTGCATTGTGTCAGCTAGCAATAACTAAGGTAGCGGTAGGAAAAAACAATCAATCACTGATCGCCATGGTTACAGCTCTACACGATGTTACGCCTTACCTCTTGCTGCTCGTGTCGGTGGCCACCCTCGGCCCGCTCCAATTCGGCTACCATTTGGTGAGGAAGATGGTGTTCTAACCCCCCTCCTGGTAGCCAATCCAGCTGACATCCGCTCTTTTCCCAGGCCGAACTGAACGCTCCCGAAGATGTCATTACCTGCCGGAAGCAGTCAATCTCCTCACTGGACATGCTGTTGTGGGTGGGGTTTGGGAGCGCAGAGGAGCCATCCGACTGCATACCCATGAGCCGAGCGTCCTTCGCGGCCGTATCCGCCATATTCACTGTTGGCGGTCTTATTGGCGCCCTCGCTGCAGGTCCCTTTACATCGAGTCGTGGCCGCCGGCTCGCGATGCAGGCCACTGCCGTATTCTACCTCGTCGGGTCGTCTATCGAAACCTTCGCGTCATCCGTCCCGGTTATGATCGTGGCCCGCTTCCTCACCGGCCTTGGCGCAGGTGCCAGCACGGTCATTGTCCCGCTGTACATCAGTGAGGTGGCTCCGCCAACGAAGCGCGGCTTGTTTGGCGCCTTCACGCAGATTAGCATCAACGTCGGTATCCTCTTCACGCAGACCTTGGGCTACTTCCTGAGCCATGACGGCGCTTGGCGTTGGATTTTTGGCTCGGGAATGATAATTGCGGCTTCGCAGGCTCTCGGCCTGTTGCTTGTCCCAGAAAGTCCGACCTGGACGGCAAACGCGAAAGGGGACGTTGCGCGCGCCCGCCGGGAGCTGCAGCGAATCCGGGGAAAACACGTCAAGATTGATGACGAGGTCGAGGCTTGGGGGAGCGGCCACATCAAACCGTCTGGCGAGGAAGAAAGGCTACTGAATAACGACGAGGTCTCGGGGGAGAGCGCGAGATCATTACTACAGTCTCCCACGGCGTCTCGCTCTCCAAAGGCACATATGGGTTTTGTGCAGGTTATTCGAGACCCGCTTTACCGGCCAGCCATTATTGCTGTGGTGGGCATAATGTTTGCCCAGCAGCTCTGCGGTATCAACTCGATCATTATGTACTCCGTGTCCTTGCTCAAGGACCTCCTGCCCACCAGCTCAGCCCTTCTGACCATCATCATCTCGATCATCAATCTCGGCACAACAATGGCGGCTTCGCCGCTACCGGATCGGTTAGGCCGCAAGACGTGTCTCCTCGTATCCATTACTGGCCAAGGCTCAAGTTCCCTCGCGCTGGCGCTTTCAATCATGTTTGGCTTGAAGATCCTGTCTGCAGTTGCCGTCCTGCTGTTTGTCGCCTTCTTTGCCCTTGGGCTCGGCCCTGTTCCATTCATCATGGCATCAGAACTTGTCGGCCCCGAAGCGGTTGGCCCAACGCAGTCTTGGGCATTGGGGGCTAGCTATATTGCCACGTTCCTTGTTGCGTACTTGTTCCCGATTGTTAACGAGGCCATGAACAAGGCCCTCGGTGGCGCTGGTTGGGTGTACTTTATCTTTGCAGGATTTGCCTTATTATGGGCTATTTTCGTTCTTCGGAATGTCCCTGAAACTCGGGGCAAGAAAGATGCCGACGAGGTTTGGGGTCGGACAAGACGCACTGACTGAAAGATCTGCTTTCTTTCCTGTTTCCCCAAAACGCTATTACTATGCCTGCTATTCTTCGTTTTGATGCTCTCCTCTTTCAAACCCTATCAGGACCCCTGGAACGTACGCCTGTTTTGAACCATTTGCTCCAACAATCGAATCCCTGCCCTGATGCCGTCGACAATCAACAGTTGGTTGCCTCGCTCTCGCCCATACTCTTGGAGGGCAACGGATCGGATGATCTCCTCCAGTCCAGCCATGCCAGCGCAACCCATTACGACGCACTCCACATTACCCCGAGCTAGAAGCCTCCTAGTGGCCTCGATCAACTTCTTCCGGACGATGGCCGGGTCGACTCCCCCATGGAAATCTCCCGCGTTGAGACCAGTGCTTTCGACCCCGGCAAATTTGGCGTTCTCTGACTGGGAATCGCTTCCCAGGAAGTTATTCACTCCCTTGGCCAAATGGTCCTCCCAGAACTTGCCGGTGGTCACAATTCCCCATTTCCCGTGTGGCCTCAACAGCGATAGGCACGTCAAGATGCTGGCTTCGAAGATGCCTGTTACAGCGAGTTTGCTGAATGTGCCGTCGAAATCCGCCAGTTTGCTGACGAGTGGGTGAACACTAAAGCAGGCCACAAGGACCGCGTCGTACTGCTTGAGGATTCCAGTGCTGGTCAAGTTTTTGTATACGACATCGGTACTTGCTAGAAGGTCATTGCCGTCGTTGATGCTTCCTGGGCTCTCTGGCGGCGCTGTATAAGTGTAGATTTCGGTGGACTAAGTCGGTGAACATCAGTAAGGTGCGAACCACAAGACATGCACTCGTTTTTCAAAGCAGCCAAGGAATTCTGAGGTGGCGAGCATCGCCTTCCGTCTGGCTTTCCGTTGGAGAGCTCATGGATCATAAGGTACCAGAAATGCTGATGCAGTTTGTTGCAGCTGGGATTTCTGTGATTATAGTGTGGACCTTCGCAGGAGACCAACAACTGCTTCGGGAACATACTTGGGAAATGTTCATGGAATGTATGGCTTCTTCCAAGCCGTGGGTCATTGACGCAGACGAGTTTGGGTTCAACACCAGGATCCTGGTGGTTCTTCTGACGAAATTGGTCGCCATTGTCTCACTCGACTGGACAAGAAATACTCTCAAAGGGAAGAGAATGTTGGATATTTTATAACCCCCTCTTCCCTGATTCCCAGATGCCTACTTTTTAGTAAGGTCACTACTTGTAGACGGCCGGCGACTTACATGGAAGTTCTTCTCCGGTGGGTCCCTGTGTTCGATGCGGGGCATCACGTGGAGCTCTCAGGCCCCTGCTGCTGCACCAGCCACAGAGACGCTTGGCTCCTGCTCCAGGGGAAGCGGGAGCCTGACCCCACCATCCACGTACATCCACCACTTCCCGGCGACAGCTTGGTGTTGAGATCCTGCAAGCCATTGCGCATAGCAAACCAACACTTCGTGCTCTCCTCGCCGTCCGGACACGTCTCATAATTTCAGGATGACCACCCCTCCCATCGGTAAGGCGCAATAGCCAGGTCCAGAGCAGAACGGAGCATCAGAGCTAACTTCCACTCTCCGGGTCTTAGTCCTCGATGGCGGCACCGGCTTCCTCAAAGTCGGCTACGCAGCCCAAAACTTTCCCGAATTCCAATATCCGTCCATCGTCGGCCGTCCTATCCTCCGTACCGAAGAGAAAGGTGGCAGCGACATGGTGATCAAGGACATCATGTGCGGAGACGAAGCCGCAGCGGCCCGTACCATGCTCCAAATCAGCTACCCCATGGAGAACGGCATAGTCAAGAAGTGGGATGACATGCAACATCTTTGGGACTACACTTTTTATGAAAAGATGAAGATCGATCCACGCGGCCGCAAGATCCTCCTGACCGAGCCACCGCTGAATCCCCTAAAGAACCGAGAGCAAATGTGCGAGGTCATGTTTGAGCGCTACGGGTTTGGCGGTGTCTACGTCGCCATTCAAGCCGTCCTCGCGCTGTATGCTCAAGGTGCGAATTCCCGAGCCGCGCCAGGCGCAACCATTGCGCGTATGCGCAGGGACTGGACGCTAATTTTTGCGCAGGCCTGAGCTCCGGTGTAGTGGTCGACTCTGGCGATGGTGTGACGCATATCGTTCCCGTGTACGAGTCCGTCGTCTTGAACCACCTTACCCGCCGGCTCGATGTCGCGGGTCGCGATGTCACGCGCAACCTTATTGCTCTGCTGCTCCGCAGGGGTTACGCCCTTAACCGCACCGCCGATTTCGAGACGGTTCGCCAGATCAAGGAGAAGCTATGCTACGTTTCTTACGACCTCGAACTGGACAAGCGGTTAAGTGAGGATACGACAGTACTGGTGGAGAGCTATACACTGCCGGACGGCCGGGTCATTCGCGTTGGGTCTGAACGGTTCGAAGCCCCCGAGTGCTTATTCCAGCCGCATTTGGTAGACTGCGACCAACCGGGTATCGCTGAATTCCTTTTCAACACGATCCAGTCGGCCGATGTCGACGTCCGAGCCTCGCTCTTCAAGGCCATTGTGCTGTCAGGCGGCAGCAGCATGTACCCGGGTTTACCCTCACGTCTGGAAAAAGAACTCAAGCAACTGTGGCTGACAAGGGTACTGGGAGGGAACCCTGAGCGCCTGAGCAAGTTCAAGGTTAGGATAGAAGATCCGCCGCGGAGAAGGCACATGGTCTTCCTCGGCGGCGCTGTGCTTGCCAACATCATGGCAGATAATGAGAACATGTGGATTTCGAAGCAGGAGTGGGAAGAGCAAGGCCCCCGGGTTCTGGAGAAGCTGGGTCCGAGATAGGCTGGTTAGGGGGTTATCATGTTAGCAAGCGGTGCTCATTTTCTAAGATGAACAGGGATAATCCAACTCCTGGGCATATGCACCGCACGTTAGAACAGCATAGACGGACTTTCACCGGTTCTAGGCGTCGGGCAGGCCTCAGGATGTCATATGGCAGCTCATGCCATAGGTCCCTAAAAGTGAAAGCCGAACAGCACAGCACCAAAATGATCGCATGCGGCAAAACCCAGCGCCAAGAAATCCCCGATTCAACTCGTTGCCTTCGCCCCACCTCTCACACGCAGACCTCTCATCATTCAAGTTGCGTGAACACATCATCAGCTGTCCATTGATTATGACCAACCTTGTTTCTTTTTGGTAGGCAAACGATGGCACGGCAGGGCTGACCATCTCGCTACTCGCTACGGGATCCGATGTCCGCATCATCCGATCCACAGCTGATCATTTGCACATTGGAGCGGATTCGTCGGTGCCTGTGCAACCGCGGCGGATCGCAGCGCCCTCGCTGACTCGCAAACGCAAATCCTACTCCTCCCCAATCCAGACACAACCTCCGCCAAGGCTCTGTTGGCCTCCGGGCTGTTCCCTGCCACCAGGACTGCTAATGAGCCTCACGAACCCGCCATCAAGCGCAACCGGCCCGGGCTCAGTCTCCGCCGTGAGGAGTCAGGCACTAAAGAGGAGTGTACAGGCTGCCTTTGAAGGTACTGTAATTCTTATTATAAGTTATCTGATGTCCGATTCCCAATTGTTTCTTTTCGTCCTTTTCCTCTGCCGCCCCACAGCCAATACCTTAGCTCAATAATAAACGGGCATGTGGCTACCCGAGAAGGCACCAGGGTCTTCTGCGCTTGAGGTTTCTCTGGTTACCCGGATCTCTGAGTGACCCGACGACGCTGTGCCCTTGCTCTGCCTGTTCTTTGTGCACCACAGCATGCAGCATTGGTAGTAACAGTTGTTCCTTGGGGCCCGTCATGGAGAATCGGCCGGCTCCACCGTCTTCCTTCCAGATCCAGCCCCCGGCCGCTGGAGGCCAAGCTGCCAAGCTATACAACAACAGTGTCGAGCTTTCCGGGGACCTCGGATCCGGTGCACCAGGCCTGCTATTACACCGCTATAGCTCTGCTGTTCAAGTTCCCTTTCCGAGTCCTCTATTCCCTCACTCGGGCTCAAGTTCCGCCATGAATCCCGCCAAACGCCTGAGGGCTGAAGTCAGCTTCCCGCCGCGGCTTTGTCAGTCAGTCAGTCTCTTGGAGGATTAGCCACTAACGCATCTCCACAGATCCGGCGGATCGTGGTATCGGGCCCATGAGCTACCAGAGCAAGGTCCGAGTGACAGACAAGTACAAGGTCATCGGCTTCATCAGTAGTGGCACCTATGGCCGGGTCTACAAGGCGCTCGGTCGTCATGGCCAGGTGGGCGAGTTCGCCATCAAGAAGTTCAAGCCCGACAAGGAGGGCGAGCAGGTCACGTATACGGGCATCTCGCAGTCGGCCGTCCGGGAGATGGCGCTGTGCTCCGAGCTCAACCACGCCAACGTGATCCGCCTGATCGAGATCATCCTGGAGGACAAGTGCATCTTCATGGTCTTTGAGTATGCCGAGCACGACCTGCTCCAGATCATCCACCATCACACACAGCAACCCCGCCATCCCATCCCGCCAACCACCATTAAAAGCATTATGTTCCAGTTGCTGAACGGCTGCCAGTACTTGCACACCAACTGGGTGCTGCACCGCGATCTCAAACCGGCCAATATCATGGTCACCTCGGCCGGTGAGGTCAAGATCGGCGACCTCGGGCTGGCCCGTCTGTCGTACAAGCCACTACAGAGCCTCTTCAGTGGCGATAAGGTTGTCGTCACGATATGGTACCGTGCGCCCGAACTACTGCTCGGGAGCCGGCACTACACGCCCGCAATCGACATGTGGGCCGTGGGGTGCATTTTTGCCGAGCTGCTCTCTCTCCGGCCGATCTTCAAGGGGGAGGAGGCTAAGATGGACAGCAAGAAGACAGTCCCCTTCCAGCGGAACCAGATGCAAAAGATTGTCGACATCATGGGCCTGCCCACCAAGGAGCGCTGGCCGCTCCTGACGAGCATGCACGAGTACTCCCAGCTGGGGACGCTCCAACCGCCCATGAACTATGGTCACCACCAGCACGGCCACGGCCACGGCCACCACTACCAAGCCCAGCGGCAATCTTCTTCCAGTACCGGCGGGAGCCAGCTCGAGAAATGGTACTACACCACCATCAACCAGCACGGCACGGGGAACAGCCAGTCACCCCTGGCGAGTCTCGGCAGCGAGGGGTACAAACTTCTCGCGGGGCTGCTTGAGTACGACCCGGAGAAACGGCTAACCGCGGCGGCGGCGCTGCAGCACCCCTTCTTCAGCTCGGGCGATCCTGTTACTACGAACTGCTTTGAAGGGCTCAAGATGGAGTACCCCCACCGCAGGGTGAGCCAGGATGACAATGACATCAGGACAGGTTCCCTGCCGGGGACGAAGCGGAGTGGATTGCCTGATGACTCGTTGGTCAGGCCGGGGAAGAGGGTCAAGGAGGGCTAACTCATAGAGGTCTCGGATCCTGCTCGAGTCTTGAGATGAGGCTTGGAAGAACAACCGGCTTGACGAGGTGGTCAGCATACGGCTACTCTCCTGGGAAGGCGCGTTCCCAATACATTTGCGGCGTTGTGTGTACATACATGGGCTATGCATTTTTCGGGAGTTCTGGGGCGGGAGTATGGCGACTAGTTGACAGCATGAAGGCAAAGAAGAGAGCCTTAGAGTGAGAGGCTCTCATGCCAGGCAGTTATGCATCATGATACCTTATTCATGTTGAATTCGAAAGTGTCTGCTAGCACCAGCGGAGCTTGAGTGGAATTACATCGGATCTCATTATTCCTGAGCTACCTGAATTCTTCCCACACACGATCGCCGCCCAACCCCGCTTTCTTTCCCTTCCGTCTGGGTATGATTTGCGCTTTCTCCCGGCTATGGCGAACAGAACAAGACGCAGGACACGGCAAGCAGGTCCCGAATATTAAAATAAGAGATAGGGAAGGAGTCGTGACAGGTAGGCGTTAACAAGAGAGAGAGCGCTGAAGCGGGCACAGAACCCGCAGATGACAGCAACGTAAAAGAGAAAATCCACAAACGACAGAATTATGATAAGATATACCCCCCCGTTGAACTCCCCAACTCTAGGATGCCAGCCAGGTGGCAGAGACGTTGAGTGATGTGCATTTGGGTCGTCTCACCATCCATTCCCATTACCAGGAGCTGTCCCCTTCGCCCCTCTGGTTCCAGCTGCTTTGTGTATCTGCGCAACGCGGAGGAGTTGGTGAGGCTTGTCATTCCGGTGCCTCAGGCCGTATCTGGGGTCGAATACCAAGAACGGACAAAGACTGCTGACATGCTGTTCTTTTCCCGTGTCCGTTTTACCTCAGATTGTCGTCGTAATATGGACGTCCTTCTCATTTACCACCGTATTTGGGCATTTTTTTGATGTTATCCGACAGCCAGCCGAAGCCCTCGGTCAAGCCTTCGCCCTCAATGGCAATGGCGGGCTGCACGAACCATGGCCTGTCCTTGAGCTTGTGGAGTTCCAGCTTGTCGGTGATTCTCTGAGGGTCCATGGCTGTTTTTCCACCGTAACGTCAGCAACAGCAACAGGCCGGACAAAATAACGGGGGAGAACGAAGCACACATACCACCGGTAACGTCCTGCTTGTTCGCGAATACAAGAAGCAGACAGTCGGACATTTCGAGGTCGTTGAGAATGCGATGCAGCTCTGTCCTTGCCTCGTCGATCCGGGCGTGATCTGACGAGTCAACAACAAAGACGAGACCCTGTGTGCCTTCACCCATGTTTTGTCAGCCCGCCGCGCGGTTTTCCTTGACTAAAGCCTGGCTGGCTAGTCCAGCAAACTCACCGCTGTAGTAATGCCTCCATAACGGCCTGATCTTGTCCTGTCCGCCAACGTCCCACATGTTGAACTTGATATTCTTGTAGGTGAAAGTCTCGACGTTGAAACCGACGGTCGGGATGGTCGTCATGGTCTGGTTCAGCTTGAGCTTGTACAGGATGGTCGTCTTGCCGGCGGCGTCGAGCCCCAGCATCAGGATGCGCACTTCCTTGGAGCCGAAGAGCTTGCCGAAAAGGCTCGAAATGGACAACGCTGCGCCCATTTTTGATGACGTTCGCTTATCACACGGTTCCCGAAGACTGGCTGTTGTCAAGATTGAGTATTAGGAAATCGTTCCCCGAGTCAGGTTGTCTGAGGAGGGTGCGATGCGCTCAGATTCCGAGGATTGCGAGATACAGATGACGCTCCAGGGAGAACCGGCTCTGTGCGAAAGGAGGATGCTGGCCAACTGGCTGACGATAGGCTCGAAGTTGCAGCGCTGTGCTCGACACACGTTCGATGAAGGAAGCGGGGCGCGAGATCAGGTAACAGGGCGGATTAATGGTGTCGGAGCAGATAGGCAAACGGGCCAGCGCACCCGCAGCAGGGAACTTTTTGTTCGCGGAAATGAGTCGGTCCCGGGGAGATCAGGGATCTGGCCTCTTCGGTGAGTCTCTCTCGTCTGTCGAAGTGTAAATGATGGCCTGGGCGTGAGTGGGCGAGCGACTAGGCTTGGCGGTCAGATGATTGGGTTAGACGCGGCAGCAAACGAAGTTTGTAAGAGAGACAAAGGCTGTCAACTCGGATGCACAAGTGATGCACAATCCAATGTCTCAGCGGTCGGAGTTGTGATAAAGTTGCGTCGCGGTTTTTGTCCCACGCGGACCCGCGTCTCTGTTCCTGGCAGGGAAGCAGCCGCCTGGGAGAGGCTGGAGCCAAAATTTATTACCCCTGAATTCCTGAGCCAATGGCATCGCTGGAATACGAGGCTCGTGCGCTCCATCGGGCTGGCAGCCGAGATGTGGAGGGAATTGTGGAGACAGCTTGGCTTGGAGATGGGGGGACGGGGGGAGCTCAACTGCACGTGTGATTCTGTACAGTGTAGACCATCGCATGCGATATCAATCTTGAAGTCGCCGCTGTTTGCGATGTATAGCTAGCTAGGTATTGTACTTGTACCTCTTAAAGCTGTTGTTTCATCGCGAACCAGAACCGCTGTGCTTTCATAGCTTTCATACCAAAGACTGCGTCACTTCAATTCCGATACTCGACGACGTATCGTCGGTCCACAAGCTGCAAAGTCACACTGTTTTCTTCACCCTCAAACCGCAAACTGACCTTTCCTGTAGCAGCATCACTCCCCATTACCTCTGCTTTATAGAACATGGTGCTATCCGGATAGAGGGCGAGGACTGTTTTGCCTCGTTCAAGTTCTGGCAGTTCGACGCCCGCCGCCGGAATGGGAATCATGCTGCTGGCGCTGGTGCGATACTCGATACGCTGATCAGGTGGCAAGTCCGGGTCGGCATCCTGTACCATGTAGCGCCGCGACTTGCCTTCGCCCAGCACTTGCTGAACACGGCCAAGCATCCACTCTGTGCCCTCCGTATTAGATGTCGGCTTGGGTTTGAAGACCACGTCCTGGCCCTTGAAGAATGTGACTTTGGCCCGCTGCGCTGCTGTGGCGGACCCGGCCCCGCCCAGTTCGGGGGGCACGCTGTCGGCTTTCCCCGGTGTGTCACGATCTCCGCTGCGTGGGGGGACACTATCACGGTTCACTGAGCGGTCGCTCCCTGCACCAGCACTGCCCGCCAACTTGCGTCCTACAGGAGACGGCACGGGTGAGTCTCCACCGCCGTCGAATTCGTACACGGATCCAGGATCGCGGTCACGATCTCGCTGCCGGTCCTTCTCCCGCTCCTTCTCGCGCGCGCTAGCTCCGCGGACCGACGATGCCCTGGCTGAGCTCGCTAACAAACCGCTCGGCCGCTCGCGGCCGGCGAGGCCTGATGGACCGGCTGCTTGTGCCTCTGATTCTTCCCTAGACTTCACCAGAGCCCTCAAGACCGTCACATGCTCGATAAGAGCGTCAATCTGCTGTTTGGATAGGTCGGCTCCCTTAACGCCGCCCCGTAGCATGTTGTCGAGTTTCTGTTCCTCTGCGGCTAAATCAATCTTGTCCTTGTTCTTGGCGATGAGGCTATCCTGGGCTAAAATGGCTCGGAGCGAGTCGTTGCTGCTGTTGATACCATCAATCATAGTTCGTATGTCGTCTTTGATTTGACCCCACAAATGGGCCTCCTCCCCCTGGGTGCTGCCACTGTTACGGTTGGGGCCCCTGGAATTTCGATTGCGTGAAGACATGTTGGGGGTAGGGCACCGCTTCGCAGTGCGGTCCTCCAGTCGGGGAGTTGGGAATATATAACAACCTCAATCCATATGTGGCGGCTGTTTTTGCCAATTGGCGTTGCAGTCCACAGCTTCCAAGGCCTGGCGTCCGTTTCCACTCCAGGCCGTCTGAGCGTTGATCAGGGGGATGGTCGATACTGCCCTGTGGAATTCGGGTATCTACTGTCACCGAGTTAGCAGGCTGGTGGTCTTGTACCGTACATGATGGATAGTGGGAGCCTTTGCCTAGGGGTGAGGTTGTTCTCTAGTGGTTCAAGCAGGACACCTTCTGGTTGGACACGGACGTCTAATAAAATACAGCAGTGTAGGTACCGTGGCCTGTATTGCACGCTCCAAAGCTGCCGCGTTGCAGGAGAGGGACAGTCGTCGCGTGTAGAAAGCTCGATATTGATGCAAAATGCAGTTGGGGTAATCAACCTCAGCGAGATTGTATCTGGAACAGGGAGTTCCTCTCTCAAGGTTCTGGATCTAAGATCTAGGTTGTTGTTACAGGCAAAGCCGCGTTTTGCTGTCCTGGGTGCGCCTTCCCTTGACCCGCTCTTTTAGGTTGGCACCCTCAAAGGCTCAACCACCCTTCAGAGGTACTACCCAGAGCTCGGGCCACCAAGCAACTGCCACAGTGCCAAAGTCTCCTCACAACTAGTGTTGGAAGATTTTTACATACAACAGTAATTTACCAGTTATTTACCGTAAAAACCGGTAAAAAAGGGATTCTTACAACCGCCAAGACTGCCAAGACAGAAAGGTTAGGGTTATATATAGCCCAAACCACCTCCCATTTTTTCTCAAGTCATGCCCACCCACCACAACGAATTGGCATCTTCTTCTCTCCCATACTCCGTATACAAGACGATCATCCTCCGCCATATTGGCATACAACTCTTCCTCCACTTGAGGGTCCTCAGCATCGTGTGCCATAGAATTTTGGGTGCATCCAGCTTCTTCAGGGTTCTCGGGTTCATGTATACAAATGCAGCTTGATCCAGAATGTTCCCCCACCCCAACCACGAAGTTGATGCCAGAGAACGCTCATTCGGCTGGCAAACTCTCAGGGCAGGAAGGTCGAATTCGAAGCCAAAGATTGATAGCACTATACCCAATATGGGGGCGGTCAAAGGCGGCAGAACGCACGGATCAACGTTCGTCAAAGTGGTTATTTACGGTTCGTTGTAATTTACGGTGAAAAATCTATTTTTATTGAAAATCCATCCCTACTCACAACTCCGTCAGGAACTTGAACTCCAAAGCGTCAAGGTAGGTTCCGTCCCTAAAATAGAGGATTAAGGTTTCCCAAAACCGCCTTCGGGCATGCTTGAATTGGTAGGTTTTATGTCTTATTCTCTGAAGTCTCTCGGTTCGAATCACAGTACTAACCAGAGGTTTTAGATGACGCGCAGGGTTGCAAGACCGATCAGGGGGGACACTTTTTTTACATTGTCATCCCTTTACACTAGAACTTATTTCTGCTGGCCAACATTTTGTGCTTGTGTAGGCAGCAGTGAAAGTGCATATGGAAGGCCCGCTACAAATAGTCCAAATCCAGAAGTCGGAAGTGAAGACCCAACAACTTTCACTTGAGAAACATCTCTTGAGGCCCAGCCACCGGCAACTTTGAACTCTCTCTGGAGTCTGGACAGTGTGGCCTAAAACTAGTTACTGTCTGAGCTGTGCAGCCTGAGTGGAATCGGGGTGCAAGCTGCTGGTTGTGATATGACGTAAAACGAGGGGTCGGGGCGTTGCCCCGCGAGGGCTGGAGTACGAAGCACCTCACTAGGCTCACTTAACATTCCGGCTCCTAAAGATCGCCTGATGAGGCTTGCACCCTCCTTCAGCTAAAGGAACAAGCTGCAAGCATACCCTGCCTTCCATTGAACTCGTATCTTCAAGTGCTTCCGGCTTATCTCTAGCACCTATCTTACCCTGGGCGCCGGGAAGGTTCGAGGGTCGTCGCAATGCAGGTTCCCCTAATTCGACTCCAATGCGGGGCCAATTCGTATGACTGGGGAAAGAAAGGCAACGCATCCGCCGCTGCCAGGTTTGCTGCCGCCACGCCGTCCGAAGGTTTCACGGTCCAAGATGATCGCCCATACGCAGAGGCAAGCTGCCCTCCCTTGGTTACTCCTAAGCTCCCTGGGACCAGACCTAGGCTGACCGTCACCGTTGCAGTTATGGATGGGCACCCATCCATCGAACCCCTCCAAGGACCTGACGACCGGGCGTACCCTCCTCGATCTCGTCCAGGACAACCGCGCGCTTCTAGCGCCGTCAGTTGCCGCTCGCTATGGAAACAAGCTTCCGTTCCTGTTCAAAGTCCTCTCCATCGACAAGGCGCTGTCGATCCAGGCGCACCCCAACAAAAAGCTTGCCGAGCAGCTCCATGCCAAGGATCCCAAGAACTACCCAGATGACAACCACAAGCCCGAGATGACCATTGCCATCACGCCTTTTGAGGGTCTCTGTGGGTTCCGGCCCCCAGAGGAAATAGGACACTTTCTCCAATCGGTGCCAGCGCTGCGTCAACTGGTGGGTGAAGACAAGGCCCAGGAGTTCGTCTCCGTCATCGAGAGTACAAAAGATGATCAATCGGAAGATGCCGTGGGACGGAAGAAGAAAGCATTGAAAGACGTCTTTGGGTCGCTCATGTCCTCCTCTGCAGAGGACATGGCTGCTGCTTCGAAGGTGCTCGTCGAGTCTGCCGCCAGTGAAGGGGCCAGTTTTGCCGCAGGCGGCGTCAGTTCGACTCCCGGATCAGTCCTGGCTGAGCTAGTCACGCGTCTCCATGGCCAGTTTGGACCCGACTATGGTCTTTTTGTCCTGTTCTTCCTGAACTACGTAACCCTACAACCGGGCGAGGCTCTTTTCCTCCGTGCTGATGACATCCACGCCTACGTTAGTGGCGATGTTGTCGAGTGTATGGCCAGCAGCGACAATGTTGTGCGGGCGGGCCTCACTCAGAAGTTCAAGGACGTCGACACGCTCGTCAGCATGCTCACGTACGACTATGCGCCCATCGACGAGCAAAAGATGCATCCTACCGAGTATCCGTATGTGGTGCTCAACCGGATAGCTTACAGCTCTGGGTCTACCGTGACGCTTTACGACCCTCCCATCGATGAATTCAGTGTGGTGCGCACGACTCTCAAGGGCAGCGGGTCAAAGGCTACCTTCGACCCGCTGGAGGGCCCTAGCATCATCCTCTGCACTGCGGGCAAGGGCAAAATCTCGGTTGGCCCGACATCTCAAGAGATCAAGGAAGGATATGTGTTTTTCGTGGGCGCCACCGCTGAATGCGTTCTTGAGTCCGAGGGCGCCAATGATGATGATGAATTCATCACTTTCAAGGCTTTTTGTGAAGTCGAGGACCACCGGAATGGAGCCTCATAGACGAGGAGATCTGGGAGAAAAGATGACGACGACATGCCAGGCGAATTAGACACTTTTTCTGTGTGCAGACCGGTGGGCGTCCATCACCAGACGCACCCATCACTAATACAATGTCTCCATGGACACTTGAGTTGACAGTACTAGCGTTGGATTTTGGGATTGAGCTAAGAGTGTGTTCTTCCAGAACGTGAATATCTGATTCGGGCGGCTCCGTCCCGTTCCCCGTTGGCAGGGTATCAATGTCTGCTGCCGGTCGATATTTATAGCTTCTGTGAATAAAATTCCCGGAATCGAGACCCCCTATTCAACCGTCAAATTGGTTAGACGGGGATTACCTCCCCTGCTTGCACGAGGCGGCATTGCAACCCAAATCTTCCGGCACTATACAAACCACTATACAGTCCAAATGCGATTCGCCATCCAGATCTCAGTCGCGATGCTTGAACCACAAAGGCAACCCGAAGAGCTGGAAAGCCCCAGCAACCAGGGCAAGACAAAGTCCGCTGTCGGATTCAAGCCAGTCTGTATATGACCTAGACGTCGTATCCTCCAAAAATGGATATTCCGTGATATAAATTCAATATATGCTGTCAGCTGGTGCAGTGGCATCTCAGGGGCACAGTGTCCATCGCTGGGCCCTGCCCTAGTATACGACCTCAAGCGGTGCAAGTAGGGACTGAAAGCATAAATGAAGGGACACCTCCACGACAAACACACGAACCGCTCAACCAGCTTCAACAACAGTCGCCGACGAGTGAACGATTTCCTGACTCCTGATCTCACGACTCCAGAACCTTCTTCATACAAGATGTATTCTCTCTGGCTCTACGTGGGCATCATTGCGAGGTAAGCTCCCTACACCGAACGAGTATCAACACCCACTAATACACGTCATGGCAGTGGTGTCCTCGGCCAGATCACACTGACACCCACAACGGTCCGCACCGGCCGGCCGGGGCTTCCCACCGTGACCGTCAGCGCAACCGTGACAGAAACCGCAACCGAAACCAGCACCGTGACCAAGACGGAAAGCTACATCCGCAACGTGACCGTCACGGCCACTGCCACCGTCACCAGTGTCAGCACCACCACACGCACCGCCACCAGCGTCAGCACCGCGACCGTCACCAGTGTGTCGACGGTGACCAAGCCGTGCCCGGCCCCCTGCCCGACCATCACAAGCACGGCGACAGCCTGCGGAACCTGCCTCGTGCCCCAGTGCACGACCACCTCGGTCATCACGCGCCCCTGTGGTTGTGAGGGTGCCTTGCCGACCGCGACGGTTGCGTTCCCGTGCAGTGACAGGGACTCATGCAACAAGATTGGGTGCAAGACGGTGTACAATGTGCGGACGGCCGCTTGCTAGGATTTAGGGGAGATCTGAAGGGATACCTCACCTTAGCTACCTACTAGTAGGGGTATTGCTTGGTATGGATATGGCTCTAGGTAAACGAGATGGGAGTGCCCGGAGTGAACGGAAAAGTAGCACTTGGGAAGCAAGAAGCTGGTAGACCTTAAAGATGAAAGTAACTCCGGATTCCTCGTGGCTCTACTAGCCTTTAGTTACCTTTCGTTTGCTCATTGTAGGGATTGACGGCGTCCTGAGTTTCCAGTCCAATTACATGTGTAGACCTGGGCTGCCACCTTAATCGTATGGTAGTTGCCGGTCAAAGCCCTTGACATCGCTCCAAATATCCACCTCGGCCAACTCGCCACCATCTTCGTTTGGTCTCGTTCTCAGCCCATACCTTATCTCAAGTTTCGACACTTCTGCATCCTCATTTTGAGCACGCCGGGTCAGCTCATCTTGGATGCGCTGGGCAAGCTCCCGGCCACTGTCGCTGCTGCCACCCTCAACGGAATCCATAGCTGTCCTCAGGAGTCTTGCCACCGAAAGATAGCTGTCGTGGTCTCGTATGGGGACCCCTCTGCAGGCCCAAAAGACCACGCCGATCACTAGCACCTGTCCAGCAAGCAGCGCTGCAAGCGTACTGATCGCCCGATCCCACTTTACCTCGAGCTTTGTCATGCTAAAGGTTCGCTCGAATGCATCCTTTTCCAGCGTTACCCTGGCGAGCCGTTCCTCGGCCCCGAGGAAGGCGAGGATGGGAACGCGCGCCGTGGAATCGGCAACATGAAGTTCATCGTTTGGATGGATGGGGTACTTGAACCAGTCGTTGGGCGGAGACTCGAATGCAATATCCGGGTAGCCTTCGGGAACCTCGTCAACGAATTCGTGGGAATCTGCGTCAATGGGGTACCGACGGAAAGCGATACGGTCGTCACGGCCGGTGCCCTCAGTAGTGATGGATACCATCGAGTCCATAATGGAACCTAACACACCAAAACCACCCCCAATGCGCAGGGCTATGCCAGCAGCGTACAAGGCGTTCTCTGTAGGGCAGCCGTGAAAGAAGTTGGATCTAAATCCTGGTTTGTGGTTTTTCTCGGTAAGGCAGGTTAAGCACTCGTAAATGGTGTAGAAATAGCGCTTAGCAGAGGACTCATCATATAACCACCCTTCGCCGCCAGTGATATCTGAGAGTGACCGTACAGGTAAAGTTAGGGTCAAATCAAGCAATGGCACAGGGTGCTTAATGGTGAGCTCTCTTACATGTCGTAGCGCAAGCGGAGGGATCTTCGTAGTTATCGGTTTTTGAGGCACCCCTATATGGCACCGCCCAATAGAAGTTTGCTCCGTGATCTGGACGAGGCAAGAGAGCGAGCCAAACACGCGCGAACTCAGGCTCGTTGTTGATATTAGCAGACTCATTATGGTCTAGGGAGAGACAGATTAGTTCAATAAAACTCCAGGAGTCAAGAGAATTCATCTAAGAAGGGTTGAGCGGGCTTACCTGGACTTGCAACGGCTTGCCCGTTGGCGTAAAAGGTTCCGTTATAGTACCGTCGTCCAATGCAACGCGATGAGCTGTGCACGACCCTTTCTGCCGACGGATACACGTCTGTCCCACGATATTCTCTGAGGGAGTAAGAGTATGTAACCCTGTCAGCCTCAACAGTCCGATCTACACCTCTCCCATCGATGCTTGTCACGTTGTATTGAGATGGATTCCAGTGGAATCCATCCCACTCGTGGAACCGGGAAGGCATTAATGCAAGTCCAACAACCGCCTGTTCACCGAGTTCAACTAGACTCAGTTTCCCTTGTTAGCCTCGAAAATCCACCGTACCTGACACTGTTTGTTTATGGTAGAGAACCTGAAGCCCACATACTTATATTTTCTTGGGCCTCATACTGAATGTCCGTGACGCCTTGGATTTCCGGTAGCCGTTCGATCATCCACGCCGAGCCGTTAAAGTCCGTAACTGCCACTGGGTATTCGACTAAAGCACTATCGTCTAAATTGTACGTCAAACCGAATGCCGCGACACTCAGCCAACCGATGATGTTGACCAGCAGATACAAGGTCACAATCAGCGTGGTGGTCGACCACTTCCTTTGCGAGATGACGTGATGGTGGATTAACTTGAGCGCCCCGGTGGGGTTGTGTATTCCGAGAATCAGGTCAACGTCCCGTGGGGTAGAGTCTCTCGCCAGGAGGCGCCAACGCAAGCAAGCACCAAGCAGTCCGAGACAAGCTCACGAGGGACGAAAACAGGATCGTCAGAGTGTTGAAGGCCCGCCGTTCCCACGTTGTCAAGTTGTCTCTGCTTGCGAATCAGTATAAGACGGCCGTAAGTAGGACGCTGAAGAGGAACGCGGCACCGGAGCACCACAAGACTCCCATCCAAGGAAAGTGGCCATGTCGGCCTTGGGGTATCAGACTGCGGGCGCCGTGCAAGGCAGCACTGAAGCAACTCGGACGCGTGTTTTGAACCATCTTGTCGGAATCTGGGCACGGTCGTGAGGGGAAAGAAACAAGTAGCGGTTCGAAGACATCCAGTGGGCGTGCCGCGGCGATGGGAAACCCAGATGGCTTTGGAGCGTGCCAGCCGCGAGATGTGAGATGGCCTTATAGCTCAGTACCTTACCTTGGGCATTCAGATATTTGGAGAGCCACATCTCGGTTTACTGAGTTGGCACCTGCGCTTGGCCGCAGCCATTGGCAGCCCAAAGCGGATGGCGAGCACTGGAAAGCTCGCTGCGTGCGGTCAAGTGCTGTACAAACCTGGAAGCCACCCGACTCAAGGTGATTGACCATCTTCGTGGATGAATAGCCGCATCATGCATTGCAGATGCCGGCAGGGATCCCGATTCAGAGTACGCTTATTGATTCTTCACCACTAAAGCCGCTGGACTCCTGTATCACCTGAAATCAACCATAGAGCCCACGTATCCCTTGCGCATTGGGTTGTGATTTCAAGCCATGCGCAAGCATTGTAGTCAGCTGCTGCAAGCCCCGCCATGGATCAATCACCGATGGCGAATAGGGGATGCTATTAAGAGATGATGGCGGCGTCCGAGGACAGTGTGCTTTTTGTGATGTGCTCAGTTCCTGGTGCCAAGTGAGAAGTGATACCTGAAAGCAGTGGAACCCTGTGTGCATTTGTGGTATTTGGTGTGGTTGGAAGTGGGTTTAAGGTTAACGTTAAAGCTGGACTGCTGAGTGGATTGCCCAGCCCGAACCACAATAATTCAGCTTAGGAAAGCACTCCTAGGAAAATCCAGCGGTGGCACCTTCCACTTTCCATATTCCAACGGGACGCCAACCAGCTCCCTTGCCACAAAATTGCCATGGTATTGGGTTAAGGCAAGTAGGTATGTACCCAGAGAAACAAGGGGTCTCCCAGGCTAGCCAAGCCTCTGAATTCTCTCCTGCTAAATAGTCGAATTCATCATTTTCGTTATCCAAGTTTGTCTTACAGTGAGCCACAACGAAGCCATAACCCTCTACACTCTCACTAGGTACTACATATTGTCATTAGTAATAACCCAGAGTCTCTGCAGGCAAGGAACTCCTTTTGCTCTATTCCAAGACCAGGCTCTAGGACTGCCCAACGATGCTTGTTATGTAGTGCACATGTAGCAGAACTTACCGAGTCGTACTAGGGGGCAAGTGTAGGGCCATACCTACCCCTAACCCTGCCAAAATGTACCCCTATTATCTATGTCCACGCCCGTACCCAATCCCCTTAACCGTGAAATTGGCTAATCTCTGAGCGGCCCACAAATACTTAGTGATACTGACCTAGTTTCACATCCAGTGTATTCAACTCAGACACAACAACCTGCAAATCAGAAAAGTGCTTGAACATCCATCTATAAGGACATTATATAGGCATAGATGCAATCAAGGCGACATTCTGACATCTGATTCAACCTACAACTTGGGCCTGGACGCTCTCGGAGATCGGACACGGATCGAAGAGAAGACCAACTCAGTCCGGCTCCGTCGGAGTCTTAGTCAACGAAGGCACCCCATCCCCGTCTTGGGCCGCTCCTGGCATCCAATCACCAACCGGCAATTATCAGCAGGCACTTCACACTACGACGTTGCAAGGTCGCCCAGATGCTCAGCGAGGCAGTGCCTGCTTGCTGTAAGGGGACCAAATGACGAAAGCTTGCGCGTCAAGCAAATTGATAGCAGACGCTGGCTGTCAGCAGAGTGTCCATGTTTGCCCGTGCCATATGTATAAGAACTTGAAGTAGTCAATTGAGCAGACGTGAACGCAATGTAGTTCAGTCTTCCTCCGCACGAGCATCAGTATCACTGGCAGCACCAGACAGCATCGCTCATCGATACCGAATAGGCGCCAGACACGCTCTAGCCGGGATCACTAGTACCGTTTTTCATATCAAATTCAAATATGAGGCTCGCCACGGTCTTTTCTCTCACGGCCTTGGTGGCCCGTACATACGGGACTCGATCGACTGATCCTTTCGAGCAGTGGCAAGCCCCCGGAGATTCAGACGGTACGGAATAGCCCATCTCCCTCTTCATGGTACTGGTAACTACCTCACGGTACCAGACATCATTGTACGCCAGCCCCTTGACGTGCCCAGGCTAACGGTTTCTATCATGACATGAATTCAACTGGAATAGTCCGTGGTCCATGCCCATTCTTGAACACGTTCGCGAACCACGGCTTCCTGCCTCGATCGGGCAAGTACATCACCGAACAGGATTTGATTGACGGTCTCTCCAAAGCCGTCAACTTTGACGCGGCCCTCTCAAAGTTCCTATTCAACTTTGCTGTGACGACAAACCCAGAACCCAACTCTACGTGGTTCTCGCTTGACCACCTCACGCGCCACAATATCCTAGAGCACGATGCCAGTCTCTCGTATGTCCATCCGCTAGGATACCGTGACAGCTCCGATGCCAGTGTTAGCCCAAGCCCCTACTAATTCACCATGCCAACAGTCGTGTCGATAGCTATTTCGGACACGCAGATGTCTTCGATCACAGGACTTTTGAGCAAACGCGGTCTTACTGGGGAGACAAGGTCACTCTGGGAACGGGTACGGATGCCATCATAGCCCGCATAAGGACGTCTAATGCGACCAACCCCGAATTTTCCTTGTCGGAGCTCGGTTTTGACTTTATTCTCGGCGAGACTTTCGCCTTCATCGCCGTTCTCGGTGACACCGAGACCCTCACGGTCAAAGCTAGCGTTGTGGAATATCTCTTCAGTGAGTACATGTATCCCAGACGACGATTTGATGGCTCTCTCTCTCTTTCTTTCTTTTTTTTTTTTTTTCTTCCCCTTTGCGCTTGTGCTTGCGTGCTGACACGCTTCATCCGTCAGAAAATCAACGCCTCCCAACCCAGCTGGGCTGGAAGAGATCTGACGAGCCGTTCACAACTGATGGTCTGGGTGACGGCATCCGAAAGATGTATTTGGAATACGAGAAGAGAGTGAATTCCACATCCCCGAGAAAGCGCAGTCCAATATCCGAGGGCCGTGTCAGCAATGGCCGCGTGCGACTCGGAGCATTCTAGACATGGCCCAGGAATCCGGATACATTTGAGTCATGCATGTCTAGTAGTGACCGTCAATTCCTGCACGGAGCGACCAAACCTCACATAATGGCATGGATATGACTTGGAGATTTGCCCGGCGACAGCAACACATGATGGTTTGGACTTTGGAATGGTGTGTGATGGACAAGAATCTCCCGTACAAGTACCTATTACCGTTCCTTGAGTGCAACTGAATCCAGTTCTTCGGCATTTGTTGGAGTCGTGCATGTGCATGACAGGATAAGGTACTCCGTATTTAGGTACCTATACGAGTAACACAACTTGATGCAGACGCCACTGCACCACGAACTACCATGTATGAGGTGAACTATGAAGTGCCTCTGTCTTGAATGCGGCGGAAAGCGGGCCACCAGCGCAGATTCTCGCCTTCGAATGAGGGATATAGGACACGAATGATGACCAGTAAGCTATACTAGATTCCAGTATTACTATACACCCTCTGTGGATTTGCACGTGCGGTATTCGAAATGAGGGGAGAAAGCGGCTAACAAAGAAGCAGTTAGTCTGTGATCCTACACTTGTCGCTTGTGCAGAGGTTCGGACTCTGCCTCAGCCGTACCTACCGGTACACGGGAACCCGAGTATCCGGCGCAGCTTAGAGGTTGGAGCCGGTGTGGCGGGACCCTTAGCGACCAAACAATTCTCTGGGTGCTTCCATTTTGAAACCACGAGATGACCCTTGCCTCGCCTGTTTCAGTTTTGGGGGCGGCAACTTGGGTGATGTGTAAGCCACCTGCGACTTCTTATCACCCTCCCACATCCCCGGGCTACGTTTCTCAGCTTGCGCCTGCTCTTTGTTGTGTCGGACTACATGTATGTACCAGGTCAGGTACCAACGGCCCGGTAGTTCCTTCTCTTCTTCACCTACATTTACATTTGGATTTGACCTGCGTTCTTCCCTTGTCGTATCCTATCAGACAATACCACCGACCTCACCCGGACCCAATCCGCTTACTCCAACATACGAGCCCAAGAACGCATCAGCAGCCCAGCAGTCACAGCCCAACCCGGCAGTAACGTTAGTCCATTGCGGATTTATGTGAGTCCACGGATTTTACCCTTGTCAAGACAAATGCCGCGCGGTCTTCCTGCTCCAAGCCATCACTAAAATCTGGCGAACCACATGCTCTGATCATTCTGATGTTCATGTTCCCACTGTTGAGTGATGTTATGTTCTGGATCCCTCTCTTGTCCCTGAATTTTTCGCACACGACATGGCAAGCAATCGCCCACCCTCAGATTCGCTGACAAAGGCATTAGACGCCGGATCAGTAGGATTCCAGTCCCCTCAGGCTTCAGGCTCCGAGGAGCGGGGTGTGCCCTTCTTTCTGGCCCGTAAGACCTGGCCGGACTCACCCACCAAAAAGCAGCGAGGGATTCGAGCCATGTCGACGGGGGGATTGCGCGCACCGGGTACGGGGGTTTTCAGCCTCCGCCGACTCAGCGCTTCAAGCATATCGTCTCTGAAACCCGAAACCACTGCTGCCAACAGCCAGCCCGCTGCCAGCCCTGGACTTCCCAACACCGCCGGCCAGTATGACGACGCCATCTTCTTCCCAAAAGTATACGAGGACGCCTGGGGTGGACCTGACGTCAGCCGGACCGACATTGAACGGGCACGCATCTTTCTCTTACGCATCGCGACAATGGGCGTAGACCCAGCTTTCAGCTCGGCCCTGCGGGGGATCGCCACAGACCACAAACACAACCGGACCGTCCCCGGCCTGGCTTCAGCAGTGCAAACCCACCTCTATGGCAACCGCCACGCCAGCTTCGAGCCAACCCCCTTACTGCAAGCAGTGCGCTTCATGCTGATCAAGGCTCGCGTGCCCGAGAACCCCTTCACCCAGCGCGCCCGCGACGTGCTAGACTTCTTCTTCGACCCGACCCTGCACCGGAACCTGAACCCGCCACCCCCCGGCGAGCTGGTTCGGTACGCATACCCGTCCGGCCGCCTGCGCGTGTGCATCATTGGCGGCGGCCCAACCGGCCTGGCATCAGCCATTTCGCTCGCCGAAAAAGGCGCGGGCAAGGTCGAGGTGCATGTCTATGAGCGCCGGTGGGTGGTCACCGAGAACGGGACGATTGACTACCCCCCCGCGGCCAAGCGTCGCGACCAGGTGGTCACGCTGCAGGACTCGGTCACCAGCTTGCTCACCCCGGCAACCTACCAGGCGCTGTTTGAGGGCCGCCCTGAGCGGGTTTGGCCCGGGTCAGCGAACATCCAGATCCGTAAGGTGGAGGATCGGTTCTTGAAGCGCTGCCAGACGGAGGAGTTCAGGGGCTTGATCCATCTCCATGCGGAAGGGGTTACGCGGGAGGAGCTGGCTGCCGGGAAATGCGGGGATTTTCATGTCCTGCTGGGTACCGACGGCGCGGCATCGTGGGTGCGCAGGAGCTACTTTAGGGGGTATGAGAAGGAGCGCGGGCGGAGTTATGCGCTGGGGCTCGCGTTTGATCGCGGTTCCAAGGGGGGGTTGCCGTGGAGCCAGCCGCTTAATATGTTCCTGACGCTTGGCCAGACGAGGTATCTCCTGAATGCGAGCGATTTTGATGGGAGGGGGTACCTGAACATGCAGCTGACTGAGGAGGAGTGGGAGAAAATGGTCAGTGTTGACGGTCAGCCAATCCATTTTGGCCGGCCTGGCTGTCTGCGGCGGCCCGATGGGAGTATTCCCGAGGGGTTTGATGAAGGTCGCGTGTTCGCCCCATCTGAGGACAGGAATTCGTCGCTGTGGAAGTCCATCGAGGACGGGTTGAAGTTGTTCGGCTTCAAGGAGAGCGAGGTCATCAACGTTGTGCGCATCCCCATTGTCGTGCAAGCGGTGCGCGAGGGGGTTCAGATGCTGCCGTTGGAAGATTCTCGGTTTGTTCACCGGCCACATGCGCTCGTGGCGGTGGCCGGCGATGCGGCCATGACGGTACACTTTTGGCCTGGGCGCGGGCTGAACAGCGGCATCAAAGCGGGCATTGCCCTGGGCGACGAGATCTGCCACGCTCTCAGGGGCGGCAGGTTTGCAGGCCTTGAGCTGACCGCCATGAAAGAGTACAACGACTTCATTCTGAAGTTGCAGAACCGTGAGCACGACAAGCGGAGTATACCTATTCTCAACCAGTCTGGGTCCCCTGAGATGCTCGGCTGGCTGTTGAGTAAGGCTCAGTCAGTGCCAGACGAAGTAGCTATCGAATGGTGAGTGCTAAGGACCAGACTACCCCTGCTACAACGTGGAAGCCAGGAAACTGAGTATGGCTGACAATCACGTTTCCCCCTACCTTCAGGCTTGTCGGTGCCATGACACAGATTGCTGACCGGCTGGAGCGCCGTAATGACTGGTACGTCCTGCGCTGATATCATCTTGAAGTATCATTCAACTGACGAGATTCCAGGGCCTTCCCCCACGAAGCCAACATCGAGCCGCAAATCCGCATCGTCCTCCGCCAGCTGCACAGCCTAACCCTGCGCGAGATGGCCGTCAGCTTCCCTTGGCCAACCCGCGAGATGGCCGGCGCCGAAGTCCTGCCGATCCGCTCCATGCGGCCCGAAGAGAAGAGCAAATGGTTGCAGCAGCTATGGGGCTTGCTCACGGCCGAGAAGAACAAAGAACTCCGTGACAAAGAGCGGGCCCGTTCCCGAGGCTCGTCGCCAGCGCCGTCCAACGCCCGCTTCGAAGCGCCCCATCCTACCACACCGAACTCTGCAGCAAGCCGGTCACGGTCACCCCTGCGAAACAGCATTTCAAACACCGTCCCGGCTGCCCAGCTCGAGACGCTCAGCCTCAACAATGCCGTGTCGGATTTGTCGTCCTCGAACTCGCTTCGCAGGAGTAATGCTGTGACAAGCAACAGATTGGTGCCAGGACCGGGACCAGGGTCGGCTGCTCCGGACGGCAGGCCAAGGCGGTTTAGTACTGCGTCTAACTTGCCCGTTCCAGGGGTGGCGGATGGCACGCAGTTAAGTGACGGAGAGCGTGACGACTACTACCCGAGCAGTGGGGACGAGAGACACGTTGTCCGGCCTAGATCGCCTTCGCCTATGAGAGGCGGTGATATGGGCTTGACGAGGCTGCTGAGCGTCAGGCGGCCTAATGACTCGGTCTTGTCGGATGCCATGGCGTTGGCGCTGTTTCGCGTAGATGAGGATTAGTTGGATGGTGCAATGCATGTTCTTAAGTTTGGCGTGGCGTCGAAGGGCTCGGGAGTTTGCGCGTTATGACATCCATGATCCAGGTGTTGGCAATGTTGATGGGGATATAGCGTTGGAAAAGAGAGGGTTAAGATGAATGAAACTCGTAATCTGAAGTATCTTCCCTGACATCCAGACGATAAATAGCATTAAAACTGATTGGAGCTTCTCTGGACTCAGAACTGAGAACGATCCCCATATTAGTCTCGGCACAACGGTGAAAAGAGGACCATTTGATAGCTCACCAGTCTGGGTCTTTTCGTCCTCCGCAAAGTTGTACCATTTAGCATAGCCCTGTATCTCTTCGGCGGTATCTGGAGTTGCTCAAATGCCCTCCTGACATGCCGTGGTTGGATCGGGCTTCTACTCGGCAGCTCTGCATTTCCGGTGTTGTTCCTGCCATTCCTGCTCTCCCCTCCTTTTACACCCACCGACGAAAAGGGACCTTCCACAGTCTTCCTCTTTACCACCACCCCCTCATTGCCACCGTTAGCATCAGCCGCCCTAGCTTCCTGCGCCTGAACAGCTATCGCGCCCTCAGTCAGACTCTGCACCCATTCACTCGTTAAGAACCCTAACACCTCCAGCACGTCGTCAGTTGACCTGTAGTCAGCCACCACGCCCAGCCCGCACCATTCCCTGAAGGTCTTCTTCTTGCGATAGGTAAACGATGCGGACCGGCACTCGGACCAGGTGGCATACTCTTCAGCGGTCATGCCCTTTGTTCTCTCGTCGTTCTTCACGAGACGGGCCATGAGCCAGGGGTTGGACGTGCTGCCTGGCAAAGGGCCAAGCTCCGTTGCCGTGCTGCCGCCCCCGTCTTCGGCTTCATCTTCGATGGCAAGAACACTGGGTATGTCCGAGGCATAAGGGAAGAAAGAGAGGGTAGACCACGGCAAGGGTGGAATAGGCGCTTCTAGCACCGGACCGCCGGTCTTTCTTGGGCGGGCAGGGGAATCGTCATCGTCGCCGTCTGCCTCGCCGGGCGTGGCCGCTGCTGCTGCATCGGCTTCTACTACGAGGTCGTCGACATCGTCGAGGTCGATCTCGTCCGCCGCATCATCGTCCTTGACCTTTTTGCGGAGCTGTTTCCACCGCATAAAGTTGCGGAGGCGGGCGAGTCTTCCAGGATCGTGGCGGACTTGGAAGAGGGCATCGTCGATGGTGAATCTTGGCTTCCCGCGTCGAGCGGCCAGTTGACCCGCTGTCACGATCTTGCTTGAATCAGCGATTACTCACTTCGACAGTATGATTTGGGAGCCGTGACAGCTAACCACTTGCACAACCTGGTCTCTCACAATATCCTCCACCAGAGTTGTGGTTTCGACGGAGGGTTCCCCTGTTTCCCCGGCCACATACATCATCTGTTTGTAGGTCAAGCGTGGTTAGTCCCTGCATCCTGCGCGGCAGATGAAGGAGTATAGCTGTTTCACTGCACTTACACGGAGGATCTCGTCGCGATATTTTGATCGATTGTTGCCCATCCTGGCAGCCTAGAAGCACATTGAATAGGTGCTATTATTGATTTAGTCAGCGATCTGCCAGTACTGGAAATCGAAGCTCAAATTGAGAAAGTTGCCCTCGTAGGCACCTGCGCTAGTACAAGTAGTACCAGACCTGCATGAGGACATCTGAACTTGAAACCATCGAAGGGAGAGAGGGTCCGGCGGGCCACAGCAGCCCAGAAGAAAGAACAAAGAAGTTAAGGACTAAGGTGTCATTTTTCAGGGGGATTTGATATCTGCTGTCTTTGTTTGTTCCTTGAACAAACACAGCGGACTGTCCGTAGTATCAGTGAATACCCGTGAGCAAACACGTATAGGTATCTAGAGGATTCAGGAACATTGGAAGTTGACATACCTGATTGAGCCGACTCTCCGTTCCCGGAAACTAAGTCCCTATAAAGGAAGAAACATGGCCTGAATGGATTTACTTACAACCTGACCGACTGGACTTGTGACGCTGCTGAAGCGCGCACCAGTGAGGCGTCCGTCTCAAGGCAGCAGCGACATTTTGCAGCAACGTTAAGGTATTAGGTAAGGCACCCCCCTATTGCATTACACAGGGTAGTTGCTGTCGCAATACTAGTGAGTATTCAACTCATGATCAGCTTGGAATCAGGTCTTCGACCCCACGGTTTGACGCGCCTGGCAATGCATCGTTGGTCGCATCGTGCGATTCGTGCCGCGCTCTGGGTGTACTGGTTGGCGGGAAACTGGAACCCGACAGGGGCAACTGCGAAGGTGCCTGGTAGACTGGTCGTTGAGCGTTGGCACAGGTAAGGCTACAAAATGATTAAAGGAGAATATGGGAGATGCTGTAAACAAGTGGTAGTGGATCGACCCCTACCTATCGTGTCGTGTTGTAAGGGAAGAGCTTCTGCAAATCGCAGTGACAGTATTGATACATGTTGAGTGTCGTCATCATCCGTAGAACTGCTGTTTAGGTATTTTTACCAGGTAGCTTTCGCATATTTCTGAAGATTGTCCAAATTCAGCTGTTCCCTGTCTTCAATTCAGCAACCAGTTTCCTTGCGCCGTAGCAGTGCTTAATGTGCTCTAGGAATGACTCTCTCGACCGAGCGCGCCGTTCCAAGCCTACAAGTACCCTGTTTGGCCCGCAATCCGGAGGCACCACAGCCGCAAGCACATCCCCAGGTAAGCGGCCTCTATCGTGTTCTCGAACGGTGACTTCGCAACCCTTACACCACAGACCATCCTCAACCCTGCCTGACCTTGAAAGCGAAGGGAATGGAATGGAAGCCATGCCGAAGAAGTTATCAGTCGGGATATTGCCCTGACATGGCATTAATAGAAGATCCTGATCTTGGGCCACCGCTGGCTCGCCCTGGAGGTATCGACCGACAATGAGGGCCAATGTGGACTTGCATCTCCTCGCCATAGCCTGTGCTAGCTTTTCTGCCGATCCGTGTACCATCAGTCCGAGGCTTCTCGCGGCTTTGACACTAACCAGTTTGCAGGGATCCGGTGCAGGGTCGCCACATATGCCATAGTTTCCAGGGATAACGGAAAGGGTAGGGAGACGATGAAGATAACGCTCCGAAAGGCCAAAATATCTCTTTGCTTCCTTTGGTGTAACCATCCGTAATGACGGGTTGCAAAGGAGGCATTCCCAGCAGCATCTCTCGCAGGTCGGAAGGAACAGAAACGCGCCATATTCCTTGCATTTTGCGCACCGCTCCGTTTGCAAAGCCGCGTAGAGTTCTGCGACGGAATGAAGACCGTTCAGGCCTGTTCTGCCGAAAGCCGCAAGGACATGCGGAGCAAACGTGACCAGGTCTCGGTATGGACGATGTGATCGAACGACCGTATTGCCTCTGCTAGAAACCATGGCAAAACGCGCAATTGATTGGATATCGAGCAAGTCAAGGAACATCCACATGATTTCCGGCGGGAGCCGATCGAGTATGCCCAGTGATGAGACGCGGTGGGTCCACAGACGGTCCGCCAGCGCCCGAGGTTTCGGGGGGTCGCTTATCGTGATCATGGCTCCGATGAGGTGGCAGGGGCGGTGGGATAGACGAGAAATAAGTATTTCTGGCTTGAGGGATGAAGTCGACATCTTGATGGCAGCTTGGCGCGTCTCGGAGGTGAACTGTCGGGAACCGCGTTACCGCGAATAGACCAAGTGACGTTGTTACGCGCCGTGGAAGCTTTCTCTTAAGGAATAAAGTCTCAATATCGTTGGCGGTGACAGAGCTCATCTTTGGCATGGGTTAAGTAGGTACCTGACGTTCCTTGAACGTATGTTGAGCAGTCCGTTGATGCTTGCCTGGGACCTGTCGAACGGAGCGCGCGTAAATGAGGGCCCACAGATGAAAGGTTGGTGGGGCCATGTGGTATGTATGTACAGTATGTATTGCACCCTCGTACCTTAGTACCCGTTGGCTCAGCCTTGTATTAGGTACATTTAGGGGGCACTGTTATTGTCCGTATCGTGATTCTTTTCAAACTCCTTCGTAAATTTTATCAGCTAAAGGGACCGTGTCTGTATGAGATCGCCAGTGTCATGGACCACACACACTTAAACTTCAACTTGTTGAAGTGACACGTACATTGTATGTACAGTACAGTATGTACATACTTACACTTCAAGTTGCGTGGGCCCAGGCCAGGCCCACCACTGCTTACCTCACTGCAGCCAGCCACACTCCCCTATTTCTTGTTGTACGTTGGCCCTGGATTTGCTCCCTTTCCTTCCTCTTCAGTAGCCCTGACAATTCCGCTACGTTGAACCTCTCTACCTTCCTACGTCGCCTCCGACAACCCTTTCCATGGAGACCTTGGCAGCAGTACAGCAAGCAAATCGAGAGCCTACGAGCTGAACTTACTGAAGGTTGCAGCAGTGTATCGACTATCGAGGATTGCGGCCGTAGTTGGGTGGTCGGGCGTTTCTGCAAGTGAAGTGTATTGATCTATCTAAGTAAGAGAGAGAGAAAGATGGATGAAAAGGAGTGACGATACATATGTAGGAACCCTAGTTAAGGGCATGTGGCCAATGAGTGTGAGGACGTGACTCAGGGATGCGAGCACGCAAGGCTGAACTGGAGCCTTAGATACCTCCTGACTTGCTGCTCCGCGTTACACAAACCCATCAATGATATCAACACCGCACACTCCCATTGTCGTGTTTCCACCTCCTTCTCCAAGTGTTACCAGCTCATCTTCTCCTGCGAACTGGAACTGGAATCCGACCCCGATATTCTGTCATAGCCTTGTCTTCCCTTGGAAGATGTCTCGCACAATAGTTGCGTGATATCCTGTTGTCAATCCGGGGCCGCGCGCACTGCAAGTTCGATTGAGCATTGTACAGTCGATCGCACTGCTAGAACTCTCCCTTCTGTTTGCATCCGCATTGGTAAAGGAAGTACCATTGAGTGCACATGGTCGAGGTCGGCGAGGGCGTTAATGAGATGGTGGACTATTGCCGTGACCGAAAAAGCTGGAGACGGGAGGTAGTACTGCTCAGTGGCGTGGCGGAAAGGAGCCTGGCGTATGACAAGAGTTGAAATGAAGTGTGCCCAGGTGGATCTATGCTCACAAATATCAGCGCGACTGTGACCGACTTCGCGAACGGGCGTGGCTCCTCATACCTGAGCTTCTGAGGAGACGATTGATGAGTTGGTGGAATTAGTACTTGTTAGGTACCTGAAGTTCGGCACCTAAGCTGACGTTGATGACGGACGATCTGGTGAGATGACTGATGTGGACAGCTTCGAGAGGACGTTTCCGAGGCCTTTTATGTCCCGTCTCCCGTTGGCATCAGCTCTAAGACTGAAAGACGTGGGTTGCGCTGCGATGCGACGCCACCCAATCTTGCATCATTCAGGAGAGTAACTACCTAGTAGTAAGGTCAGACAATGTTGGCCACATGCATACCTACCTAGTGAGTTGCAGCTCAAGTTGACGGCCTTTGCTAGCTGCATCGACGGTCATGATTCTGGTGGTGGTGGTTCCCTCCATAAGGGACCAACTGATTGGATTCGTTTGATACATGTAGCGCCCGAGAAGTTAGTACGCGCCAAAGAATGAGGAAAGTGCGGCCAGGGGCGGGCCTCAATGTGTATATCAAGAGCAGCCCTGCGATTGGCCGCCTGTAAGCTCTCAACTCCAAGCGCCATTGTTGGTAGCATGTTGAAGAAAAAACTTGAAATGTTGGCGGCAGGTAGTGCTACCTAAGTCTACCACTCTACCATAGCAAGCCAACCAGCCAAATAGCGCTCATTCGAGAGTCTACTTCCCCTGGCGCTACCTATCGAGAGAAGACTGTCACATTGGGATGTTGCAGGTGATATCCGCGCGCTTCGTCGGCTGCAGAGGAATGCCTGCCGAGTGCGACGACGCCGACGAGCTCGAGACGGGTCAGACCAACTCTGCAAGTTAAGCGCGCCTTAGAACCTGGAAACGCACGTCTGTTCCAGTTCAAGCAGTCAGGCTCGCTCGGCGGTGTGTCTCTTAATTGAGTCTCTAACATAAGACTGACTGGCACCTTTGCATGACTGGCATACTCGCAACAGCGGCAACACAGAGTTTAAGTTGCCGGTCTTGTACCTGACAGTCCTGACTTTAATCAGCCAGCATTGAAACCCTACACCGTAACAATGCCGCCGAAAGCAGACATCGAGATTCTCGCCCAAATCATAGACGATGAAAGAGGACTCTACCGTCTCCGGGTCGGCCAAAGAGTCCACTACCTCACAATCCCCGTGGGCGTATTCGACGACGACACAATGTGCCGGCCCTATCTCCTCATCCCCAGGCTGCCAGACCTTCCGGACTTGCCGTGGACCACCATGACCATCACGCGGGATAAGAATGATGGCTCTCTTACCTCAACCATCTCTACAGACCCGCTACGCGAGATCAAAACAACCTGGCATGAAGTGAGCATCGACGTCTTGAGTTTGAAGAGAATGAGGCGGTTGCGTTCGGGAGTGCACGAGGTCCAATACAACGGCGCACCTGCCATCGCCAAGGTTGCAAACTTTGAGTGGCAGATTGCCCAGATCGAGCGTGAAACGTGGGCTTACTCTTGGTTGGCCGATTATGCTCACGAACAACCTGACGAGCCTCCCATTGCACCCAAGTTCCTCGGCCATTTGACCGAAAACGGCAGAACCATGGGATTCCTGCTGGAAAAGCTTGATGGAGAGGAGGCCGGCATCGCCGACCTGGCTGACTGCGAGGCGCTGCTCGACAGGTTGCACAACGACGTGGGGTTGGTTCATGGCGACGTGAATCGGTATAACTTTGTTATCGACCGGGTCTCGGGAGGCGGTGTCCGTCTGGTTGATTTCGAACATGCTCAGGAGTTTGACGAGGAGTTGGCTAGGACGGAGTTGATGTCCTTACCGGCGGCGTTGACTGAAGAAACTGGGCGGGGAGGGTGTCGAATTTATAATGAGAACTAGGATAGGAAAGTGTACCTTATACTTGGTAGTCGCTTCAGGTTTGGGCTTCTAGATTACTACCTGCCTACCCAAGTTCGTAGTATACGATATACATGTATAACGCCGGCAGGGTCGGGCTGTCCGTATGGACAAGGCCGCTTCAGATGTCAATGACAACGCTGCACTTGACCACCACTTGAAGTTGAGGGTCACAACAACTGATCTTTCAAAATTCTTTGTGCACTCTGACGGGGTGTCCAAATGCGTCACAGTTTGTGAGATTGTGTTTGGTCTGGAAAATCAGTTAAGCTCCTTTGGGCGCTCCTTTGGGCCCTTCTTTGTCCTTTGAGAACCCGGCCTCAGCTCAGTGCAATTTGCACAAATTCACGAGTCAAAGCCATCCTGGATTCTGCTTTCGCAACAGTCACTGAAAACCCTGTTATCTAGCAGATTATCTGAGGTACTTTAACTTGTAAGGGGGGAAACAAGAGGGGCAGAAGCACTGCTGGCAGAACAAAGAAAGCCAAGTTTGCCATTGAAGTCCTTATATTTCCCTATAGGGGTCCAGCATAGAATTAGGGGGCCATCTCATATTCCTCCCACCCCAAACATCAGGTCTCAGATCGGAACTAGGTTGAATTTCAACAACCAGGCACAATGGCTCCAAGTAATTCCGCATATTACAACCTCTCAGTTGTGGCGCACCCTTTGAAGAATCCCGAGATTCCTACACGGAGGCACATCGAAAAGGACGACAAGAATAACAAGAACGACAAGCATAACGAGAACGACAGGGACGACAGGGACGACGAGAACGACGAGAACGACGAGAACGACGAAAACAGCAAAAAGGACAAGGACAAGGGCAAGAAGGCACCTCCGCCGTCAACCCGGTATCTGCAAGCACGGCCCGGGGGATTTATATTCTTGAGAGCGCTGAGGTCGAACGCGGCCGTCTGGGTCGGGCTTTTTGCCGCCGTCGACGTTCCGCAAGAGTTTGTCATCATTAAGAAGCTGAAGGGGATACCAGACGGTCTGCACCAAGGCGCAGCGTCGCGGAAACAGCCCATGCCACCGGAAATTGAAATCTGCTCCATCCCGGACCCTCTGACCCGACGTCAGTTACCACTGAACCATAGCATGCCGTCATTCGTTCAGCTGCACGCTCTCCAGGTGCACGATCAGGGGACCCGGGAGGACAAGTGGAAAGATTTCAAGGCCACCCTCTATTACAAGTACTACAACGGGGGAACGCTCTTGAACCTCATGGATAGGTACAAAGCAGCCAGGAAGCCGGTACCTGAAGGCTTTATCTGGCACGTTATTGCCCAGATAGGCCGCGCTCTGGCATACCTGCACACAGGAGCAGAGGATTCTCCAGTCTTCAACATCATGCACCGACACAGAAACAAACTGATTAACCCAGCATCCAATGAGGAACAGTCCGATGAGGAACAACCCAATGAGGATCGACCACATAAGTTGGCCAAAAAGCCAGTCAATTTGGGCAAAGTCCCTGGTCAAGATCAACAAGGCGCAGGGGATACCGGGGTGGGAGGTCATCAGCCACATGGACGGCCATGCCGACAACATATGGCTGAACTATCCAAGCGACGAGGAAAAGAAGCGCGACTCAAACCTCGAGGGCTTCACCGATGCGCTGCCCCAAGTAGTGCTGGGAGATTTTGGCATAGCAGTCCAAGCCCAGCACGACCGGCTGGACTTACTGAAGCGAAACGCGTTCTCCAACGTCCCCGAGATCGAAACCGTCAGGGACAAGGCCTACTTCGCCACCAACCTGAAGTACCTCATTTGCGCGGCCGACCCGGACGTCCGCTATTCCGACCTAGCCCACAACAACCCCGAGGGCTTCCAAGAGGCCGCGCGGCGTCGCTCCCAGCACATCTTATCCATGGAGCTGAGCCGGTACAGTCCTCAACTGCAAGAGTGCATGGACAAGCTGGAGAGCCTGGTGAAACTGTGCGAGACGCGCTTTACGGCTCTGGAGCACGGCCAACTGCCGCTGGAGGAATTCGCCAGCAACGACTTCATGTACGGCACCATGCTCGCCTGCGCCGATGCAAAAGTCCATGAGTATCGCTACGGCAAGAGTCCGCAGGAGTCGGTCCGCTGGACGCAGCCGTCCATGAGCTCCATGCCCTTCCGTGTGAAACCCAGGCACTTCAGCCGAGGCAAAAGCCGTCACTTTGCAGAGGTTTGGCGCGGGGTCCATGAGGATCTGCAGGAACGCGTCGTAAGAAATGCTTTTAATGACTGGGAACCGGGCAGCGTGGAGATCTATCAAGCCGGCATCGCGAGCGGCACCCCTGAGAAGGAGTTGGACGAAGTCCCTTGGACCACTCCGCCGGAGGGGAGGCCGCCGCAGCCTACCGCTAGGCAAGCCCCAGCTAGGGAACATGGCCCCGATTCACTAAGCAGTTATGTGGATTCGGATGTGGCATCGAACGCAGAAGCTGCACTGGCGCGTCGCGCTGCTGTGATGCATGCATCGGAGCTTGAGCCGCGAGCAAGACTGAGAGAAGGAGTAATGGCGCCGAGAAAAAGGGCTTGGTTCAGACACCTCGAGCGGCTAAGCCGTGAGGAAAGCGTGGGGTCGAGCTCTGCGGAGTCAGATGCTGAACCCGAACCTGAACCTGAACCTGCGCTGGCACGTCGCGCAGTTGTGGTACGGTACATGAATCGGAGCGTCAGCCTCGGAGGGGAGGGGGATTGTCGTTTTTCAGAGAACGGTGGCTCAGGCATGTTCGGGAGCTGTGCCGGAACACGGGTTGCAAAATTTGTGAGTGAAGTGCGTTGTATGCAGGATCAAAAATGTATGCCTTCAAAAAATTGCCTACTACAGGAATCGAACCTGTGATCTTTGCATGTCGTCGAGGTGATACAAGTGCAACGCATTAGCCACTATGCTAAGCAGGCTTCTGAGTTATTTATAGCGCTTACGTTGCGTAGCCTAAGGATGCAACTGTAGCTTTGCTCCTGGGGTCTCTTAATTCAGGGGCATCGCCGTTGCTAGGAGCAACGTCCAGGCCATCAATCTCGAAGTTCCCCTGAATCATGCACCACAACTCCGCCAACCACCGTCAAAACACTGCGCAACCTCTTCAACTGTTCCTCTTCGACAGCAAAGAAATCATCACTCAAAACCGCAACATCCCCCAGTCTCCCCACTTCCAAAACCCCAAGCACCTTCTCATCCGGTCCCCCCAAGAACCACGTATTATCCCTAGTAAACATCTCCAACACCTTCTGCCTCGCAATCCCTTGTCCAGGATTGATAACCACCCCGCGTGCATTCCTCCCCGTCACAGCATAGTACGCATGCGGCCAGGGACTGAGCGGCGCAATATTCGCCCCGTCCGGCCCGAACCCCGCCGGGATGCCACTCTCCACAATGGTCTTGAACGGCGGTCCGGCCGGGTTACTCTCATTCCCCGTACCCGCTCCGGACAGGTACATCCATCCAGATACATTCACCCCGCCGCCCAACGCCTTCAACCTCGCGAGATACTCCTGCGTAATCCTCGGCACATGCGCAACCACCCACCGCAGGCCCTTAATCCCGCCCTCGACCTTCGCGTCAACCCGCTCAAAACCCTCAATCTGGGTTTTGAAATCCTCCGCCGTGAGGGAGTGCACCTCGAGCCTCCACCCCGCAGCCGCGATCCGTGCTGCGGCAGCCTCAAACACTTCTCCGCCGGCGTAAGCGTCAAGGGACACGGCAAACTCCCCGATGCCGCCTGTTCGCACCATGGCGTTGCCAAAGAAGGGGTAGCTGTGCTGCAGGCGGGCGGTGACGCCTGGCAGGGTGGTGTTGCTGTCGTCGTGGAGGTAGTTGATGCGCAGCCGGACGGTGCCGCGGTTGGAGTTGTAGAGGGAGAGGAAGGGCAGGTGCATGGTGAAGAGGTCCTCGCTGCCGGAGCCGTCGGCCGGGGTGTGGGAGGCGGCGAAGGCGCCTTGGTCAAGCTAGGCGGTTTGTTGTCAGGGGGTGCTAGCATGATGAAGATGCAGTGCATGTTTACTTACAAGCGTCGTGACCCCGACAGATGCAGCATACGCCATGGCATCCGCAGCACTCCTTACCCTATCATCAAAGCTAAGCCGTTGCCTTAGCGCGAGTAACGCTTTACCGTTCTCCATCCCCGCCACGATGGACCCGTTGGCCGCCACCGCCACGGCCATGTTTCCCGGCAGCGCCTCAAAGAAGGCCTTGCCGAGGGAGTTTGCGGTTGCCGGACCGGCAAAGCCCGTCGAAATAAACACGGGATGGTCAGGTACTGCACTGTCAAGCTCCGCCAGAGTAGGCAACCGCCCCTCCTCGAACTGAATGGGCGAAAACCCGCCAATGGTCGTGATGAATGCGCCGGGGGGTACTCCACCGCTGGACAACCGCTGTCGGTATGTGTCGAGGACCTCGCCGATGGTGAATGCATCCTCCAGGGGTGTATGGTACCCCGGCCGGTTGCCGAGCAGGACAATGTGGGTGTGGCAGTCGATGAGTCCGGGGACGGTGATACGCTGCTTGAGGTTAATCTTTCTGCCGGGGCCAGCTGGGCCAGATCCTCCGGAGAATGTCTTGTGCTCGGCCTCGGCCATGCTGTCCCCCGCATACACAATCCAGCCGTCCTTGATGCCCAGTATGCTCACCATGCGGTTCTGGGCGTCCATGGTGTGGATGCGGCCGTTGTGCAGGATTAGCGATCCGCGGAGGGTGCCGTCGCCGTATGTCACGGGGAATTGACCTTCGGCTGGTAGAGCGTTGGTGTATATGCCATCCTGGGAAGCTATGGTGGGTATATCGGTTTCATTGTTGCCAGTAGCTCCCCATGCCTGCGAGAAAAGGGTAAAGGAGACGAGAAAGTACGCAAAGAGCCCGCAAAAATCCACGCCCCAGACGGCCCAAGTCATTGGTGACATTGCCGGCTTTTTAAGCAGTCATGAGAGATCTAGGTACTCTTTCCAATGTTTCGGGGTAGCAGTAAGTTTTGAACCTGATGCCAGGACTAAAGGTCTCCTCTCATATATATAGATATGATTAAGGTTGGCATCCTGACAACAGAATTCCCCTCGTTACAAGGTATCAGAGAGCTCTCTCTCAGTCTCAACAGGAAGGTCACATGCAAAATACGAGTACATCCCATTGGGATAGGGATTACGGAAGGCAAACCAAGAGCCGGGAGTGTCACATAAGCTACATGTAAGGTGTGACCTTTGTCCCAAGACTAACACTTCAGCATAGGTCAGCATAAGGCAGGTAGGTATGAACCCCTACTGAGGTTGGGTGATAACCTGGGTCCAGTCAGTTCAGCCACAGGAGAAAACGGCTGGGTCACAATGTCCTCTGCCGCACGGTTCCAATATATTGGTTGCATTCTATGAGGGGTAAGCCCAGTGAATGCAACTTGATCAAGCGAGACGGGAACTTCTACCGGCCGGACTGGTATCATCCGTTTGCTTCTGAGATGCTGATTACCATACCTATCTGTAACTACTCGTAAGTAAGAGCAACCAGAAGGGCGGTTCTTCTCGCAAACAGTAACCTCATTCTCATGTATGACTGGAAGGCTGGACTTGTTCCATATTGAGCTGTGTACCTCGGACTGTTGCCCGCATTCTCCAAGATTCGGACTTCAATGGCGTAGACTACGCCCCTTCTTGTCCGAACTTCGGTCTAGGTATAAGATGCAATTTCCACATTCACAGCCCCCTGAACTGGTTCAATGTAAGACAATACTGACCGTCTCGTGCTCATACATTAAATCAATCCTTAAGTACCTCATGGAGGGAAATAAGTACTACTAGTATCAGCTAACATGAATCGAAACCGCCGGATCTAAACACATGATCAACCTCCAGCCCCTTCAAGGTGATGATGCCTACTATCCAAGCCAATCAACTTAAAAGGCCGTCCCCGCCAACCCGCCCAACATCATCCCCCCCAAAAGCGGCGCCATCAACGGCATCCCCAGCCCACCCCCAAACCCCCTTCCATCCAGCCTCCTATACTCTCCCTGTGGCCGATCCCACCTCCCCCCAGCAAACCTCCCACACCCATACGCCCCATACCCAAGGCCATACATATCCCCCTCAGGCCTGAAATACCTGCCCGGCGGCCCAGGCCTCCTACCATCCGCATCATTATACCTGATCTCAAGCAGATAAGGACTGATTCTAGAAACCCCCGCCACACCAGGGAACGTGTGGCCCGGCGGTTCAAGGTACATGTGCACGCGGTTCTCGTCGCGGCCGAGCAGCTGCGGGCGGCCCGTGCGCATGCCGTCGATCATCGCCCGGCGCACGACGCAGTGCTGGCGGTACAGTTCGCGCTCGGCGTGAGCACGGCGGGTGCGCTCGGCGACGCGTTCTTCGTGGGTGGTTCCTGTCAGGTGGTCTTTGAGTTTGCGGCCTAGCTTGATGGTGCGGTGGGTATGGGCATGGGTGTGAGTGTGGGTGTCCGAATCCGAGCCGTCCTCGTCGGTCTGTTCGGCGACGAGATCGGCCGCGCTGGGACGTCGCTGGAAGAGGCCTGACTGAGATGCACGGATCTGCTCGCGCTCGGTCGGCGGGAGGGAGTTGAGGAAGGTTTCGTCGTCGTAGGGGTGGTGCCAGATGGACCTTGGCGGAGAGGTTTTGGTGTCGACGAAGAACTGGTGCTGGGTTTCTGGGTCGAACTCGCGCACCCAGCCTGGAGGCAGAGGACGTAATTCGTCCTCCATGCTGCGCCGGGCGCGTAAGGGGATGCCGTTCCGGGCTTGCTGGGGGAGGGGGCGGTCGCCGATCGCCTCCTCGTATGAGGGTGGTGGATCTGCTGATGCCATTTATACTGGTACTAGTCGTATGGACTGATGATAGTGCTGGTAATGACAGAGGAAGCGTTTGGTATGAGAGGCTGATTCATTTTCAAATTGCTGAACATGGCAGGCCCATATGAACGATATATGCGGCACGATTGTTGTCCAGTCGCCGTACGTCATAGAGATGTCATGGGTGCCATTGAAAGAACGAAGATCCCCTGCCTGCCCGGGTACTGTACCTTGGGCGTTGCAAGGCCGCACGTAAACCTCAAGTAGCGAATCTCCGTCAAACAGACAGTAATAAACAGGGGAGGAAATGTCTAAATTCATCCAATATTAATCCTTCCCCGAACTGACAGCAACAACCCCGGCTGACTAAGGTACCTACAGAAGTTGGTAGTCTTAGAGACACAACCAGGTTTTCGTACCCCTAGGCCGATGTGCTCGAATGCTGGCGCCGCTAACAGTAACTCGCTATGCCGCTCATGACGGGAGGGAATCGAAAATCGAAATAATAGCATCGTTATGGTCGTAACGTCATATGGTGGCCGGATGCCACCCCCTGCGGCCTGATCATCAGACAGGATAAATCGAGCTTGGATGAAGCCAAACGGGGCGGTGCGACTTTCGCCCCCAGCCGCTCTCTAATCCAACCGTCCGTCAGAGACTATCCAGATCCGAGTCGCTGGTGTAAAACCCCGAGTAGAGTCGTCTCCCCCTTTCTCGGCTCCTCTCCCTCTCCCTCGCCAGCTCATTCGCCAATTCCCTGGCCCTCTCCCTCGCCCTGTCCCGCTCCCGCTCGACCTCCCTCTGCCGTTCGCGCTGCCTCTCCAACTCCCTCAACTCAATCTCGCGCTCAATCTCCAACAGCCTCGCGCGGTCCCGATCCCTGTCGCGCATGCGCTCCCTCATCTCCCGCCTTACGGCCGTGTCACGGTCCCCGCCACTCGACACCGAGATGTACCGCACCCCGTTCCACGCGCTGGCCCCTGGCCTTGCGCTGGCCCGCCCATCGCCTAATGGTGGCGACGACGACACGGCAAAGTACTCGCACTCGGCGCACAGCCCGTCAATGCCTAGCCGCTGCCGGGTAAAGCACCCGTCGCAAATGCCCACCCCTCCGCTGCCGCCGCGGCGCAATCCCTCGTCATCAGACGGATCATCGCTTACCATCCCACTGCCGGCACGCATGACTAGGGTCGGGGCGGGTCGCCGATCGCGGTCACGGTCCGGGGAGGGGCTGCGGATGCGAACAACGCGCTGGATGCGGCCGCCGCCCCCACCGCCGCCACGACCGGGAAGAGGAAGGGTGTCGGGGGGTGGGTTGGGGCCTGGGCCGGTCTGGTAGAAATGCAGATTGCAGTTGTTGAGGACTACCCGGACGGGACGGTCGCCGGCGACGTCGTCGAGGACGTGGCGGATAGTACTAGTAGCTCCGTGACCGCCAGGCGCAATGACGTGATCGCTTACGATGCAGTCCGAGGTGCGGTAGTGATGAGATGAGGAGCGTTGGCGCGGAGGGCGGATGTTGGCGAGTGGGTGTGGCCGCCGCGTTTCACGGATGTGGGCTGTGAACACATCGCCGCTGTAGCGCGCCATTGCGGCGGCGCTGCCCCGGGCGCGATTGAGAGGTTGCCCTTGAAATCGTGATCCGGTATCCTTGTCCGCGGTGTGATTACCCCATCCACGCAAGATTCGCTCTCCCTTATCCTGCACCCGCCGGGGATAGCGAAAGAGGTTGGGAGAACTTGGCAAAAAAGAAAAGAAAATGAAAGAGCGAAAATTAGCCCCTCAACCAACAACGCATCGGTCAACACGTGTAAACACCGGCCCGCATAGCCTTGCAGTTGCGGACCACCAAATGCAGTGTTGTGTGCCATCTAGGTATGTCCGGCCACCGCTGCGGACCGCTGATATCCCCTTTTGCCCGGCTTTGGTTCGCTGCAGTTGGTGCTGCAGAAAGTTCGGGCAAAGGCCACAGCCACGGCAAGATGCGCTACGGGCAAAATTGGGCTCTGTGATAGGGCAGTCCCAGGTTGCAATGCAAGTGCTCAGCATGGGACAGCTGCACTGCTGCAGAGGTTTGCTGAATCACACATAACTGAAATGCGGTGGCCCATCCTGGAAATACTGCCCGGGTGCTCGTCTCGGGTGCTCGTCTCGGGTGCTCGTGGCTCTAATAAAAAGAGTGAACCCTACCCGGTTCTTCGGTAACGGTGGAGAACGGAGCACTCCTAAGGAGGCATTCTTTTCGCGGTTACTAGCAGGAAAGGGCCGACGTGGCAGTAGGATATATGGAACGGCTCCTGGTGGAACTCATAGACATAACCTCGCTCTGGTCGACAGCTGAGAAGATGGTTACCTAGTTAAGAAGTGGAAGACATAATGAACTACCTTAGGTAGCCAGGCCATTCTCGTACTTACCCTGTAGGTAAGGCTGGAAACTCGTCCTGGAAACTCGCTGTCAAACGATAAGAAAGCATTTGAAACACAGCCTGGCCGAGATTCATGCGGGAGTGAGCACACCGACGGTACGGAATCATGGTCCGTTGACTTTGATAGCGATAAATCGGAGAACCAGCTGTCGACATATAAGGTAGGCACATCGGAGAGAAACTTGTGAATGAGGGCGGTTTTGTTCGCAAGGGAATCGCCACTCCCTTATTAATTAGCGAAGTTGTGTTGACCCTGAATGGAAGGAGCAGAGTTTTTAGTGTCGTGTTCGGAGATACGTTACCGTATGAAGTACCTAAGGTAGTGCTGGAAAAGGATAGGCGCTCCGCAAGCCCAAACCCCTCCGATGCCCACGCGCAAAAAACCGCAAGAATGTCGACAAGAGAAGTTCCAGAACCGCAAGGTGCTAGTACATGGGCAGTAACTTCCATGGTACGTGTACCTCATTAGGAGGTAGTGTACTGTATATAGCTCTCAGCCTTCAGGTTAACGCTGCCTCAAAATCACATTTCTGTCTCTTGCGGCTTCGGATGAAGCAGTGAATTTTCTTCAATTTACTGGGCATGTTACAGTAACATGTTGCTCCATTGGCTCGTTGCTGCCAAGCATTGGACCCCATAAAATAAGAACATCAAGGCACCGCTTTTTCTTCCATCCCATTCTGTCTCCACGGTGAATTTTGAACCGACTGCTTGGTCCTTTGGCCTTCCAGGTTGCTACCAAGCAGTAAGGTAGTACTGTCAGTTTCGTTGCGCAACATGCCGTTTGCTTCTGTCTGCATAATCGTAGCACTACATACACTACACGTAGAAGGCTTAAGATCTTAACCACCCTGATGGAAATGGGGAAGTTTGAGAATAAGAAAAGAAATGAAAAAGAAAAGCTGCCTTCGGAATGCGCGGACCGGCAGCCTCGACACCGGAGCGTCCCAACCGGACGGCCAACACTAGTCCCGAAAAAGCGTTTGGCGGCCGTACTATGACATCAGAGGTACTGGGCAGCTGGCCGACCCCGCAATCGACAGACGCCCCTTGGTGGCGGAAAATGGGGAGAACAAGCGTGTTTTCCCAACCAATTTCCACTTCCTGTCAATTGTCCATTTGCTGCCGCACGTCAAATCTGCCACACTATGTGCCAACACCGCCGACCCGCAAGCCTGACATCCAACGCTATTTTTGCTCTACGACCAGATCGCGCCGAGCGACCTCGTTTCATATCAGTGGCCGCTCACCAAAGGCGCCGGTCAGACTGCTGCTGCCTTGACAAGTTGACGTTGCAAAGGGCCACACTCGGGCCCTGGCCGGGACGATCAGGAGACGACTGGGAGACGATCAGGAGTTAGTTAACCTTGCGCCTTGCCTTCGGGATTGTCGGGCGCGAGAATGCAGCAGCCGCAAGGGCCAACAACTCCTTCCCCCCCGCCCGCACTTCCTGATCTCGGACTCCTCTTCGACCTCACTCCCCTCCCCCTCCTCATCATATCGCCGGCATGGCGTATCACAAGAGCCTCTTCCCGCTTCCTAACCGACTGGCACGTCTCTGCAGCTGACTGCATCGGCCAGCAGCTGCTGTCCTTCATTGAATCGCAGCTCTTGCCCCCAAGGTTCGCCCACTATGGCCGCCTCACAACCGCCATCGACGACGCCATAGCCTCCCGTGCGCCGCGCATCAGCAAGCCCATCAGCACAAAGCACACCGTGTCTTGGACTGCGCGCGTGGTTCCAGTCTTCAATGGCGACGAGCTACTCTCCATCTTTTTGGAATGGACCGAGAGTCCTGCCTCTTCATCTGAAGAAGACCTCGAGCTAGTCAAGCCCGGTGTTTCCACAGATGAAGCATTCCGAATCCTCGTGCAGGCTGTCAAAGACTACGCCATCTTCTTGCTCGATACCAAGGGCCGCATCGCCTCTTGGAACGACGGCGCCGAGCTGCTCAAGGGATATAAGCGGCATGAGATCATAGGCAAACATTTTTCCATCTTTTATGGTAAGGAGGATCTTGAAATTCGAAAGCCCGAGATGGAACTTGAGATTTGTATGCGCGAAGGTCGGGTCGAGGATGAGGGCTGGCGCTACAGGAGGGACGGCAGCCGTTTCTGGGCCAACGTCGTCATCACAGCTGTTTACAAAGACGGCGTGCACGTTGGCTTTGGCAAAGTCACGAGAGACCTGACCGAACGCAAGTCGGCAGAATCTCGCCTGATTGCCGCCTATGAGGAGAGCGAGAAGCTCAAATCTGACTTTTTGGCCAACATGAGCCACGAAATACGCACGCCCATGCACGGCATGCTGTCGGCTTGCACCCTTCTCCTCGACACTCCCCTCTCCGATAAACAACGCGACATCGTCAACATTATGGACGAGTCCGGCCAGGTTTTACTACAGGTCATCAATGATATCCTCGACTATTCCAAGCTGTCATCTGGTACGTTTTCGATCCATTCCGACATTGTGGGCATAACGAGCATCGTCACGTCCGTGGTTCGCAGCGTCCAGGCCACGCTGTCACCTTCTGTCGACTTCGAACTCTTCCTGGCGCCCGATCTTCCCAGATCTGTGCAGGGCGATCCGCTGCGCTATCGCCAGGTGCTGCACAACCTTGTTGGAAATGCCGCCAAGTTCACCGCCAAAGGCAGCATCCGGGTCAGGGCCTCGGTGCAGCGCGAAGACGAGACGAGCTACGTAGTCTTGACCGAGGTGACAGATACAGGCATCGGGATCCCAGAGGCGGCCACGGCCTCGTTGTTCACCCCGTTTACCCAATTTGAGGCGACGACCACCAGAGGTACAGGGTTAGGATTGTCGATAGCAAAGTCGCTCACCGAACTGATGGGGGGTACGATTGGCTACCGGCCCAACCCGGAGCGGCACGGCAGTGTGTTTTGGTTTACGACCCGCTTCGACAAGATCAAAACATTGGAGCAAATGCAGAACTGGAAGAAGAAGCTTGTTGAGAGCGACGTGACAACGACGCCCATCCAGGAGGACGAGATCACCAACCTCCGCCGAGAACTTGGATTGGTCGCATCGAGAAAGAACCTCTTAGTGGTGGAGGATAACGTCATCAACCAGAAGGTCATACTCGGCATGCTGCGTTCGATTGGGCTCAAAAACGTCGTCTTGGCGTCCAACGGCCTCGATGCTGTCAAGATTGTGCGAGGCAAACCGGCCGCCTACGACTTGGTGCTCATGGACATCAACATGCCCGTTCTAGACGGCTATGAGGCAGCCAAGCAGATTCGAGAAGCTGGGGTTTACGTACCCATTGTGGCCATGACGGCCTACGCACTCAAGGGCGACAGGGAGCGGTGCTTGGAGCATGGTATGAACGACTACATACCCAAGCCCGTCGACAAAAATCGCCTCATCAAGATTCTGGGCAAGTGGCTTTTGATCATGACGGATTACCGAAAGACCTTTGAGGAACGACTCGCCAACCTAAAGCGCCAGCATGCCGCTTCGTTAAAAGAAACGCCCGAGAGCGACAAACCAGGGTGGCTATCGACTGCCTTCAACCTGGTTCACAGGCTTCATCCGCATGTCCAGACGCCTGACCTTTCAGCCACGTCTGAACCAACACCCCAGCCGACACCCGACGACGAGGACCCATTATCGGCTGCGTCGGCCATCAACGCCCAGCCCGATACCACTGAAGAGGTTAATGGCGTGCCGGCCGCGGACATTGATGAACCGATTCAGAATGACAGCGGCGCTGGTCTAGACGCAACGGTCTCTCAGGGGCCATCTCCGTCGCATGAACCTTTGGAAGACACCCCAAAAGCTAGCAACAGCGCCAGCCTAGATGCAACAGGCCCACAGGTGCCAGGTCTGGAGCAGGAACCTCTGGAAGCGATTCCAAAAGCTGACAGCGGCCCTAAACTAGACATGATGAGCACCCAGGGGCCATTGCCATCGGAAGAACCTGTGGAAGCCGTTACAAAAGCTGGCAGCGGCGCTAACCCAGACATAATGGGCTCCCAGGAGCCATTGCCATCGAAGGAGCCTCTTGAAGCCGTTGCACAGCTGGCGGCGAAGCCGGTTGAGGGAGATACTCCGCCCTGGGCCTAAATTGCCCAAGGTCGAGTCCTCAAGTATCGCCTGCTCTTGCACAGGCGGTATATATTGATGGAGGGGTTTCTAATGTGCCCACTTGTGGCAACGCTGACAGGGGCATATCTCAGTTCTTTGGATATCTGTTTCGTTTTTAAGATACTAATTGGTTAAAGTGCACTCTGAATACCCCTCTAGGTTCTTGGTTTGTGCCTTGCCGGTTTGTGAGGAGCTTTGGCGAATTCTGATAGCATGGAAGGGCGAACGCGGAGTACGGCGTCAAGCGCGAGGAAGAAAGAAGAACCCGCATTAGTAATATGTATTCCCTCGCAAAGGAGACGGGCGATGGGAAAAGTTATCAAAATACCGTACGCGATGCGATGCAATCCGTTCGGGGTGCTGGTCGACCCTGGACAGCCTCATGTCTGTCGTGAATGTGTCGGCAATCAGCATCGACGTCCTCAAGTTGCACGACTGGTGTTGCAGTAATGCTGAGACACCACCTCAAGCAGTGCTTAGGGGTTAAGGACCGGGAACTCACTGTCGGCTTAACGCTCTTGAACGTTACGCAATGCCGTTCTTGCTAGTTGGCTGGTCGACCTGACAAGCAGCTGAGGCAGGATCTCACCGTCAAGCTTCACTCACATTCAGGCTCCAGCTCTTCAAATCCGAGAAGACGAGATGGAGGATTGAAATGCACGATCCTGCAATGTTTAAGGGGTTACCATTGGGGGCCTCACAGTGCCAAGTCGTTCAGTCTGGTTCTGCTGTTCGTGGGTCCACCCAAATACGGTCAGCCTGCAGTCTGCAGCAGTAGGTTGACCCGGTGGCTGGCACTCAGTCCAACCTAAACATCTTTCAAGTGTCTCTGTCCAAGTCGTCAAACCAACATTGACCGACCCCTCGTTGCGCCGTCAACATTTACTCCCGAGCAACCGCCCTCCACTCCAGACACTTCCTTTCCAGCGCCCGCGGCCACTCTGCCTCGTATCCTTGCTGGTCTGAGAAATATCATGACAGACCAGCGTACCTCCTCACCAACCTCCTCACTTCCACCTCCACCTCCACCATCGCCCCCTCCCCGCCGCCTAGCTCCAGCTCCAGCTCCCGCCGTGACCCAATCACCAACCCTTTCCCTCACTTTGAACAGCCTGACACCCTCCACCCCACCGCCAAACACCCCGGCAAACGCTCGACTTGTGCAGCTGCTCATATACAACGGCTGGCCGTTTGCCGACCACTGGGAGTACTTCATCCCTGACCACTCGTATACTAGTAGTGATGCCGGGCCGGTGAACCCAGACTTTGGCACGCGGATCCAGGCGGCTGGGAATGTGCGGGACGGGTTTTGGCTTGAGGTGCACAGGGGTTGGGATCTTGGCTGCGCCAGGGATGGAAATAGGCCGCCGGATGGGAGGGTTGGGCTTGCGTGGGTTAAGGGGGAGTTGTTTGAGTCGTTTGAGGGTGAGGGTGCTGATGGAGAGGGGGATGGGCATGGGAATGGGCACGGGGATGAAAGGGGTGAAAGGAGGGCCGCAAGTGAAAGGGAGCCTCGGGCACGATGTAGATTTGAGCAGATTGTGTTGAGTGTGCCGGCGCCGGAGAGGAGTTTGAGGGCTGTTCATGGGCATGGGCATCATGATGGTGAGGAGGCTGATGCGGGGGTAAGTGCGTTTACTAAGACATGACCGTGGTGCAGCGAGATGCGTGAAGTTGTTATTGGCTTCGAAGGACTTTGCTGACTCTTCGCAGAATGGCCGACGCAAGAAGATTACGCAGCGAAACTGCCAGTGGTGGATCATCGAGTCCGCTGAGCGGCTGCTGAAGGAAGGGATCTTTGATCAGAGGGTTCCTGAAGCACTTCGGGCGGCGAAGCAATATTAGGAGGCTGTGACTGCAAGACAGAGGGTTACAAGCCACCATCTAGTGGAGAGGTAGTCCTGGTGTCTGGTGCCGGAGGTGAAATCCTTGGTGGGCTGATTCTCGTTCTTCAGGCTGGATCGTTCTTCAGGCTGGATCGTTCTTCAAGCTGGAGGTCAAGGACCCACGACTTCTCAACCCCTTTCATTCACGCCATACAGATAGCACGTTGGACACACCCTGTTCTACGCCCGCCCAATGATGCAAGACAACCTCCATATCCCGTCCACGGTCTATAGCGATTGTCACTTTGACATCCCAAACCAGTCACCTTCTCCCCTGACCCAATCAGAGGCTCAGAGCCTCGCCCTGGGTTTCTCCATCTCGGCCACCACCGCCTCATACCGATCGTATGCATCCTTCTCAGCATCAAAGTTCAACAGCCACGGCTCCCTGACCAAATGAATCATCTCCGGGTTGCGCCACACCTGGTTCCAATCCGCCTTGTGCCACCGCTCCCTCGTCTTTGGACCCATGGCCTGCGCGCGGTGCACCCGCTCATAACGCAACTTCTCATACGCCCGCAGCGCCCGCGGGATGTTTTCCCTCCCGCTCAGCTCAAGACACGTCGCCAACACCACGCCATCCTCGATCGACTGGCTTGCCCCCTGAATGGAAGTCGGCAAAAAGGGATGCGCCGCATCCCCAATGAGACAGATACGCGCCTTGGGTGAGACAAAAGTCGGCAGCGGATCACGGTAGACGAGCTTGTAGTCGATGAGGCGGCCATCTGGGGTGGCCTTGACGAGCTCCCGGACGACGGGGCACCAGCCTTCAAGGTAACGGAGCGCTTCCTCAGGTTTGCCCGGGAACTGCCAGCTCTCCTCGATGTTGCCGTCGTCGACATGGGTAAAGACCCAATTGACCTCGGACCCGTTCTTGATGGACGACGCCAGGAAATGGATGTCCGGGCCGATGAAGCCCTGGTGCGTGTCGCCATTGATCACGAGGTGCCGGAGCACGGGGTTGTCGCGGATGCGCTCGGCCGGGAACCACGCGCGGTAGACCGCGTAACCGGACGATTTCGGGTTCTCGTCGAAGCCCAACACAATCTTGCGCCCCCGAGAGCGTACGCCTTCGGCCGCGATCACCACGTCGGCGGAGATGCGTGATCCGTTGATGACCACCCCTGCCTGTGGAGGGTTGTCTGTCTCGAAGTAGTCCTCGACGCGGCAGCCCAGGCGGATGTCGATGCCCCGGGCCACGGCGTGGCGGTAGATGATGTTGTGCAGCTGGCCGCGGTGGCCGTTGATGCGTCGTCCCCAGACTTTTTCGTGGGCGAACGACTGGCGGGTTACGAATTTGCCTTGGTGGTGGTACAGGTCGAGCCAGGACGTCTGGCGTGCGATGGCCTCCATTGCGTCGACGACGCCCGGCCACCGTTCGAATGCCTTGGATCCGTTGGGGTCGAAGCTGATGATGTCGCCGATCCGCATGATGTCCTCGATGTTGTCGACCTTCTCGAACAGTGTCACCGAATGCCCCTTGCGGTCGCACTCGATGGCGGCCGCGAGTCCGGCAAAGCCGGCTCCCACGACAATCACCGTGATCCCGGAGGGCGGGAGGCGCGGAAAGTGGCTTGCCATGTTGCGTCTTCCGTCTTGTATCCTGTCGTCTAATAAAACCTCACTGGGTGTGAATCCTACCTACTATTAGTATTACTTACAGAAGTGAACGGTTCAAGCTTGCTCTTTTGCTCACAATTCCTCTGCTAGAAAGGGAAGTCCATTCTGAAGACCGCTGGAAGTTGGATGGGATAGAAACCAATCCCGCGGTCCTTGATTTATTCCCCGAGTGGAATTGACCTTCTGTTGCCCGCAATACCACATAACCTGCTGCACGTCAAGACGAACCCTTGGTTCGAGAAAGATTCCTACCAATGGTGGCTACAGGCTGAACTGCCGACCCCGCTCTCCCCATGATACCGGGGCCGGCCTTCGGACTTACAAGGTGTTGGAGGTCACCCGAGCACGGCAAAGCACACAGACCGGGAGTAGCATTGGCCAGGATTGGATGGCGAGGGACTTGAAATGCTCCTCGGCCTGTGTCTATCTTATAAAGGCTCAACGGCCTTGGTCAACAGGGCAGCTTCAAGTTGCCCACAGTTGCAGTCTAGATGAGACCATGTTTCAAGAGGAAGATTGTATACGGCATCGCGGATAAGTCGTGATGCAAAGAAATGTATGTACAAGAATATGCAGCAAGTCGTCACCCTGAATCTCATCGTGTCAACACTGCATCCTTGCATGTGACTGTCCCAGGTCATCACCCAGTCCCTGAATTCGGAGTGGGAAGATAACTTGATACCTGCAGAGAATCGTTGCTAAATTCAGGCTGACTGTACCGTCGAAAGCCTACAGGCATTGAGAGTACCACTGGTTGGCAGCTTGACAAGTCGAGCCAGACTGGCAGCACGTAGGGCCGTTCCAGCCCTGGCCGCCACACTGACCCCATTTGGCGGCGCACTGGAAAGGAAAAGGGTTTGGTCAGTTCAGGCAAAAGAGCGGACGGGCCAGATAATAGGGGTCATGAATGAACACTTACGTTGGTACCACCACCACCACCACCAGTACCACCACCAGGGGTACCACCACCGCCGCCGCCACCACCACCACCACCGGACGTTGAGCCACCAACATTGATAGTCGCCGAGCCGCTAGAAAAGTACCCCTCAGTAGCCACGATCTGATAATCATGGGTTCCCAACCGCAGGCCAGCCCTGGTCCAAGCATCAAAGTGGTTGGCCATGGTCACCGTACCACCGACACGCTTCGATGTACGGACAGACCAGTACTGGTCAAAGTCGCGGGTACCCTCGATGGAGGGCGCCTGGGTGCGGCGGGTGCGGAACAGATTGTAAGTCGCGCCGTCGCTGACAATGCTGCCCATGGGCGTGGCCCCCGTCGACGGGTCGTACGTGCCGAAGTTTTCGACGACGTAGTACTCGACGAGCGGGTTGCGCGTCCAGCCGTACACGGCGAGGTATGAGTTGCCGTTTGGTTGGTAGGTGCCTGTGTAGTTGATGGTTCTTCAAAGGGATCGTCAGTGTCCAGCTTGGAGTTGACGGCTAACAGAAGGTTCACAGCATAAATCCACCTGCAGGACTCAAACTGAGGTGAACTTACCTGGCCGTGCCCGGGTTCCATCCCTTACCACCAACCCAGTTGCCCCTGTTGCCGGACCAAGTGGCGCTGTACTGACCACCGGCCTCGTTGGTATACCGAACGTTGCCAGTACCATCAGTCCAGAAGGAGAAGTAGTAGCCGTTGTGCGTTCCTGTGGCGCTGTTGGTGAGAGTCTGACGCTTCTCAACGCCGGGCATCTCGCCAGGGAGGGCGAGGGCCACGGCAGCCGCCGAGGCGGCAGCAAGGAGAGACGAGAAGGCGACCATGGCGGGCTACAGTGGGAGTCTTTGCTGACTTGAGCCTTGCCTTGAGGTGGGAGAGCGGGCTTGGAGACAAAGCGGTGCCCAATGGTTACTTATACTCATCCATGCCATGACCCTAGTTCATGTGCTCTTAGGGTTGGGGTGATGGGTGTGTTCGCCCCTTTTCCATGCTCCACTCCAATCCTGGCTCAGATCTCGTTGATCCATCCCCTGACACGAAGTACACCTTACCCACTTCGCGTGTATCATGTCCATGGGCAAACAAACTCCGCCTCGCCCTCCCTTATGCAGTAGTTCTCGACAAAGTAGCATACAAACCAGAACTCTGATTCATTATGCTGATATGTCCTGGAAGGAAGATGGATAGGTATTCTAGATGCTGACTTACAAGTACATGCCTTCCTAGGACAATCACCGTTACGTATCCCCGAGCACTGGAGTACCTTTTACGTAGGTAGTACTCGACCCTATCCATGTACTACCTCTGCTTGTTGCCGGTGACTTGGGAATCAAAGCCCCAGCATAGCATTGCCCCACGCTCTATTATTGTCAGTCATCTCACCGTAGCCAGTGGTCACATGGTCACCCGGGGAGCGCTGCCTGTGTTTGGATTCCAGGAAACAACTCCGTGCTCAAAATTACCAAGGGGCCCGTCAGCCTTGTTGAAACACAGCGGGAACCGGGTCGATGGGACCACCAAGGAGCCATCGGTAATCGGCAAAATGGGCCTGACGGGGGCCTGAAGGGCGACTGCCGATTCAACCGCCGGCTAAAATCAGCCCACTGCTACTCTAAACCTGGGAGATACCCATGCACCTGGTTACTTGGCGTCACCTGGAGCCTCATGCGTCGCTCAAACTGGTAAACACGGTTCATGATGCCCGAGAATCAAGAGTGATTGCTCCGAGAAAATGAGAGCGAAAGGGGAAGCGGGAAAGCTGAGGTATCACTGGGTAGCTGAGCGCGTCCTCGCACGCTGGCAAACAGTTCCAACATGAAGGTTGGGGGGAAGGAGTAAAACATGAATGATCCTCGCCCCGTGCCAAAGGTATATCATATAATCATGGTTTGCTAGTACTGGCAGATCCACCCATGGGTACACTATCCGCCTTACATACACTCTCACTCCATTGCTCTAGAATCTCTCAGCTTGATGTCTGGTCTTACACAATGACTACAATCTGGCTTGTCAGCCACATCGATGTTTACCTAGAGTACCCCACGTTATCCTCCAATCCATTGTTACGGTGTGATGGAGATGAGAACCCGGTTGGGGTCGATAGAATGATAGTATTGGCACAGTTGGATCGAGGTAACACTTATGCATGATCCTATTGTTGTCCGAGTCCATGAAAAACACCACTCCCTCTGATTGCTTTTCATCTTCGGATATGTACCAGTCTCAAGCGCACCATCCAAGTGTCTGGCACAATTTAGGCTATATCCATAGTCCAGTGACTGGAACGCAGATGAGAGCTTCAGTAGGTTCTTTCTGCTTCCCCATGGGGAATTTTTCTGCAGGACCCTTTCTTCGCCACTGAGGTTCAAGTATGCTGATGTACCACGACTAAGTACCGTAGCGGAAAGGAGACATAGGTCTTCGGGAGCATCCGATTTGATCGGAGGATATGCTCACATGGAATTCTGGCTAGATGCCGCAGCCGGCGAGCCTCTAGAGCCGCAGGGCATTGGCCGCGTGGCCGTCCGTCATGTGCAGGCAAGACGGAGCGTCCTGCGATATCTCCGCTCATACAAGCCAGTACCCGGGACCAACCACATGAACTGACTAGAAGTCTATCAATATGTATGTACCGGGCCGACAGAATCGCATGCCGAGACCGTTAACCCGGAAACAAAAAGGGGGTATCATCCCAAATTCCCAACCTGCCACCCATACCATTCTATATGTCCGCAAAAAGCCAGCATTAAGGAATTACGTCGCGGGTCAGTACCAGGCCGACTTTTTACCTTCCTCAATGCTGTCCACTATAATGCACTTTTCCGTCTGGCACACCTTGCTCCTCTCAAGCCGCTTCGCCTTGGGACCCTGGGGCCCAGTGATGTAGTGATACTCCCCAAACAGCCGCCACTGACGCCGGTCGCTCAGGGGGTACACATCATCCCCCCAATAGCCCTCGAAATGGAACCACGATGTCGGCAGGTCCGGGTTGGATGCCGCAGGCGTCAAGCTGGTCCGGTTTTGGCCCGGGAGATTGGCACCCTCCTCTCGATCGACCTCGTAATCATACCAGTAGGCGTAGTGGTTGAGAGCTGGGTCCCAAAGCGGACCCTTATCGGTTATATCCTTCAAAAGCTTGAACGGTAGCACGTAGGGGTGGATCCCCGGCGATGCGTACATGGCGTGGCTACCCACGGCTGAGTAGATCACGGGACGCGGCGGTTTGTCACCCTTCTGTGCCCGTTTCTCTAGCGCGTGCCAGGTGTATGCCTTTCCCCCGGCATGTTCGCTCAGAAACATGGCGCGGGGGATGCCGTGCTGGAAGCGTACCATGCAGTGCTCCCAATCGCCCACATGATTCCCAAAGCGGATATTGAGCACTGTCTGCCCGAGGTTGTAACTATAGAAGAAGAACCAGAAGGCATCCAGAATACCCGCCCCTTTATCAACTAGGATGAGGACGGCTGGGGCTTCGGAGTAGCCGCCAGGGTTGGGCTTTTTAGCCCGCCCAGGACTCCCAACCAAGGGGCGTTGTGCCTCAAGAGATGAACGTTTCTCGCGAAACCGTCGGCGCCTTTCGGAGAACGAATCTGGCCGAGCTATGCGGTGTGGCCGGTGTTTTCTGTCGGCATCCCACCAAGTGCTGCCGTCGGTCGGCCGTTGCGGCCGGTCGAGAGAACCCCACTGTCTGCTGTCCTCCCCCGTAGGCTCATCACCCGTTGCACCATCGTCATCGAACGGGGCTGGAACGCCCGTACGACTGTGGAGCCACGCTGGCCTTGATTCCACGTTGTCCCGGCTAGTCAGAAAAACCGAGCTGTTCTCTACGTTGAGATCCGCAAGATTCCCGAGATGCCATGGCGTCTTTGTCCCCACTAAGGAGCCATCTCCGAAAGGTCTGACATGCTGAACATGCTCGGCAATATCTGACGGCCAGAAATTCTCCCCAGAATACAGATGGACCAAGGGTGCATACGCAAGCACGTAATCTGGTATTTCCTCAAGAATCCTTGCCCCATCTGGGGCCGCAGGCGCGTGCCGCTTCCGCCTCAGGCCCTTGCGTACAGGAGCTGTCTCCCAAGCGCTGATTTCCGACTCGTTTGCGATTGATCGTTCCTCACTCAGCCCTAATGCCAGAAGCTTTAATGCGGCCAGTGTGGAAGGCCGCCCACTGTCCGGGAGCGCTGGCGCATCCCATCGTATATGTTGCACGCCGCAGAGACTGAGCCAGCGGCAGGCCTGACGGTCAAGCCAGTATGGCGATGAATTGACCCAACGCTCGTCGCGCTCCCTCTCTTCCTTGCTGGGCGGAGTTGGGTTGAGAAGACGTGGTAGGAGCCAAATCAGGAAAATGAGAGTGGAGAGTGCGACGGTGGCAATCGCTGCCCTGCGAAGACTGCGTATCACGACCGCCATCTGCGCAGCGTTGCCGGAACGAAGCGAGCGACAACAATGGCGCGAGAGAGAGTTTGTGGTGCTCGGCGCTCTTTTCTCGAGTCTCGCTGCTCACGGGAAGCGCCGCGTTGGGCCCGGCCGAGAGGCGGCGACGGTGAAGGGATCGTGATCGACAAGCAACGGATTCATTCCATAGCGGGTATCCGTATCCGTATAAGGGAACAATTAAGACAAAGGATCTGGTTGACGAAGTATCGCAACGAAGCGAAGTGTTCTCGACGGCCTGGTGCCCGAGGGAAAGAAACGATATATGTGGACTCTAAGGGCAAAGAAAGCAACGAGAGAGAATTGTCTGTTACCTGAATGATGAAACGTTGAGGGATCAATGAGGCTCAGCCTGTCAGGTACGGAAGCTGCAGTGTCTCACGCCCAGCCTTGCCACCTTCAGCGAACCCCACCTGCAGAACTGAGGGGCAATTGGAGCATTTCACTCCAATGGCGCATCATGTTGTACTTACAGTGCCTCTCGAGAAATTTGTGTACTGTGTCATGGGCTCCGAGTCAACACATGGCGGGGTATCACTGATGCCATTGTCTTGGAGATGGTACCTGAGGCCTGGACGACGGCAAGTAGCAGACATGATGGTAGAAAATTCAGCTTCCAGACGAGCCTTCCATGATGGTACTGTACCTATCCGTTCTCAGCACCGGTCATATTGTTCCAATGCGCCGGGGTTGGGGCCGAAGTCCCGGTCGTTCCGTGACTGTACCGTGATATTGCGCCGCTTTCTCGTCTTATGAGCGCTGCGCGTCTTCGAGTTCGTGGGAACCGTTTTCTACTCCTCCCCTGGCGCGGAACGTAGTTTGCTTCCAGTCCTTGTTCCGCTTCTGGCCCTGCGTCTCTCCCCTCTCTCCTTTTATCGCGATATCTGACAGCCCGCTCATGACCCTGCTGTAGCTTCCTCCGTCGGCGCTCCTCCTCCTCATCCTCGACCATGAGCTTGTTCTGTCGTGTTTCCAACGGCTGAATCGTAACTTCATCCGTCTCACCGCGCTTACGTTTCAAGGCGATGAGATCTTCGAGGAAATGAGCCTGAGGCTGCCGCAATCCAGTCTTGTCGCCGCCAATGTGGATGTAAATGCCGCCGTTGCGCTTGTACCGTTCCGGAATGTCCTCAGGGTCCTCGGCGCTCCCCGTCATCATCCTATCCGATAGTGTGTCGGATGGCCTCGGCAGGAGCGTCGCCTCCTTAAAGTTGATTCTCGAGGCGCTCGCTGCGAGCAAGTCAATATTCTGGCCGAGGTGGCGAAGGGCGGGGAGGGGTGCGTTGTCGTCGTGGGTCGTGAAAATCATCTCTGTGCCGATGTTTTCACACCATGTCCCGCGGAATACATGGTTTCGATACGAAACAATCGGCTCCTTCGAATGAAGATCCAATATCTGGATTTCCTCTGCCGGCTTGGTGGTTGCGCGAAGCTCTAATTGAGAGTTCTTCGCAGCGGTTTCGTGCAGCAGGGGGTCGATCGGGGTTTCAGCAGATGCTTGGGGTTGTGGGACACCAATCGTGTCGAGATCTACCTCTTCGCGTTCTGGGGGTTCTCCGTCGTCGGCGTCTTTCTCCTCGAGGAGGTCAGAATTGGAAACGACAGGCTCTGGCGCATTGAAGAGCGGATTGTACCAGACTCGGTATCCGCCCCGTGTGTTGTGGATAATGTCGTCTGTTCGCCTTTCCAGAAAGTCGCGGACGGATAAGTCTAGGGTGAGGTAATATGTCTGCGCGCGGTCAGTAGCGAGTTCGGTTGGGAAAGAATCAATCAATCAATCATCCATGCCTCGGTTTCTGTTGTTGAGTATTCGTATTCCCAATCGTCATCGTCATCAGTCGGCGCACTCATCTGCCGCGTCTCTGTAGACGCCATGGCAAAAAAGATTGTGCGTTTTCCTTATGTTGATCCCTTGTTCTTGCTGTCGCAGTTCCTAGGAATGCATGGCACAAGAACTTCTGATCGGGAGATAATGGTCAATGTGATCAGCGTGGAGAATTGGAGCTGCCAGTTACGATATCGCAGGTCTAGCTTGCCGGAAACGGGACCTGAAATCTTAGCGGTCAAAGGTGGCAGAAATTGGTGCCCCTGGCGATTGTTTAATGCATTGATAGCGGGGCAGCGGGGTTGATTGCGCTGCAACCGTGGACCCTGTCCCCGCCATTAGCAACCAGCCCCGCGGAAGATTTCAGATGGAAAGTTGCGTTTGACTCATTCACCTCTCCTGCACAACTTGGATATTTGTCAACTCCAGGAGGAAGTTCGTGCTGCCGAATTGCTCTGACAGAAGAGGCTGGAATCCGAAAATGGCACAAAAGGTCCACCTCCTTGACTATGTCGCTGGCAACGTGCGCAGCCTTGTCAACGCCATCGAGAAGCTCGGCTACGAGGTTGAATGGGTTCGGTCGCCCGAGGAAGTCGCAAATGCTGATGTATGGGATCGCGCCGAGGTGATGGGTGCCATTCGCTAATATTGTTATTTCTGTGTACAGAAGCTCATCCTTCCCGGTGTTGGCCACTTCGGCCACTGCCTTTCGCAGCTCTCTTCGGCGGGCTATCTGCCCTTACTCCGCGATCACATAGGTGCCGGCAAACCCTTCATGGGGATCTGCGTTGGGCTGCAGGCGCTTTTTTCAGGATCTGCCGAAGATCCAGATTGCCCGGGACTTGGCTTGATACCTGGGAAGCTCGACCGATTCGACCACGCGACGAAAGCGGTCCCCCACATTGGGTGGAATAACGCCTCTTGTCCTGCGAACCCGTCCCTCTACAGCTTGCGACCGGACTCAAAGTACTACTACGTCCACTCCTACAAATACCCGTACACCAAGGGAGAACTCGAAGGTCTTGGCTGGGCGGTCGCGACTGGCACATATGGAGAAGAGACATTTGTCGGTGCCGTGGCCAAGGGGAACGTCTTTGCCACGCAGTTCCATCCTGAAAAGAGCGGCGTCGCAGGGCTACGAGTAATTCGCGCATTCCTGGATGGGACAGGCGCCAAGGCCCTCGCGGAACACCCCGTCAAGGGGGTCGACGGTGGTGTGGACGAGATGTTGGCGCGGGAGGGACTGACAAGGCGCGTCATCGCATGCCTTGACGTGCGCACCAACGACCAAGGTGATTTGGTCGTGACAAAAGGGGATCAGTACGATGTCCGCGAGAAGTCGGCGGATCGCTCTGTCCGGAATCTAGGCAAGCCGGTGGAAATGGCCAAGAGATATTACGAACAAGGAGCCGACGAAATCACGTTTCTCAACATTACATCGTTTCGCGACTGCCCAGTCGCTGACTTACCCATGTTAGAAATCCTGCGGAGGACATCAGAGACGGTGTTTGTTCCCTTGACAATAGGCGGCGGTATTCGGGATACAGTAGATGTCGATGGAACCAAAGTCTCTGCGCTGGAAATCGCGACCATGTATTTCAAGAGTGGTGCTGATAAAGTGTCAATCGGAAGCGATGCCGTGTTGGCTGCAGAGGAGTACTACAGGGGCGGGAAAACATTGTTTGGGGATACAGCCATCGAGCAAATCAGCAAGGCCTATGGCAACCAGGCTGTTGTCGTCAGCGTGGACCCGAAGAGGGTGTATGTTCCCAAGCCGGATGCTACACGCCATGCCCTGATCAAGACGAAGTTCCCCGGCCCCAAGGGGGAGGAATACTGCTGGTACGCCTGCACTATAAAGGGGGGCCGGGAGACGAGGGATCTGGATGTGGTTGAACTTACCCAGGCAGTCGAGGCTATGGGCGCTGGAGAAATACTACTGAACTGCATCGACAAGGACGGTACCAACAGTGGCTTCGATCTCGAGCTGATCACACAGGTCAAGGAGGCAATCAGGATACCAGTCATTGCGAGCAGCGGGGCTGGCAATCCTGAGCATTTTTGGGAAGTCTTCCAGAAGACGACAACCGACGCCGCCCTGGGCGCGGGCATGTTTCACAGGGGCGAGTACACAGTCCAGCAAGTAAAAGCCTACCTCGGCGAGAAGGGCTTGACAGTCAGACAGTTCGAGGGAGACCTTTGACCATACTGAATATGCTGGTGACGGGCAAAGTCCCTGCAAATATGTAGAAGATACCATAGTGTAATGCTATCCAACAGATGCCCCTGAAATGAAGAATGCAAGCTCCCTAAACCCGTATGAGTGACCAAGATGCATGTATGTGCCGACAGCTACGCAATCAACGGACGTCACCACACCAAACGAAACGACAGCAAGCATCGGATAGAAAAGATCGCCACACTTGACGGAACCACAGCAACATTGGACAGAAAAGAAGGGCAAAGAAAAAGATGACAAGATGATGGGATGTATTGAAAAACCTCGGAGGAAAAAGCACAAAACAACCAGCCCGCGGAAAACTTGTACGCCTAGATTTCCATGCCCATGAATATCCAGCGGTTGCTGACGACATCGAACTTAGTGGCCCAGAAGTCGAGCGTGGTCAGCGAAAATCCAGCCCACTGAAGACCCTTTGTCAATGCTTTTATTTCCTCCTCGGGTATCGAGCGCTCAATGCAGATGACCATGTGTGTGCAATCGAGTGGTCCTTCGGCCAGCTCAATAAGAGCGACAAGTCTGCCGCCATGTTAGCAAATGGTCCATGGAGAATAGCGGAGGAAGGGGACATACGCCTGCTTCAGATCGCGACCAATGGAATGTCTGTCGAAAAAAGCAAACAGAGACCTGGTTTGCCGGCTAACGTCCTCAGCCACGAAGGCGCGGAAGCTGGAGCCGCCGGCATAGTCCCAAATCTCCATCCAACCGCGGATAACGCCACAGATGCCACCGCCGCCAACCCGACGATCACTCATCATGGTTTCGCTGGAGATGGGGAAATCATCGGGCGGAGTCAACTGTCCGTGTGACGCTACGGCGGACGGGAGTCTGTTGGCGGCAGCACCGTGGCGTCCACCATTACCGTTCCCGCGGTCATTGCTGCTGCTGAAGCTGCTGCTGTTGTTGTTGTGATGAACACCCGCCAGGCCGGAGAGCCGCAGTGCCGAGTTCCCCTCACCCAGGAACATGGCGCGCAGCGTCTCACAAAAGAATCTCTCACATTCTTCCCTGATGCGCAGTGTTGCCCCCCCTCGACGGCGTTGCCAAGCACTGCTGCTGCTGTCGGAGCTAGCAGCAGTGCTCGAGCCGGTACGACGACCAACGCTGGCGCGCGATGATGACTTCTTCGCCTTCGGAGTCAGCGCCAGTTGGTTGGTCGTCGTGAGGGCCGCGAGGGGGGGGCTTGATGGCGGCGATGGGAGGCCCGTCGAAGGGACCTCAGGAATACCACTCTGCCCCTGCGGCGCCCGTAGTGCAGTAGTGGAGGCCCTTCAGCGAGGCAGTGGCAGCGTCGACAATGTAGCAGCTGGCGAGGATATTGGCCTGGCGGACAATGCCCTCGCCATAATTACTACTACTTTGATTCATACTGGATTGTTTCATGGGCGCCATTGCTACGGGATGCCAGGTTGCTGGTTTGGCGAATTGAATGTGGGTTCTGATTTGGTAGATTGGGTTTGAATATGTTGGAAGCGATCGAGTTACTGTCGATTGCGATGGAGAGTTGCGAGTTGTTGGTCAGAGAGTGCTCGAATAGACCGGAATATAGGGCGTCAGGTAGGTACCTTAGATCAAGGATCAGGTTGGGAGTTTGGTTGTGGGAACTGGAAGTTTCGGTGAAGTTGACAGAAATTCATGAGCGCTGGCGAAAAGTGGAGAGGTCTTGGCACTGGGACTTGTTCGTCACGTGGAAATCAACAAGTGGCGGGGTAGTGGCGGAATTGGCATCAAAAACCGCCCAAGCCGCCTTTCAAACGGGTTCCATAACTTCCATTAGGTATTCCATAAGGGTCTTAGGACTGCACGCCTAGAACATCACTCCAATGAGCCCAAGTACTTTATAATGTGGATATCCAGTGAGAGATTCGTGCAGAAAGTTCTGAGATTCAAAGACCGTGGCTTTGGTGATGGCCAGCATTAACACAGCTTGAGTAATCGTCTGATGGCTTAAAACCCAAAGGTTGACACCCAAATCATCATTCCCGTCTTCCTCAAATCTAGTTCGGCCCAGACTCTGCAGCGTACCACGTCACCAATTAGACTTCAAGTGTACGTGTACCCAGTATTGTACCAATGTCTTCTTCAACTAACGTGTTTCATCTGGGTTGTACCTAACTTATCTTTGGGGGTTCAATCTGGACCATTCTCAGGGCAGCCTCGAGCCTGAGTCAGACCAGAGCCAAAGCCAGGCCAATCAGTTCGGCCTCTGTGTCCCGAGTCTTCCACTCCACAAATTGGGGTGAATTCGATCAAAGCGTGGCTACCACTTGGATCACATTAAGAGATATATACCAACGCCATAGCTGTAATCCCATAAAGAGCAGCAGGTTCTAGATAAGGTCTATAGGTATTCGCGTTCTGCTTATTAATCGTGCGTGATGGGAGGCAGGAGCTTCCAACCGGCAGTTGCAACCTGGAAATTGCAGCCCACACCGTTCTCCGTTCCGCTAAGGTATCGCAGCGGTAGTTCGAGTTATCGATAAGGATCGAAACAATGTGAATGCGGGGCAGCGTCATGTGGTTGCTCTCCGTCCCAAAAATTACGTTCTCGCCCAATCTCGCAGCGAATCTGAGACAGATGGACATTGGCTCCCATGGCTTCCCAGATAATGGATTCTCATTCGGCCAGCGCTGGCACTCCGTTCCGTGTAGCAGTCCTGCCGTCAAGTGACCGCCCCCCTTGCATCGACCACCTGTCCCGGGCATTCCGGGACCAAAGAACATGACGCAACCACCCTCCCTCGCCGATTTGCTGAACAGTCCGGCGTTCACTTCTCACCGCTGAAGAGTGCCCGTTATCACTCCAGCAGAAACCGAGAAGTAGCGTAATCAACAACCCGAAGCCCCAAACCTCAAAGATTCTTCTGGCCGGACATGTTCGAGATCATGTCGCGAAGACGGCCCAGCGCGCCGACACCTCCGGACGCGGCCCCGCGCTTTCCCCTCTACCTCTTGCCTACCCTCCGCATCCCCTTCCGGCGCCGTGACGTCTCCGATCCCGTCGTCTCGCCACCGCCATTGGCATCCGAACCAACCACTCCGCCGAGCTCGGTCCCGTCTCTATCGAGTTCCCCAGGCTCTCCACACTCTCCGCTCGCCCATAATGACGGCTCCGGCGACCCCACGTGCTTCATCTTGCCCAACACGCCGCCCACTTCCACCAGTCTCACCCGCACGCAGCCCGACACGCTCCGCTGCGCCAACTGTGCGACCGACCTCGCCTACCATGCGCAGATAGTCAGCAAGGGCTTCATGGGCCGGCACGGCCGCGCCTACCTGGTCTCGCCGCCCTCGCCGCGATCCACGCCCAGCTGCCCGCGGTCGCCGCTCAACGACAACGCCGACATGGAGGCCACCGACCTGATCAACATCCGTGTCGGCCGTCCCGAAGACAGACACCTCGTCACTGGCCCCCACGTCGTGGCCGACATCAGCTGCGTCGGGTGCGGCGCCGTGGTCGGGTGGAAATATGTCGACGCGAGGGTCCCCGGGCAGAAGTACAAAGTGGGAAAGTTTATCCTGGAGACGGGCAAGGTGGTTGGGTTTGCGAGTTGGGAGGTTGTTCCTTCGTCAGGGAGAGACGGGGTGAAATCGTGGCATGCTGGAGAGGACGAGGAGGGCGATGACGAGAGCTTGGTGGTTTTTGACTCGGAGGATGAGGACGAGTGCGAGGACATCTTCGCTGGAGTTTGGGACGCAAAGGTCGTGGCCAGGCGGCGGAGGAGCAAGGCCGCTAATATAAAGCCCGAGGACGCTGGGACCGCCTGAGACCCGGACACTGGTCGGATGCGCCAGTGCGAAATCACTCTCGTCCTCTACGCCAGTTTACTTTGACATCTTCTCATCCCCACTTCTTCCTTACAAGTCCGAGCTTTTAATATCGGTCTTGGAGAAGGAGTCAAAGCTCAGGGCTTTCGTTTATAATACCCGAATGGCTTACGGAACCGGGGACAGCACTGGCATCAGATTGCGATCCACTCAACACCAAATACAGCATTGATACCCTGAGAATACGGATAGAAGCTTTAGATATGATATATCTAGGGTCACCCAAATCCGAGAGCAATCGTATCGAAGTAAATCCGCTTAGGTGTTTTTCGTACGCTGCGTCCGGTCGCTGCTACAACCCCATGTCGCTCCATCAATAAGGTAGCCCTATGATCCGCTGCCTCCAACATCAACGCCGCCTCATACCCGAATGCGCCAGTCGCGAATATACAGGTGCAGCATGAAGCTTGTACAACGGGATTACCCCGGGCGTATTAGTTCATGGGCTCCTCGGCAACGTAGTGTAAATATGCACCTAAAAGCTTGATGCCCTCAATGTAATTCCGCTTGTCCAGTTTCTCATTAATCGAGTGCGCACCGTCCGTCGAGCTTCCCATGGGCAGGAGCAATACATTCTTGCCAGTGGCCTGCTCGAAGGTGAGCGTCACCGGGATGCTGCCGCCCTCGCGGGTCAGATCGGGCTTGACGCCCCAGACACGCTCCGTCGCCTTGGCCGCCGCCGTGAAGTTCCAGTGGTTGGGGCTAGCAACCCACCACTTGCCCGTGTGCTGGGCATACACCTTCATAGTGTTTTTGGAGTTGAGCTTCTTGAAGACATCCTCAACGTAGCGGTACACAGCCTCGTTGGTCTTGTCGATGTCCATGTTGGGAACTGTCCGGATGGAGAACTTGCCAATGACCTTCGCAGGAATAACGGTCTTGGCGCCAGGGGCGGAGAAGGCACCCTCGATGCCGTGCACCGAGAGGGACGGATACCGCCACCGAGCCATGAGTGTAGGCTTCTTATCGTTGAAGATCGTCGTCTTGCTTCCCAAAGACTCGTGCAGAGTCTCCATCGTGAAGGCGATGCTATCGTAGAGACCCTCCTCCTCCGCAGTCACAGGGGCGACTTGCTCGGCGATGCCCGGGATAAGGATCTTGCCGTCGGTGTCCACCAGCGATGCCAGGATGCGCACCAGATCGGTCATGGGCTCCTGTGCGGTGCCACCAAACACTCCGCTGTGCAAGTCCGCGGCCGGCCCGGACACCTCGACACTGTAGTAGTTGCACCCCCGTAGACCGTATGTCAGGCAAGGGCGCTCGGTGCCAAGCCAGTAATTGTCGCTAATGCAGACTGCATCCGCATCGGCGAAGAACTTCTTGCCCTCAGCGAAGACGAGGTCATCAAGGCCGTCCGAGCCGTACTCCTCCATTCCCTCAAAGCACATCAGCAGGTTGACGGGGAAATCGATGCCAGCGGCCTTGTGCGCCTCGATGGCATTCAGCCAGCCCAGCACGGGGCCCTTGTCGTCGGTCGAGCCACGACCGCACATGCGTCCATCCTCTTTTACCGTCAACTCGAACGGCTCGGTATCCCAGCCATCACTCTTTTCGGCGGGCTGGACATCATAGTGGCCATAGACCAGAATGGTGCGCTTGTTCTTGTCGTTGCCGTAGCGGGCAAGCACGACGGGGGGGAGGTCGAGGTCGGTCCCGTGCTGCTTGCCCAGGGCGCGCAACTCGACGTGGGCGCCGAGCTTGGTCAGCTCGTCGGCGAGGAAGTGGCCCATGCGGACAACATCCGGGCGGCGAGCCGCTTCGGAGGAGACCGAGGGGATGGCGACAGCCTTGCGCAGCCGCTCGATGAAGGCATCGGACATGGCGTCCACCTTTTGGAAGTAATCGTCGAGTTGCGGCGCCATTTTGCGGGCTTGATGGGCGCGAATTGACTCGGTGAGATACGGACGGGAGCTTGGGGGTGGTTGCGGTCGGTGTCGGCGGAAAGCCCTGCTTGATAAGGGAGAGTGGATTGCGGTGATACTCCGGCTGGTGACAGCTTGAGCAACCAGGGATCGTCTTGACGAGCAACAAAGTGTGCCGGACAAAGGGGCAGAGTTGAACCGAAGGAAGTAAGAAATGCGGGGCATTGGGAGTGATGCTGGAAGGAGAGCGGCCTATCGCGTGAGACGGAAAGCAGCGGTTGTTGCGGGCCCGCTGAGCTCGCTGCAAATTCACGGATTGCCCCGCGCTCCACTTCAAGCAGTCCCACTACAAATCCATGTAATTTGATTGGTTATGGCCCTAGAGACCTCGATATGTAGGACGATATCGCGAGAGTTCTCAAACCCATTCGACCTAGAATGCCAAAGGAACGGGAAAACAACAATCTGTTA